GGGATCCGACGGGTCCTTCAGGATCGCCGATCCGCTCCGCGCATTCAGCGTCTTCTTGGTGTCTTCCAGGACAGCTTCATCCAGAAGCGAGGACGAGTTCAATTCATCTTCGGGTCGTATGACCACTACCTCGGCCTAGTCTCCAGCCTTCAAGGCTTCGCCGAACTTGGACAAGGACATCTCGTCCAGCTCCAGGAGAGCAGACAGTGAGGGCAAGTCGTCGAGGTTGATACCTCCGTCGACGTCGCCCGTCACTCCATTCACGAGTGTATAGAGCTGCTCGCTCTCGCGTGGAGCCTCGCCGCTCGACACGCCCTTCTCGACTCGTGAGATCGCAGACGCCTTGCGTCTCGCAGCCAGCGCTTTGCGGCGCTGCCTCCTCTTCATGGACACCGTCCGCCCTGAAGAGCTCCGTGATTTCGCGTGCGTCTTGACGCCAGGTGTCACCACCTCGTTCAGCTCGGGGAGAGCTCCAGTGTCTTTACCGGCACTCAGCGAAGAGCTGCACGATCCGCAGCCTCCACTCAGTGGATTACGTGCCACTCCACGATCTTCATCCGGGCAAAGCCCCTTGTTCTTCGGCATCATGCCGACCGCGCCGTCGCTGGCACGCAGCAGGGCGTCGCCCTCAGACGCACGCCCGCTCAGCGGAATTAGTGCCGCTCCACATCCTTGATCCGGGCAACGCCCATCTTCACTCGACTTCCTGTCGACCGCGCCTTCACCGGCACGCAGCAGGGCGTCGCCCTCAGACGCACGCCCGCTCAGCGGAATTCGTACCGCTCCACCTGCCGTCCGCGAGTCACGCTCGGAACGCTCGTTCTCGACACACTCAGTGTCCACCAACTCGGAAACTCCGATGTCCAGCACATTGACCGACTCGGTCCAGTGCTCGCGCCAAAAGCGCTTCTGCTTCCTAGCAGAGGTGGGTTCATGACTCGCCAATGCTCCTCCAGGAGAGAAGTGCGTAGCACCAAGGGTCTTCGACCTCCAATCGATTCAAGGCTCGTGGCGTTCCAGCCACGCCATACCAAGGATGAGATCATATCTCGAATCGAGGTCTAAGACCAGACAGCGTTCAACGCTATCAAAATCCAAAAACTTCACGCCCAGGTCCACAGGGACCTTTGGCACCGTGACACGAGTGCCCGTCGCGAGACGAACAGTGACGATGTCACTTCCGCGCGCTACCAGCGCCTCAGCATAAAGCTGACTTCCGTCCATCGTAGAACGCCGGGCGTAGTTACCCGACACTCCCGAATCGATCAAAATCATCCATGGCTTGGTGAAGCCCTTCACCCAAGCTTGGACAACTAGCAAGCCCGGCTTGCATACACGTTCCGTGTTAGAGAGTACGGCTCTCTTCGGGGCTAAGTCCTGTCGACCTCCACCTCGCCGAGGCTCAATAGAACTTAGTTCTTCCCCAGTAGGCCGCCCCGCGCCTACTGGGACTTCTCGTTTCCCCGAGACAAACCAGAGCCCTGGATCGAACTCGAGGAGCGGCTTGACGAAGCCTGGCGCTGATGGCGCAGCGGACACCCAGCACGAAGGTGACGGGTGTCACCACAGATGAAGCATCTGTGCATACCGCGACGCTGCACAGCAGCACGAAGCTCGGCTTCTTCGTCTTCAGCATAGCTGAGGTCCATGGGTTCCGGACCACTCGACGCGCTAGCGTAAGACGCATTCCACCCAAGTCTCGACGGCTTAAAGTTGTGCTCCGCATTCAATGCGACGCTCCCAGCCTCTTCTAAAGAGCTCGAGTGGGTTCGGAACACCTCCGTCCTGGTAAAGCTAGTGCGGATGCCCTCCATGAACACCGTAACGGTGACTGCCTCCGGCAGGGGGTCCGCAGACATACCAGCAATGAGAGTTCTCAACTCTTGGACATAGTCACCAACTCCTTCTTGCTCTGCCTGGTCGCCAGGAAGCGTAAGCGCACACGATACGCCTCGTTTGGGCAAACACTCGGGACAATTGCTGTTTCAGCTGGTCCCACGTCGGGAAGGCCACCTCGTCCGACGTCCCGGACGTTAGTGCCCACTCTCTCGCTCGCCCATCGAGCTTCGAGATAGCTAGTGCCACGCGCTGCGACTCCGTCCGGAGTAGAGCTGAGCTCATAGCCATCTCAACCTCACGGGTCCAAAGCATCAAGCTTTCACCCTCCTTGCCTTCGAAGGTCTTCACGCTCAACATGAGCGGCTTGGGTCTTGTTTCCGCGTCAGATGACGAAGCGGGCGTTTGGGGCGCCGCGGCCGTTGCCATCCTCTGCTGGAGGTGCTCTAGGAGAGCATTCTCGTAGCTTGAAAACGCCTCGAGACGCGCGTTCACCGCGTCGGGGCCTTGCTGCGCAAGTTACATCACGCCCTCCGGGCCCAGCAAGGACATAAGCTTTTTAAGCGCATCCTGCTGGTTCGGGAGTAAGTGAGCGAACTGCTCCATTATCCACAGAGGGTCAGTCTATACAGACTCAGGTGTCGGATTGACTACAAGTGCTACCAAGTGCAGCGGGGCTGCCGTAGCTTTGCGTCAGAGGAAGCTTAACAGACCCACAGAGTCTCAGCTTAAGATAGCCCGTTCTAATACCAGAACGTACGAGTCCGTACACCTAACGGACTCCAAGAGTCAACCCTTAACTCTTAACTGTGTGAATCTCAAACTGAATGTATTTCCCTTTATCGCGGCCAAGCTGCCTACGGTGTAAATGTATCCGGTTTACTATCTAGCATAGTGAACCCTATTCATATGCATAATCAGTGGCTCTGATGCCGTGTACAGATTATTCTACTGATTTAGGTTATACATTGTGTAACCACTTCGTAACCCTTCGGGTAACTCTCCTGTAACCCCGTTACATAACTGGTACATTGTCCTGAAACCGGTGTGACCCCGGGGCCGCACTGGGCCCTCCAAAAGGTTTATATGCGTGGGCAAGCTGAACTGGTAGAAAACCTATTACACCGGTATGGCCGCGGTACCGCACTGGGCCCTCCAAAAGGTTTACCGGCATCCCCCGTTCTTTACTGACGTTCGGACAATCAATTATAGCCAATCAAAATACCTTATTGTCATCCTCCACTTTTAACTGACAACACAAAAATGGGTCATTTCCCAATCCACAAGATGCTACCTGCTCGCAGACGCACCGCAATTACGGCAGCAGAAAGCTCGAGGTGCTCGATGCCTGGGCACAGTGCGGTGACATCACCGCGGCTTTTAACGCCTTCTACAGCGGTCTAGATGAGTTTGTCCACGAACCGCGGCGAAAGCTCATGGGCAGACAGCTCTCAAAAAGAATGCTCGGACGAGCGGCACAGGTATGGCCCTCCCCGCTGAAGCTTAGCAGGAGCTCGTGGTATGGATGAATGAACTGCGTGGGGAGGGCGTACCACTTTCGGCTTTGATGCTGCACTTACAGGCCCTGGAAGCAGGCGATGACTAGATGTATGTCACAGCCTTTAGTGAAGAAAGTAGACGTTGTAGCTAGTGAAATTATCGCTCAGCATTCTAGCCTGAGTCTGATAGGTCATAGAGTTTGAGCTGTGGCTGTCGAGCATGATACCATCGAGAGCAGCTCGTTTTTGTGTGTTTCACAATGCGCGGCAGACATCACTTTTTTTACCCACTTTTTGTAGCCAAACATGACTGTCAGTAAAGAACGGAGGATGCCGGTATATGCGTGGGCAGATTGAACCGGTATGAGTCAGTACCATACCGTCAAAATTCCAACGGGGTTGGACTGCTTCCAACCAAAACCGGTCTAGCAACGGTATTAGGTTTTTTGTTCAGCTGATATTTATCCTCACGACCGCCGATTTTATTCTCGGCCAACAGTCCAGAAGCTTCCAGGTTAGTGCTGCGAGTCGTGCAACGCTGCTTGTGCTACCTGTGCTGACTGTGCTGCTGTTGTCTCTGCGTGTACACAGGCGCTGCTGGCCGCTGGGTCGTGTGTGCTGCTGGGCCGTCTGTGCTACTGGGCCGTCTGTGCTGCTGGGCCGTCTGTGCTGCTGGACCGTGTGTGCTGCTGGGCCGTGTGTGTGCTGCTGGGCCGTATGTGCTACTAACGCCGGGCCACTTGCTGCTGGGCTATGTGCGCTGCTGGGACGGGTGTTGGGTTGCGCCTGTGCGCTCTCGTGGCGTGTGGCTCAAGTGGCCGAGGGTTTGGACGAGTATGGTGCTGTTGATGGATGCGACTTACCCGCGCCCATGGAGCTCGTGAGGTTGAGCGCCAGGCCTTCGGGCCTGGAGGATCGGGTTCAAACCCCAACATGGGCATCAAGTATTATGTGTTTTTGCTTTCATTTTGGACAGGTAGGCTAAGAGAGTGCGTGCTACTCCTGTTGTACGTATTGTGTATCTTATTGACTTTTTAGTGTGCTGCGTGTGCATTTAGGTGAAGCGCAGGAATGGCGGAAGGGCAGAATTGGGTGTCGGGTCGACGACTTCGTCTTCATAGTAGCGCTCGCGAAACTGGTCAAGGAGGACGGAAAGATGGTCTGCTTTGTGAAGCGCACGCATGGCTTTGACGACCGAGCCAACGGCTACAGCCGGTGAGCCTTGTGCAGCCAAGTATTCAAGCGTCTTCTTCTCGGCTTCGACTCCAACAGTGTGGACCTCCGCCTTGTACGCTGGCGAGGCCGGATCCAGCTTCAACCCAGAAGGTAAGCAGAGCATCATGAATGCAACTGCGTGTCGTGACTCGTGAAGGATGGCTTTGCTAACTGTTGTTGATTCGTACATGCGTGGTACAGCAGTGAACCACTCGAACCACACTGTCGATAGCGCTTTGGAGGCACGTTTGCGCGCGCGCTTTGGCTGCGACTGCTCAACGTCTTCGTGCTGCTGCTCGGTAGTGTTTTTTTCTTGTCAATAGATTCTGCGTTCGCCCCCAAAACAACCAGCCTTTCCTCTACGCGTGTTTGGCGGAGCAATAGCTCGTCGAGCTGCTGCGACAGCTTTTCGAGAACACGGATCATGTTTTGAGAGGACTCGGCCGCTGTTTATTGTTTCTCTTCTGCAGGTGGATTGAATGCAGCTCGGAGGGTGATCGACCATGCCAACAGCTCGGAGGCCTGTATGTTGAGGACACCAAGGGCTTCATGAATGCGACGGACGTACGGGCTATCCAAGCGATGGCGTTCCATCTCGGGGAAGTGAAGGATCAAGGTCGCCATCAACACTTCGAGCACCTGAGGATTAAAGTTCCAAGACACTGTCGGGAAACCAGTGACAGCAGCGAAGAGGAGATCCTGCAGCTTCTCCACGCGCGCTCGGACGACTCCGTCCAGAGCGGTAAGGTCTGGAAGTCGGGCGCCCGCTTGCGGGTTCCACCCGCTCAATTGGCGCGCAACTTGTTGATCTTCGTGTGTTGTGTTCAGCATGTAGGAAAACGCCTTGCTCACGCGCGACATATTCCAGCCCCCGTGTTCAACAACCCAGTTCGGGCTAATGCGACTGTCAGCGTTGGCGTGCATGGCCCCACCTCTTCTGAAGGAGTGCGAGCTAAGTCCCTTCGTGAGTCCACTCTCCTTTGCTGCTGGCAGTCCACTAACCGTGACTAATAGTCTATTGATATAAGCTTGGGCACCAGGGGCCGAGTTGGATCGACGTGGCTGTGGAGTCTTGCATGTAGGTGCTTCCGCAAGCTCGCGGTCTAGCTGCGCAATCAGCCCCAGCTCGCCATCGTCGTCTTGGTCGTCGGACGCGGACAGCGCAGGTACGGCAGCAAATTGCGGGAAGATGTGAGTTCCTGGAGCGGGTTGAAGGGCGAGAGCGACAGCTAGCACGTGTAACGGGCACGTGAAGGGATCGTTAGGATCCTTAAACAGGGAGATTCCCTGTTGCGAAGCAGTCTTCACACGCTTAAAGCGGAGAAATATCATACCGCCTAGCATATACGCACAGAATTGTCAGCATAATTCGTGGGGTTAATTAATACAAAAATTCAAAATCCTGCACGATTCGTACCGGGGTATACACACAGCTGGGCTTTCTCCAATTGCTCAGCCTCAGAACCACGACCGTAGAGGTACCACATCAACGCCACCAGCGCCGCACCCAGGTAGTCGGAGTTGGCGGAAGCGTGCATGTAGAGAGCCGAGATGATAGTCTTTATATCGTTCTTAGTACATAGTGGCGCTTGTTTCGTGACACCTTGCTCCGGCCTCTTTTCACAGTACCGATCTAGAGTTGATAGCATCTTTTGCAGCTTCTTAGCTACACATTGGCTCTGTTGCGGGTACAGATCCGCCAGCCAGTTCTTAACATTGCCAAAATAAGATAGCACAGTGTTCTTGGACAGAGCTACTCCTTGCCTTCCTATTTTTTTCACTAAGAACCACCCATACTTATCCAGAATGACAAACAAACTCTTACCTGTGCTGTCCTTAGAAATACGATCATGCACTTCTGTGAGCGTCACCTCCTTCTTCGCAAGGAAGTCTTCAAAAGACTTCACAGCCGTCGCTCTGCTTCTCTGGCTGTTCGCAGGAACTAGCGATGCCACCGACATGCCTGTGTGCGTCGGAACGCAGAATGGAGTCGGAGATGAGCTGGCAGGGGTTGGAAACCTATGAATATTTATTCTATTTGTAGTTCACTTGATATTTGTATGGCATACTCGATATCAAATCGCGTTTCCAACCAGATATTGTTGGAATGTTCAGATCAGCGGTTGGCAGTCATTCCCTCGATTTAATTGGTCGAAATTTTAAGCAACGGTAGTGTCTATTGGTTGTAAATGCTAAGAATCGCAGATGACACACTCCTATTGGCCGGAAGAACCATACAAACTTTAAGGTATTTTTCAGGGGTTAGAATCGCAGCGATATGCTACCATATATCGAATGATTGAAGCGGGCTGCAGTAGCATACAAAGGTAAACATTTTCATTTTCTATAAGCTACAAACAGATCCCGAGCAAGGTTCGTTTTATCACTGTGTATAAGCACCGCCAAGGCATACAGGCGTCCCCGGCCTACCTACCTACGGTATTCACCACAGTGGTACTTATGATGTTTGCGAATCAACAAGATTCACGCGGTCTGAACATAAATGAGTATATACTGACTTACTACAAGCTTAGCTCAAGAATACGGTGGAGGTTTTCCCGCAACGTGCCACTTGTCGCAGTAGATCTCGCTGTACACTCATCTAAATCAATATGCTTGCAGAAGTAGCGCGCAAATCTTGAGAGCTTGTTGTACTTCCTGTGCGAGGTACATTAAAATATACAGCCGGGACTAGCCCGGGGACGCCTGTATCATGTATATGCAGTTTTGAGGTGAATTAGCGGGCAGAAGCTGCGGCTGCGAAGCAGGCGCAGGAGATGCCCGTGGTTCGTAAAAAAAAAACTCATAATAATAGAAAGCGATCAAAAACCTCCCATTCCAGCCTTCGCGGAGCCCTAGTTGGTAAACCCCTGCAAAATGATATATTACGCTGCGGGGTGCGGAGCAAAACCAAGCATTTATGCATGTTTTACACTTTACTATAGGGACTTCAGTTTACAAAATCCAAGTATAATATTGATCACTAAAGGGTTTACCCTTTTGCGAGTATCCTCAATAAATTAAAGTATACAACTCATTGAAATTTACTTCTACAACGGCGCTCTAGGCGTCCTTTTACAAACTTACGGAGCCTTTTCGGTGTGTCTCATGGGGCATGCCAGCTACGGTGATTTGCAGGATACAAAGAATGTATGTGTATGACTTAGAATGTGGGTAAAGTACACGATCAAAACGCGTTTGGGACATGATCAAAATCTAAAAGAGATCAAAACCAAACACAAGTGCAGTAGACGGGCTAGGAAAGCGCCTATCCGCATCAGAAGGTGCGCTCTCCGGTGCAACGAAGGTACATTTTTGTGCACAATACACTGACCATTTGTCCACAACAATCTACCAAAGTCAGTTTATTGTGCGCAGGTATTCATAATAATCTAACCAACGTCAGTTTATTTTGTGCGGATTTGTATAATAATCTCAGTAAATCAGTTTATTGAGCGCAGCCACATCTACCTACTCATCTCGCTACCCTGACCAAGCTTTCGAGTGGGCGCCGTCCGTACTTGTTGGCATTGAGCGCGCGGCCGAGGACTCATGCAGAGATGACTACAAGAAGAACGAAGTGACGGTAGGCATGGCACGTGCCTGGCCACGATGTGATAGGACCAACCGAGGACTCACCGAAGGGATATTTATCAGCAGAGACCACAAACAACGACCAATTTAGCAGCAGAGACCACAAACGATGTGATTGGTTAATAAAAAGTAGGCCTGTCAAGGAGCCAACAGCCCTCCATGAAAGCCGACTGTGGTCGCACACAACGCAATTCAAGATCTGACAAGCACTCCAACGACACAACCAAGCTACCATGTCCACGCCTTCTACCCCGGCTAAGATTACCACCCTAAGCGGCCTATGGAACCACGGCTACCACGTCGTCCGCTGCTTCATGACTGCTGATGATGTCGCGATGGCTCTGGCGGGCGTTGATGCCGTGCCAGAGTCCAAGTGGTTTAGGTCGACGGCTACCGAGAAGCGCCGCGAAGCTGTACTGAATTTGTCTGATAACATCAATGCTAACCCACCTATTTACCGACTTGCCTACGAGCGTTTGGTGGATTTCGCGTCGCGCCTGCACCATGCGTGGGCTGTCGACACGAAGTGGACTATCGTCGAAGTCCAGGAAGGCTGCCCGCCCGAGGAGCTGCACCGCGATTTCCAGCCCACCGAGTCCACGGCAGCCATCAAGAGACACGAGTGGGTACAGTCGTCGGTCATGGTTGCCCTTCACGAGGGAACGAAGCTACTGGTGGTGCCGGATGCTTTCGGCGGGAGTGCTGTTCGTTCTAATACTGTGGAGTTAGAGCTCCGCGCAGGCGACATGGTGCTATACCGTGGGGATCTGCCCCATGCAGACCCCGTGAGCGCGGACCGCAACGTGCACGTCGTGGCGCGTCTTCTGGTCGACGGTATCGAGCATACGGGCGTGGCGGAACCGGTGCGCGGGGATTCTACCGTTGCAACTACTGCTTCAAGCGCTGCGAGTCCAAGCGTGCGCTCTCAAACCATGAGCGCTACTGCGACAGCAACCCGAACAAGGAGGAGATCGCTCGGAAGCGCAAGGCCAACAACGACAAGGGGGCCTACTGCGCCAAGTGTTAACACCATTTCGGCAAGAAGAACACCTACGACGTCCACAAATGCTAGGCTTAAAAAAAGTAGTGTAGGTGTTTATTTATAATTAAAATAAAGTCTACACAACTTGGAACCTTACCACTTTCTTCTTCTTGTAATACTAGTTATTATTATAATTATAACTATTATAATTAAAAACTAAACCTTAAATAATGTATGACGCGTTTGTAGGGGATTTATGACCTACGCTAGGGAAATTCCGCATTATTTCTTATAGATTTTACTGACCTTAGAAATATGTTATTATTTTCACGCGGTTAATGTAAGACAGCTGCATTATAAGATTTATACTACATATGACCGACTATACAACTGTTCCATCCTACTAATGAATGCAACTACAATAGGCTATTTTACTTATGGATCCGTGAACTTCATCATGGATCTTTATGGTACTCTCATGGATCCGCATGACGTCTCATGGATCGTTTCGTTTCGCATTGAGGTACTTGTTGTCTGTTAACTTCTTTAGCTAACGACATCCTACGACCTTGTCGACGATCGTCTCATTCCGCTCGTCCTGTAGCTAGGCGCCTTAGTGGCGATCCCGGCACCCCTAAAGTGTGACGGCCACGAGCTCCGAAGAACTCTCATCAGTGTTGCATTCCAACCAGTGCCCGATGTCACTGGCCGCGTGCTGGGACGCATGTTGCCATTTGTCGGCGGAAATCACATCTCGGGTTATGAGCATCTGGACGCTCCAGCGAGAGTCCATTGCCCTGTTCGCTAATGTGTCAGCCATCTTATTGTATGCCCGTAGGTGGTGTTACCACGTCAGGACACAGAGCTTGTCCGCCATTCTGCGACTCTGCCAATAGAGCCCCTGCAAATGCTTTGCCCTGGGGGGCGTCCGTGTCTTTTGCTGACGGATAATGATCTCGCTGTCGCCGATCACATGCAGCGGTGTCCACTGTTGTCGTTGACAAGCCCGCAGTCCCACCAACAAACCCATGTTTTCGGCAATATTGTTGGTGGTGGATTTTGCCGCATACGACATGCTAGCAACCCAGCAAATCTCATGCCCGAGACACCGGTCGCCGATTCGCACCACTACGGCTCCACTTCCACCTGGCCCTGGATTCCCCCTCGAACCACCGTCAAAGAACAGCAAGTAACGCGTCGGGCCTCCTGTAGACACTGTCACTGCTAATTCCTCTCGTGTGCGTAATACGCGTCGAAGCACTTGCGCCGCTCGTTCTAGGACCTGATGTGGCCATCTCCCCACACGATGTAAATGAACCGTGTCATACCCCTGCCGCAGCCGCGATTCCAGGACCGCTCTATGGTACTGCTCCGTGACATTGTTGAGTGGATCAAAAAAGCAACCCTCCAGCGCCAGACCACATGCATGTCCAGCGCTACACCAATCCTCCAACAGCTTTCGGCAAGGCGAGTGACCTCCTCGGTTAACATGACCGACGCTGCACTCAGCAAATTGGGGAACATTTGTTCTGCTGTCTGCCATATACCCGCAGGCACGTGTGGCAACTCCAAACTGAAGCAAGCCTCTTCCAGCGCGGTCGTCTGCAGTCCTGCAGCTCGCCACCTCTGTATGAATACCCGGCGTAAAATCTCCGCGGCTGGGCACGACCAAAATACGTGGTGTAAATCGAGATGTCCCACATGCTCGCAACCTGAGTGTGGGCACCCCATTGTGCCGCTAGTTGGATCGTGAAGCGAGTTGGCGTTGTGTTTCAGCCGAAATAATAGCTGCTCGCCCCATGGGCTCAGCCCAGTGATGCGTCGGAGGCGCTTCCACTCTAATCGTGAGAGCCCCCGGGATGCATTGGCGCTCATAACCATCCAGCAGCTTTGCCGTCTCGCCAAACTGGCAAGTCCCCTTCGGCGCGCTGGCCCTGAAATGGCCAGTCGATAGTAGTTTCTCGACTGAGTCCACCGTCGGTTACCCGTCCATAATGCCACAAGACGGCTGACTCGAGGATGAGGATGCACCGCTGTTGCGTTATATTTCGAACCGAGTGCCACATTCACCTCGCTGGTGAACTGCACGTGACTCTGGACAGTAGTCACCTCTAACCCTTGATCGCGTCCCCCAGTAGCCCTTAGAGTCGGTGGGGTTGTATCGTCGAGCTCGAAAGTCATCGGTAACTCCTGTCTTGCTGCGTAGACTCTGACCTCGGAGCTAAGCCCACCCCAATAGAGTAGTCTAGGAAAATTCGTGATCAAAGTTAAAATCAAAACTTCCACCTTGGCTTTAACAGCCGTCGTTCGACGTTGCTTCTTACCGAGCAGAGTGAAAAGGAGCCGTCCAGTTCCCAAGCACCTCCAGTGTAAGATATCCCGCAGCCAAGAACCCATGTCTCTGAGCAAGCCAAAGTCCCGCGGCGTCGTGGGTCTCCCAGTTTTTCCGTTGTACATCCATAAATCTGTCAGGTTTGCATAAGGCAGCCATTCTAAGCAGTGACCACCTAACCTAGACTGCTCCTCGCGCAGGAATAGCCGGCAGACTGTGGCTCGTAGTCTGTCTCCATTAACTTCAATCCGAGCTCCAACCCATCGTAAAGTTACACACTCAAAACTGGACGCCAGATGATACAAAGCAGTGACCATGTGCGCTCTGTCGGGTACATCCATATCTAGTCCTGCCGCCGTCACCCCTTTTTTCCCGTTTCCCACAGTGTGTCGCGCCGACGAAACACGGCCGATGCCACGTCGACTGCGTTGGGGGTCAAGTACACAGCAGGCACCGTTGCCTGTAGTTCCCGAGCCGTCGCCATCAGAATGTCTCCGACAACGTGTCCGCTGTGTGTGCCATGTACCGCCCAGTTCGAGACGGTGACGGCGGCAGTGGCCATCAGTTCTGTTCTGAGATCGGGAACCGCTAGACCTCCAGTAGTCCGCGGTAAGGCTGCTAAATCCGCGTCCAGCCATGCCCATGTACCTCCAATTTCTGTGGCAAAGCATCCATGCCAGACATAATTTTTGATTTTTCGCGATAACCGATTGATTGTGCACGTAGGCGGCCATGCATGTTGCCCGATATACGTGAGTTTGGGAATAATGACGGCCGAGGCTATTAGACTTCGTTGGGCTACGGTCATCGTCTTCTTGCTGGCCATGGCAAGTCGAGCCGTAAGCTGCTTCTCTGCCACCACCCACGTTTTCTCTGAGTTTGGTGTGCTGCCCACGTGGATGCCCAAGTATCGTCCTGTTTGTCCCACCTATAGGAACCGCAGCGGTCGTGGTAGCCGAGCCGATGCCTGCGGCCGTCCTTATCAAGCGCAATCACCATGGTCTTCTCGTGGTTGAGTCTCAGCCCTGAAGCGGCCCCAAAAGTATTCGTAATTTGTAGTAGTAGCTCCACATATTCAGGTGACGCTAAATACACCGCAGTGTCGTCAGCATACCCTGCCACCTTCACCTCCAGTTCGCCTCCAGTAGAACAGAGAGTGACACCACGTAGTTCTGGGTTGCGGTCCAGCTCTCGGTACAATGCATCGAGCGCCAGTATAAAAAGCAGAGGGCACAGCTGAGCTTTAGCCAAAAAAGCACTCTGGATTGGCGGTGCTGTCCTGGTCGCTGCTGCCGCACGAAGTTCTGCTATTTGCGGTGGTTGGGTCGTGTATCCCATCCACTTGTTGATCCACGTCATCCACGCGGCCTCCGCTTTTCTGCAGCCCCACAAAATGTGGTCAATTGTTTCAGTGAGGCATTGACAGTCCGGGTCCGGGCAAGCGCGGTCGTCAGGCCACCCGCTGTGGCGAAGATTTAGAGCTCCTAGTGCGATTCGGTACATCGTCCAGTTTTGAAAGTACACAAGAATCGGATGCAGTTGAGCTGGTAGGTGTCGTTTGAATGCTCTAGTTCGTTCTTGCGTAGAGAGATGGGTACATTTCTCGCCAAGGTTCCTTGTGGCACCGTCCATGGGTAGAGCGATGTGCTGGGGCTTGATTCGAATGTAAGACCTACGACGCGTTCCCATGCCGTAAGCCCCTGAAAATCGTCACTTTCTCGAAAATCTCGGTCCGCCCATGTTATCCGCCAAGTTATTCCATTCTCATCGCGCGCGAGGTGGAGCACCGTCATGCGCTCCGTTTGGAAATGTGTTGCAGCCATGGTTGGTCGGTCTCCTTCATCTTGAACCTCCCATTGCAGCTGATGCCGCAGGGTTGGCAGCGCAATTGGTTTCGGCGGCTATTTCTTGATCCCCCACAAGTTCCAGGGCACACTTCGTAAGATATTCACACACCACCTTAGGACATTTTGCTTGTGGCGAGCACTTCGTTTCGCGGCAGTATCATCGCTTGATCGGTTCGACTCGTACAGTGGATAATCCAACTTGCCCAATATTGCGCGCGTTCTCCCAATTCCCTAATGGCCGACTTTCTCGGAGTGAAATCTCGCAACGTCACCAGAAGATGCGCGTTATGCGTTTCCCCATCCGGTGCCCCCACCAAAACGAAGGGGTCTGTGATTTCAGCTTCGATAAACTCGATGTTATCCGTGGTGTGACCCATGGAAAGCGCCCAACTAACCTCGGTGTCTTCAAAGCCACACGAAATCCACTCCCCACGACGACCTACTGGCTGGAAAAGCCGAAGTCCGTCCTCCGGTACCTTCGCCTCTACTGGATATGGCGTGACATAGGGACTGCAGAGACTTGGTAACATCCACACGGGCAGTGACCGGGTCCTTCCTGGTCCTTAGCAGTGCACAACGGACTCTTCGTAGTGGGGAGACAATGAGAACGTGGACGAAGGCGAGATCCGGTTCATTTCCAAGGAAAAAATCAGAGACGCGATCATCTGAGTGAAGCTGAAGCTCTCGTCGCAGCATCGATCCTCGCCGGAAATGAAGGACCTTGCAGAAAAAAACTCTCCGCACTCGTTCTTCGCAGGGAACAGCATGACCTCATCTGCACTCACGTTCGCGGGGTAGTCAGGCAGCGCTTTATTGGCAGCGAAGCAGGAACAATGAGTGATGGCGCGCACCGACAATGGCGGACGCAAATGAAGAGGCGAAAGAAGAAAGGGAGAAGAATTTTTCGCTGCAATGTGGCCACGCAACAAGTATTTTTTTCCTCAAGAGAGCACCTGCTACAGCTGATCCCTGGGGCTGTTCTCATGGCAGGAATCGTGGTGAAACTTTCACAACGTTTGCTCCGCAACCCGCGGCGTCCTATCAGATCAAAGACCGCACTTCCAAGAAGCAATGGTAATCTCTAGTTTTGTTAATCTGGTGTGTTTCAGGATATAGATGGAGGTACCAGAGCGGCATTGCCGAGACCAAGTACGTGTCGGCTGCTAGACGCGGTTCCAGATCGATGGTCTGGTTGGGCCTCTACACATTGTGAGCAGTTGTGACCATCAATGCCCGCGATGGCATGCGGTTTCTGGCGAATGCCGTTTGTGTACAAAGCTCCGGCAACGGCTCATGGCCGTAAGATTTCGGTGCTGCCATGTCTTTTTACTTGATTGAGAGTAAGAGAAATATCCGACTTAAGGCAACTGAACGGGGGTTCTCATTCTCTAACTTCTCGTCCACCACAATTGTCTCCCATCCCATGACTTCAAGTAACCTGATCTTCGGCAAGCCGGTGATGCTCCAGGGTCTTCACGGCAAAACGCTCTTTAGCCCGGGAGGAGCCGAAGCCCTGCTCTCAAAGTCTGTCGAAGGAGAGGACGCTTGCGTGCAGCTGCTTCGAAACGACGACGGCACCGTGTCGATCCAGTCGATGCGCAATAAACTTTTTCTGAGCGCACGCGAAGTTGAAGATGATGACGATGACGACGATGAAGAGCTTCCGTGCCGCTTTGATGCAACTGAGGTCGGCGAACTCCAGAGTTTCCGTGTGAAACTCGTTGAGAATTGTGCATTTGTCCTGAAATGTGAGGAAAACGGTTTCCACCTCGAACGTAACAAGAGTCAAGTGGAGTGCAGCGACTATTATGATGAGAAGCATGAAGCGATCCAGTGGACGCTAAAGGTCCCTGCTTGGGAAGCTTCCGCTCAAGCTGCGCTGCCTAGTGAAGCGAGTATTCCTGACGCAGTCCCCGCTCAAGTTGTAACGGATTCACAGGTGATGGCGATCTCGTACGGCGGCCTGGAGAAAGAAGCGCTCGACAAGCGTCACGAGACAATTGTGCAGATGGTGATGGCGGGTAAGTCGGTGCAGTACATTGACGACATCCTCACGCGGCTGTACGGTTCGCCGCTGGCAAATGGGAACAAGGTTCTTCTAAACTAGGCTCTGCACACGAAATGGAAGCGGTTCCCGACCCAATTCATGTTTTCTTCTCCAAGTCCTTACTACTTCGAAGAACTTCGTAGTAAAAGAATAAAAAAGTTGTTGCTTCATCCGTAGCTGGGAAAACCAGAAGTCCATTTCATTACTTTATGAACCATTGTGATGACATTTGTACATACTACTTTCTATTACTTCCTGATTTTTTGATGAGCTCCTTCTTGTCCATACTGACTAAACGATTCATGTGTGTGAAGCTCGAGCCGCTCGAACCTTTTAACAGCCATTCACCGTCTTCATTGCTCGAGAAACAAGAGATATAAACAATCGAGATCCTCGCTTTGCAACTGAACTGGATGCTGAAATGGCTCGTACTCTGGTGCCCACAGTCCTGTTGGCGTATTCCCGCCAGATACCGAGGAGGCTGCAGCTGGATGGCCTGGAAATGGTGCAGGTGTCATCCCACCTCTCACCGACATTGCCGCGCTTGATACACCACCTCCATACACCTCCATCCCCGGATAGGGACTCACTAACACTTGACTCGCTGCGCCCATAAGCGTAGGGTCCGGGACACCGAACGGATGAGCTTGCACCATCTGAGCTTGTGCCTGGGCTTGAGCCTGTGCTTGAGCTTGTTGGGCCTGCAACGCGCGCATCCGCGACTGTATCCGCTTCTCCTTGAGTCTCTGCTCGAGCTTGCGCTGGTACCTATTGGCCGAGTCTCGATGGGTATCGCAGAACTTGTGCAGCTCGCCGTTGTTCTTGACTGCGCGCTTGTTGTAGCAGCGTTTGTTGGGATACCTGCACAGATTCTCGGGGTGGTTGCGATGGATGGCCGGCGTGCCGCTCGCGGCTTTAGCTCCTCCTCCTCCTCCCTTGGCTGCGTTCCCATCGCTCGCGCTGAGATTCTCGCTGTTCGCAGCGCTTCCGCTGCTCTTGCTGCGCCGTTTCGACTCCGTTGAAGCCTCGGTCGGTACTGGGGCAGACGGCTGCGGTGCCGACGCCCGTCGGTGGTTCATGAGCGAGTCGGTAGGTACGTGGGCGCACTCCGCTAGTGCGGCGTCGGTCATGTTGGGATCTACAGCGGGTCATCACCATCCGCCCTCGACTCTCTCATCCTAGTGGACACGCGGCTCTACAGGAATGAGGCGGGCCAGGCTCAACCTTAAGACGCAAACACCAAATGTGGACACGTTCCGTCCGGCGCGTCCGCCTTGCAGAATGCAGACGGAGCGTCTAGGATCGTCCCGGCACCACCAAAGCGATACAGCCGTGATTACGCCTCGCAAACGATGAGTAACGCGATCCCGGGGTATACAAACGCCAAGTGTAAACTGGCTAGCTCAACGTGCGGTCAACAGCTTCCGTACACCGAGGTTGTCTGCTCGACTTTACGAGGGGGGGGGATCGAGCTGACTGGCGTGGGACAGCGAAGCGTTGCAACGCTCCTCGTGACTCGTTGGACAGCTCACACGCATCGCCTGCCAGCCGCAGATATCGCTACATTCACAGTACGCTATGCTGATCACATCACGCAAGATACACGTTCGAAATGCCCGCAAGTCCAGCATGGCAGCCAGCGCTCACGCGTGAAAGGCGCTGTCGTGTGCATAGATATCCCGTGGACTGTGTATTGCCTCGCCCTAAACTATCGATATGTTCACTTAGAGAGCGATCGCGAGGAGCTCTTGAAGTCCGCTGGCCATGCAGCACAAAAGCGCGAGCAGCATGCGCCTGAAGGCGCAGGACGCCAGAAGTGAACCACTTTTACGCCGGACCTTTGCACTTGGCTCATCGTGACGGATCGTGCTGCTGACTGCCAGCAAAAACTTGGCCTGGGCTGCTCCTCCGCTCACGCTCCCCGTTTTATGCCCTCCGTGTTGGTCCGCCCTCCTCTGCAGACAGTCGTCGTCGAGGGCTCACCTCAACTTAGGGCTCCGGTAGGACATGTCGACATGTTGGACACTCCATCTTGACCTGCATCCAGCCCTGCAAGCACTCGCGGTGGAAGATGTGGTCGCACGGCGCGATCATGTAGTCGCGCGCTTCGATGTCCAGCTCCACCATGCAGATCACGCAGTCGATGGAGTTGTCGCCGTCCTTGAGCAGTGCCAGCTGCTGCAGGTTGATGCGCCGCTCGTAGTTGTACTTGACGGGCAGGAACCGCGCAGGCACGAAGAACCTCGGACCGTACCGCTGTTGCAGAGCTAAGATTCCGACCTGCAGCCCCATCCACACTGCCAACACGTAGCAGAAATGCGGGTCGATCTTGCTCTCGTACTGTGACAAACGCAACCAATCAATTCACACACGATCCCATCAGCATGTTAGTCAAAACCAAATCGCTGGTGTTCGTAGCATACGCAAAAGTGACAAGTTCTTACCATCGGGAAGGCGGTGAGGAAGTTGTCCGGGCAGCCGTAGAAATACAGCGGCAAGAACAAGCGCAGCGCGCTGATGCCGTACAGATACCCGAGGTCAAATGGATTCCGCACCTCCCTAAAGCACAGCTGTGTTAACACCAAACCCATTCACTACACAACCTATAGCACAGACATACCGGTGGACGTTGTGGACAATTTGGGGAACCCAGAATGAATAGCAGATGAAGACCAGCACGGGCAAGTGGTTCTATCGTAACACACACCACAAGAATAAGTTTGTTAATCTAGTCGCACACAACGAACAAACTGGACAACCAACAGGGCAACCAAACCTGGAACGTACCGAGAAGTTGTAGAAGATGCACAGCCCAGCGAGTAATGACAGGTAGAACCGCGAGTAGAGCGTCGTGAGCTCCCGACGCAACGTGAGCCATCCCTCCGAGAAGCCTTGCGGTCTCCGCGCCTTCCAGATGATCAGCAGGTACCGCATCTCAAACACCGAGAAGATGATGAGCTTCACGAACGCGACCGAAGCGAAAGCAGCAAACACGTTCTGCGCCACGATGCCCACCGTCAGGTGGCCCAGACACAAGTACGAGTCTACAATCGCCTGCTGCCCGATAGTCAGCAACGACACCTTCGCTGCCGTCGCCTGGGTGCTCGAAATCTGCAGCTGCCTCAGGAGGAAATAGATCTCAGCCATAGCGATGAACGTCATGATCACGGCATAGCGAGACGCCTTGGCGAAGAACACGTTCAGGTTCTCCTCCTGGAACGTCGTGTCCAGCTTCAGATACAGTCCACAGTTCACACTCGCGAGCGTTCCCTCCAGCTTCATGTGGCGCATGGACTTCTGCAACACGGTCGCCGCGTCATCGTCTTCGTCGTCCTCCCCTCCCTTGCGCGGTGGCTTGCTGGTGTCGTTCACCAGCGACATCTCCACGATGCTCACACACTGGTCACTGAACGAGTCGCTGCTGCGGAACCGCGACACGTACGAATACCGCGGCGGCGAGATGTCAATGGCCGCGTACTCGTCCCTGTTCTCCACCGCAGGAACCCCATCCAGCACGCCCAGATTCATCAACTCTGCTCTGGGTTGACGCGGAAGTCTCTCTAAATTGGCCTTGCCGTCTCCTTCACCTTCCGCTTCCGCGTCCTCCTCAGCATCCGACGCAGTGGGGGAGTCTGTCGTCTCCTCCAATAGATTCGTGGAATTAACTGCAGCATTGCCATTGCTCTTGTCCTTGCGATACAAAATCTGCACGCTAGAGTCGGGACTGTTGCCGAACAGTGTCAACTTTGCCAGTTTACGCAGGAAAACTCCCTGAACTGGCAAAATTGTTGCCGCAAGAGAGGCCTGCTCCTCGTAAATCACCAGCTGACCCGTGACGTACGCCACCTCCTTCGTCAGCTCTTTAGAGGCAGGAGGCTTCATCTTTAAGAACAGCCACGTGTGACCGGTCTCCACTGGCTGCGTGTACTGCTGCAACTGAATCTCCCGATCCACCTTCAAGTACGGACTGGCAAACAAAACACAAAAAGGTGAATGAACACCTTAACCAACACTCCGCAGCTCATTTCCCACTCACATAATGTCCTTGTACACGGGTTTATTGGCGTCGTACTCCTCCGCCAGCAACGAGTCCCAAGTACCTACACCAAAAAGAGAGAAACCCGGTTAGCACCACCTAACCGTTCCTCACTTTTAACACCACTTAAAGTTGCAACTTTAAGCCACAGTTTTTAAACTTCAGATCCTCACCCGAGTAAATGCCCGTGACGTTCAGCGGCGGCTCCTTGTGGCGGTACGCGGGCTGCTCTTTCAGCAAATTCTCTAACTCGTGCACCTTTTGCACCCGGTCCGTGTCGTTGAAGGCGTTTTGCGGCAACGAGTAGCGGCTGCGGTCCCCTCCCAGGCCCTGCGAGCCCCTGGCGCCTCCGCCTCTGCGCGCGTCCCCCGCGCGGTTATCGAAGAAGAGGACGAGGAAGCAGAGGAAGATGGCCATGCTCAGCAGCTGCATGCGCTGACGCTGGAACTGCTGCTGGCGCCAGTCCGCCTCCATGGCGCCCAGGTTGAGCGCCAGCGGGTCGTTGCCGCCGCCGCCTCCGGGACTGCCGCCTGGGCCGCCTCCTCCGGGCGCGTCGCCGTTGCGGCGCGGGGAGTTGGCGCGCACGATCATGACGACGCGGCCGTTCTCGCCACCGCGGTCCCCCATGACTTGAGCTCACTATGGACACGCGGTTAGAGATTTTTTTTCACTTATCCTTGCAGCAACGTAACGTAGCTCATTAAAGTTGCGCAGTGTGGTGTAGTCCACCAATGTACCCATTTTGTTCTCTGCCTCATGTTTGTTTGTCAGTTATTGTCGAGACAGTCAGCGTCTTGTAATAGTGCGCGTCCATCGGAGCTTCTTCTCGGCGCTGTATCTCCGCAATGGTGGGCTCCCCGACGACGATGGACCCCTCATCTTCTGCGCCTGCGTCTCCTCTCTCCGCCGATACGCTGCAGGCGCTGTCTCTGTCCACGGAAGACGCGGAAACCTCGGCGCAGATCGACCTGGTGCTCGAAATGACTGCGACCTTCGACGCCGACGGCTTCCAGCTGCCCTCCAGCGTCACGCGCAGCGAGGTGAAACATGCTCTTCAAGCGTGCGACGGCGACGTGTCCAGAGCCGTGGACGACGTGTTCAGTCTCGCCGCTATCAGGTCCCTACGCCAGCAAGAGCGGCAGACACTTAGCGAGCGCCGCCAGCAGCACGCCACGCTGCAGCTCAGCGAGCTCTGCAGCGGCCTGGGACTGGACGAGAGCAGCTCGTTCGTCGCAGCACTACAGCAGCTGCCGGCAGAGGAGAGGGACGCGCTGCTGGCCAGCGACGGAGCCTTCGTGCAGCAATTGCTGCTCAGTCTGGACGAGGAGGAGATGGAGATGGAGGGAGGAGAAGACAGTGAAGAGGAGGAGGAGGAGGATGTGCACCCGCTGCAGTACCTGCTGGAGCTGTACCCGGACTACAAGCCGGAGGTGGTGGAGGACGTGCTGGATAGTCACGGCTACGACGTCAACAGGGCGGCGGAGGCGCTGCACAACCTGAGGGCGCTGAACCACGTGCAGAGCTACGCTACAGTGGTGAACGCCGATGCGAGAGCTGCAGCGCAGCAGAGGGAGTTGTTCGTCAATGGACCAAAGGTGGACTCGTTGGGGCAGTTCCCCGAGCTGGGCGCGACCAGCAAGACGCAGCTCAAGAAGATGAAGAGGCAGCAGCGCAGGCAGCAGAAACTGCAGCAGGCGCCGCACCAACGACCGCCACCGAAGCCTTCGCCCCCGCCGATAGCGTACCCGATGCTACCTGCACGGAGGCACGTGGCGAGGGGGAAGGTAAAGACCGTCAATGCCTGGGACCAGCAGCACGCGCCGCATGACAGACAGGAGTCCGGCATCACGACGCAGCTCAAGCTGGAACGGCTCAAGAAGCTGCTGCCTTCGATCGATAGCAACGTTATCCAGACGGTACGAGTTACCTATGGTGGAGGTGGGTGTTCAAGCAGAACTGCTAGTGAGCTGACTGGAAACGCCGTGTTTGTGGTGGTTTGTTTGTATTCCTGTGTAGACGTTCTTCCTGAATGGGTGTAGCTCGGATGCCACAGAGGCGACGTTGCGCGAGGTTTATAACTTACCGCTGGTGCACAAGCACGCGCCTCCACCCACTGTGACGGAGGAAGTGGAAATGGCGGCTGCGGCGGCAGACGCAGAGGAGGAGGCTGCTACAGCAGCGAAGAATTCGCGTCGATCGGGTCGAAGCAGCCGTGCAGAGGATTGGACTCTTGTTTCTAGCAAAATCAAGGTCAACGCCGCGAGAGCGCAACTCAGCGACCGCTACTGCGCAGTTCTGGCATCTTTCCGACGCGGCCAGAACATCCTTGCTGTCGACCGTGTCCGAGAGTGAGTATTCTGGTTATCTTGCAGATGCTTTCGTGCAGGTCAGGCTTAAGAGATGTGCTTTCGCTTGTGTTGTTGTTATTGTCTAGGCTGAGTAAAGCGCGTCGCGAGCATCGGGAGGCGCAGCGAGAATGGGCACACGACTTTTTCCTCGGACACGAGGAACATCTCAAGTGGGTTCTAGCATCTCATTTTCAACGGCTTGTTTTCTGTCGTATCCAGTCTTTCATCTGGCATCCGTCTGTGTGTTTCTTGTGTTTAATGCGATAGACACCAGCGGCCGATCGATCTGCACGGCATGATCGTGATGGAGGCTCTTTGGGTGGCCCGCGAGGCCATTGAGTACTGCCAGGCACACCGCATCCGTCGGTGTCTATTGATTTGCGGCGTTGGTCACCACTCGATCAATGGCAAGCCGCGTATCCTGACTGCGATTCAGTTGTCTTTGGACCGGCGTCAGATCGATTACCGCGAGCTGCACGGTGTCATCACGGTGTTCCCGCTCCGTTCCACGGATTCGTCGTAGTTGGTGAATATGTTCGACTGACGTCTTTACTGGCTAGGTGCAAGCTGCGGTGCCTGTCCGAAGGACGTTCGCTGAGAGAATTTTCTACTGGCTAGTAGCTGAAAGGTGATGCACAGTTGTCGTTGTCTACATCTTTTTCAATATTTTTCAAACAAGTTGGGGGTGGTGCGATGTGCTTTGATGTGCATGTCCGTTTGAGTTGATAACTGGCTGTCATAAGTGGCGTACTTCTTGCCAAGCCTGTGTGCGTTTCCGTGATGCGTGTGCTCAATAGGTGGTTTCGAAGTCTGCGAACAGCAATTTGCATGCAAGGATGGCAATCTGCTAGGGCAATCTTTTAGTGGCAACAAGCCACAGAGTGGATAGGGATGTATCCCCCGCTGAAGGTGAAGACAATATGCACACAGCATCGTCTCAGGCCCCTTCAAGTTCCAGCCCGACGCATTATTTGGGCTGTGAGATTGAACAGACTGCCAGGGGCGCCACCGTCATCACCGTCGCAGCTTCCGCCATGTATCCAAGCTATACCGCTATCGTGCCCAGTATTTTTAGTGGACCAAAACGGTAACACGACTCCAGCGGTCCCAGCGAAATGGGATGGCGTAACGCAGCAGTTGAGAGTTAGCTCGGTGTACGTTGCGTGGTTCCCCCTGCCTGCTGCGGGCACTGCTGCTCAACGCTACTTCTCAAAAGACGATTGAAGCCTGTGCGACGCCGTTCTCGAAGTCATTTCGAAACTCTTGTCTCGGGGGGAGTCAGTCGACCAAGCTATAGCAGCTACCAACCTACCTACCTACCAACGACAAGTGAAGCAATCACTCCGCCAGTTCAGAAATTACGCTGAAGCAGCAATGACGATCACGCGCACTCACCGATCTCTGTCGGCCTTCGCTTCGGAGTCCGAAGTCGACCGCGAGCTCGAAAGCTCCTACCCTCGATGCCAAGTTGCGACGCCAGGGGGACAACCGCCGAGCTGGGCGACCATGACGTACGTTGAAACCTCCCGAGATCTGCCTCCTCTCGAGTCGGGGAGCTTGGCGTTGGAAGACCAGTTCTGTGGGTGGCTCTGGATGCGCGGTGCGCGCCTCGGACGTTGGCGTCACCGGTACTTCTGCCTCGACGGCACCATGCTCTCGTACTTCACCAGTTTCCCGGCTGAGGTGTTCTTGAAGCAAGCTCAAGCTTCTGTGGCGTCGGCCTGGGCATCGCGCAACCTCTTCCACTTCGGCGACGGCTGTCAACCTCGTGGAGTTATCCGAGTGGCGCACATCGACGACAATGACCGGAGCAACCGCATCGGCTTCAAGGTGTACGGCGCGTGTGGCAAGGTCATCGACATTCGAGCGCATGACACTCAAGAGCGCAACCGTTGGCTGCGTGCGTTGAAGACCCCCGCGCGCCGCAAGTCTCGCTCATGGTCCATCGGCTCAAGTGAAGAGGTGACGGTGAGCATGTCGTCGTTCGATCCGGATGGGCTCTGCCACTTCGATCGACTGTCGATCCCGATCACCAAGAGCGGCTGGATGGAGAAGAAGAGCTCGTTCATCGGCATCTGGCGGCGCTACTTCTTCGTCGTGCAGGGCTCCATGCTCTCGTACTACAACAGCGACAAGCCGTACGAGGTGCCGCGTTGGCGAGGGTACGTCGAAGGCGTCAAGGCTCGTCGACGCAGTGGGTCGCTTCCGTTGCCGTCCGCTGGAACCACCATGGCCCCACCACCACTGGAACTTTGCATCACGTTGGACTCGCCACAGAATCAAGTGCTTCGTGTGAGACTCAGTAGTGCCGAAGAAGCGCGTGAGTGGCGTCGCGTGTTGCGCGCCAATCTCCCACAACGCACCAACGGCACCTTCACGGCCTAGGTTTTATCTGCGTAACAAGAAATCGTTTCCGTTTACGATGCTTGGTTTACAATACTTTACTTGCACATGGGTGATGAGACGGAGGATACCACCAAGGACTCGTTGGATCCTGTAAAGATCTCAACACACAATGGACGGCTGTCAAAGTCGTCGCTTGTCCACAGCCAAAAACCAAACTCCTTCACTCATTCGTCGATTCGCCGTCCTTCGAGCAAGTTGTTGATCGAGGACCGAGACGGATATGAAGTTGATCGAGATCTGCGTTGGGATCGTCCTGGCGGTGGCGTGTAAGCTCTTGACTATCAATGGGGAAACCACGTTTGCCGTTACGACTGTCTATGAGGACAGCGCGTGCAATGAGGTGCCAACCCTGCTAACGTTCTCTCCCGATGCTGCTTTGGAGTTTCGCCCGATGACGGATGCCAAGCTACTGGGAACTCGCTCTTCGCTGTGTCGAGCTGCACTACGGACTATGAAGGCTTTGTGGCGGCAGCGTTTGGTGAGACTTTATCCATCGCTATTATGCTGCGACGGGATGCAACAACGTTGGGTACGTGTACGTGTACTCTGCGGACGACTATTGTCATAAGTACCCGGACACTTCCAGCGGCTTTGGCAGCTTCAGAGCTCGGATCGACATCAACGGAGGAATCGGGTATGGGTTATTTCTCGACTTAACCTGCACTGACTGGAAAGTGGTGGACCAAACAAGGAGCTGATGAAGCCCGTCTACTGCTCCTACTGGGATTGCGCTTTCACGCTTCCGTTGTGCTCGTACGAGCGATGCGGGTCTCCTCCGTACGGCTTCTGTGGCTCCGGGATGTCGGTTGGTGGACCCAGTGGGCCTCCAGCCGTGGAAAGCCACACTCTTGTCGTGACATATGAAGACAGCTCGCCTGCCGTTTCTGTGGAACTCACTAGCGAGGTGGTTTGTATTCCTCAGACTGACCATTTTGATCCAGTGTGTACGAGTGATAGGGGTGCGTACAGCGTCTCGGACTGTACGATGCACTACTCTGGTGGTTGGGACGATCTTGGGATTATCGACAACGCCTTTGACAGCTCGCCGTATCTCGTTGTGGAAAAATATGTGTGGTGTGCCCTCGTGGACACAGTGACGGACGTCAAGATGCACAGACTGGGCGAGAATTGCTACCCCAACGCAGCAGGCAATGCCAGTCATAAGCTGACTTTAGACCACTCGCTAACAATCACGACTTACGCAGACGCAGACTGCATGGAAGTTGCTTCGGAAGTGACGGTGAAGCGATCGACGATACTCTATGGTGGGTGTATCGACGACAGGAAGTTTTTCCTGGCCAACACGAAGCTTCATTTTCGGTTGTCGCGGTCTATGAGGACAGCGCGTGTTCAGGTACTCCCTTTCAGATCACGTTTGAGCCCATCGTTTGGTGTGACCCGCTTAAAGCTGCGAATGGACAGTGTCAATCGATCCGCGGTTCACTTTTCTCGGTATCGAGCTGCACACAAGACTACACTACTTTCGCTACAACGGCGTTTGAAGGCAAGCTGTTCGTGATCGAGCAAGCGTTTTCTCGGGATTATTGTGATAAAGTCGACTTCGTGACAGCGTATGCAGCTGATGGTAATTGCCACACAGATCTGGATGGATCTACAAGTTTCCAAGCGGTGCTCGATACGGACACCACGCTCGTATTCAGAACATTTTCCGATTCGGCTTGCAATGATGGACGTAACACAGCAACGATGACGAAAGACCAACTCGCGTCACCGATGTGCATGTTTGAAAGCTGCAGCACGATGCCAAGGATGTGCTCTGTTGAAGACTGTTGGTGGTGGGCGTGCGGGAGAAAACTCTTTCTAGGTGGACTGGAAGGGCGGGCAGGACTGGAACAGCGGACCATTGTCACCTTGTACGAAGACAGCTCGTGCTCTAGCCCCGCGGTAGCTATATCCGTTACAACCGAATTGACGTGTACGCCTCAAATCGACCACTACAACCCCGTGTGTGAGCAAAACGGAGCAGTATATTCTGTTTCGGACTGCACTCAATACTATGTCGGAGGCTGGGACGACATTGGGATCATTCGAGACGCGTTCGGTGATAGCCCCTATCTGTTTGTCGAGAACTACTTGACGGGGAGATGTGGGGATGAAAACGCCGTTTTAAAGGTGAAAATGTACAGCCTGGATGAGGCCTGCCACCCGGACACTACAGGAACCGGAAGCTACCGGTTGATGTTAGGCTACTCGGTGACGATCACGACCTTTTCAGACGCAAACTGTCGGAATGTCGCTACTATAACTACTGTGGATCAATCGATGCTCACTGCTAGCTCGGCTGGGAGTTGTGTTGACAACGACAAGAAGTACTACGTCGTCAACGCACAGACCTCGTTCGCCACTCGCGCCATCTACGAGGACAGTTCGTGTTCTGGAACGCCATCACTGATCACGTTCTCGCCAATTTTCGCGTGTCAGCAAGGGACGAATTATGTCGAAACAGCTTCACTTTTCGCGATGTCAAGCTGCACAACAGCTTATGCAGATTTTGCGACTACCGCATTCAGTAGTGCCCCATTCATGATCGATCGCTACTACTCGGCTGCGGGGTGCGGCAACATTGGATATGTGAACGTGTTTTCTACGGACTGCTACTGCCACGCCAACCCGGAGGAGTCGAGCAGTTTTAGCAGCTTCAGAGCTCGGATAGCTGATGATGGCACTGTGGCCTTCTCGTTCTTCCGTGACAGAACGTGTGAAGACGGCTACCATTCAGGGGGACTGAGAAGCGATCAGCTCATGCCAAACCTGTGGACCCTCTATCTATAGCGATTGCGGCAGATTGATCTCAGTCGAGGACGCCGTGGAACTCCACCAACTGGGAAGTTCTCGCATGTCACTCTGCACGAGGATAGTTCGTGCTCCTCCTCCACAGTCTCCGTGATGCTGACGACCTGTCCTTCTCAGAGCGATCCCTATCAAATCTATGTTGAGGGATCTGGTACGACCAAATGGGAGGCATGCTACCGGTATTCCTCTAAGTGCACGCAATACCGTTCTGGCTGTTGGGACGATCGTGGGGTTATCAGCAGTGCATTCGGAAACTCGCCGTATCTTATTGTGGAGAAATATGCGTGGTGCGGCATGGTTGACACAGTCACGGACGTGATGGTGTACAGGCTGGACGAGAAGTACTACCCCAATGCAGATGGTGATGCTAGTGGTAACCTCCAGAAGGGGTCATATATGGTACAGATCTACTTTTGGAACATATGACATTTTTGCGCGGATCGGCTTTGAGATCTGAAAATGCACGGTAGCACGTAGGCCGCGTGGAGCTTTGGCCGGCGAAGCGCTTGTATCGGCGAGGGTTCATTTGGTAACATGCAGACGCCAGCGCAGTCTCTCCCGGGCACTGCAGGACCTCCAGGCAACGTCGGCCCTCTGGGCAGCGCCATACCCGGCCGTACAAGGGGTTCAGTGCGGCAAGAGGTCAGCACGTGCTACTTCCGCGGCTATAAGTATACACGTGTTTGGGCATCCTCCAGGAAAATCTCCTACCGCTGCAGCCATTGGCGCTAGGGCTGTCCCGGGACGATGACGTTCTTCATTGGCACCATGGGGTACACCGCTGGCCGCCCCTACACTTGCCGCAATGTCGATGCTGCTGGCACGAGCCTCGTCGACGTCTCCAGTTGTGACGGGGCACACAGCACTTCTTAACAGAGGAAGCAGGAGTATACAAACTCCAAGTGAACAGCCGTTCACGTGTCCCTGGTCTGAAGGGGACGACTTGACTTGAAAAGCGGTAGATCTAAGACTGAATGTATTTATAGGTTGGTACAGATTTGGCCTGCATACAAATCCTAAGTTCCCTATAGTTTGTGTCGTACAAAATGTATCTGTTGGCTCTGAGGCCACTTGGGTCACTATCCAGGGGAGTGACCGATGTAGCCATCCTTGAATAGTGACAGGGTCACTATTCATGTAACCCCGGTACATCCTCCCCCACTTAGATTCGATCTTATCGACCAATCAGAGCGAGGTTACGCCGGCGACGCACATTTCACTCACAAAGTCGAAATCCATCGACAACGGCGCGAGCTCTGGCGCCTCGGCTCCCGGGCCTCACAGAGCAACTGGCTCATCGCCGAGCAAGCCGCAGGGTCTCCACGTCGACCGGAAGCATGCCTCCAAAGCGCAGTGCGCGCAGTGCGAAATCACCTTCGAAACCGCGGGCCGTAGGGCCGAAGACCAGGGCGGCCAAGGCCAAGGACGAGTCGTCCGCGCTGATGGAGGCTACGAAGGCGGCCGAGGAGGTGGTGCGCTCTCGTAGCAGCACGCCGGAGAGTGGCCGTCAGGCCGGGGCTCGGAGCAAGTCTCCTGACGCCGCGCAAGGCAAGGAGGAGAGTCCTCGGGGCCATAAAAGCCCGGCTCGCGACTGGGAAGCCGCCGTCTTTGACTGCACGATGGTCCAGTACTCCGGTGAGAGTTCACCCGACGACGAGAACGTCTCGGAGGGCAGCACGCACGCTGCCGAAGGCACGGAGCTGGCGGCAGGCGACATGACCAACGCCTCGGCCGACGCAAAGGCCTCGTCAGAGAAGGAGGCGGAGGACGCCGAGTTCGGCTCAGGCGACAGCAAGCAGTCGCACGACGAAGTCGCCATGGCCGACGCTGGGGTCGTGGCCGAGAAGTCGCCGAGCGACGCGGGCTCCAAGCCCAAGGAGGTGCTGGCATCCAAGCATCTGGCGCTGGCACAAGGTCGTGAGCGTGCCCAAGCGTCGAAAGCGGCTGCCGCTGCGAAGACCGCCGAGGCCAAGGCGAAGAAGCGTTCAGCTTCCAGGTCGCCTCGCGGCTCCAGCTCCAAGCTGTTCATCGACTCGGAGTCTGAGGACGAGGAGGGTGCCGTCCACGAGCCCAAGGAGCTCTCTAACAACCTCGACGAGCAGCAGCAGCAATACCACGCTGCTAGCTCGGGTGCGTATGCCAGGCAGCCGACTGCCACGACTGCCATCGAGTCTTCTTCAGGCGGGGATGCCACGTACCCGCAGGGCTACTTCCCGCCCGAGCCTGGCACTGGTGCGCCAGCGCTGTTGGAGAAGCTCTCGGCTCCTCGTGGCCTTATCGGCGGGTACACCTCGAGGGGTTCCTATGAGCGTGCTCTTGTTGAGAAGAGCCACTCTTTCTTGGCGACGTTGAAGTCGCCCGGTGTGTGCTACTAGCACCACACAAGCTCACACTGAAGGAGTTCACCACACTTCGCAAGAAGCCGGAGGACAAGGGTGGACTCCATCCTGAGTGGGGTTTCCACTGGGTCAAGCCGAATGACAACATGACCTGGAGCGAGGTGGAAGACCTCTTCTGGCGCTACGTCCAGCGCAAAGGGTATTCCGACCAAGAGTTCAAAGAACTTCGTGAGCATCGCACTCTGTCCGCAATCCTGGACGTGCGCGAGCTCCTCATCGAGTTCGCTCAACTCGTGAGCAAGCGCAAGCTCCACTCGAAAATGGACGAGCTGAAGCAAGAGGCGAGAGCCAAAGCTCGTGAAGAGCGTGGGCGTGGTGCGACTACGTCTGCTACCGTGCCCCGGGTACCGGCCAAGAAGCCAAGGACTACTTACGAAGCTGCCGCTGCTTCTCGTCCCATATCGCAACAGCCTTCGGGCAGTCTGCCTGGAGCTGCTCAACGGGCTCCCACGAGTTATCCGACTCAGGGTAACCCCTCCACTTCACGAGCAGCTGGAGCTTGCCATGGAGCCGCCGCTCCCGGTCGACTCGTTCCACGTGGTAGTGGATCTGCCCATTACGATCAAGGAGGGCCAGCGGTGACCTCGCACGGCCATGGCTACGAGCCTGAGGCGGCGCAGCCGTATGCTGGGTCCCCGAGTCAGGTGGTGGCCCTGCAGCAAGAGGAGATTCGTCTTCTCCGGGGCCGTGTGTACGTCTTCGAGATCGCGCTTGGCGTCGGTCTTGGTGGCGAGGCTGCCGCTCGTGCTGGTAGCCTGGTGCCGTGGAGCGGCTCCGTGAGGATGTTGCCTCGCTCTATCAAGAAACTCGCAGTCTCCATGGCCGTGTGGATCGTCGAGCCGACCTGTCGTCTTACGACTCGCTGCGAAACCAGCTCGCTTCATGACCACGCGCCGTATCCGGAGCAGCAGCAGCCCCACTCGTATCAGGTCCAGTTTGGCCAGGGCTCGTACGGGGCCCTGCGTATGCTGCTCCGATGTACGCCGCACCGTCTTACGACCAGCGCGCGTATCAGGCGCCTTACCGCGACCCGACGCCGCGCTTCTAGGAGCTGCGCTCTTCTCCACCGGGCCACCCACCGCTTCCTGCGGGGCAGCCAGAGCCAGAGGGTCATGGTACCTCTTAAGACGACCCACGTAAAACGTCGGGTGAGTCGTCATCGACTTGGGCAAGTCTATGGTGTACGCCGCGCCATGCCGGCTGAGGACCGTGAAGGGTCCAATGAAGCGGTGCTTCAGCTTGTTGCTCTCGACCGAGCTAACAGTGTTTAGCGGTAGGTTTCTAGTATCTAGAAGAACTAAATCCCCAACCTTAAACACGTTCATGTTTCCTCTTCCATTTCAGTCAGAGTACTCATTCTGTTTATATTGGGCTTGCGCCATGGTGTCTCGCACCCTGCTGATTATGTTCAGCCTGTCTTCGGCAAACGAGGACAGTTGCTTCCGCAAGGTGGCTGGACTCACGTCCGAGACTTGGGAGGAAAAGGTTTTCCGAGCCTCTCCCCCACTTAGGACCGAAGCCCCGGTACTGCCTCGTAATGTGAGCGGCACCTGAGGGTGGCGCAACCCGTTCAGGTAAAAGAGCGTAAAGCCCGTCGATGCATGTACCGCATTGTTGAGTGCGAACTCAACCATGGGCAACCGATCAGCCCAAGAGCGGGGCATCTCCGCGCAGATACTGCGGAGCGTGTCTTCGAGCACGCGATTGACGCGCTCCGTCTGGCCATCCGTCTGCGGGTGGTCCGCCGTCGACATCGACAGTTGTGTGCTGAGAAGGCGAAACAGCGTCTGCCAGAACGTAGCGGTGAACCGCGGGTCTCGATCAGAGACAATGGTCTCGGACAGACCGTGGTGTCGGAAGATATAGTCCATGAACAGGCGAGCGACCTCGTCGCCAGTGACGGTGTCACGAACTGGAGCAAAGTGGACCATCTTGCTCAGACAGCACACGAAGGCAACAACACCAGTGTTGCCACGGTCATCGGCCGGAAGTCCGAAGACAAAGTCGAGACTCATCGACTTCCAGCAGTCCGCTGGGACCAGCAGGCTCTGCAATGGTGCCGAGGCGTGACCGGCAGGCTTCACGCGCTGGCACGTCTCGCACGAACGGACGTAGGTGGCGACCCACTTGTACATGTGACGCCACCATAACATCTGCGAGACAGACGCGTACGTCTTCTCACGTCCGAGATGGCCACTGGATGGAGCGTCGTGCGCCTCCATCAGGATGTCGTACTTGAGATCCTCGTCGTTGGGCACGACAATACGGGGAGGATCCTCGGGCTCGACCCTATAGTGGAGCAAACCGTCAGCCCACTCATAGCGGCGCAGCCTTGCACATTGTCGGGGCGTGAGCCACTCGGCCTTGGCTTCCGAGCCAGCGGCCAAGAACCGCACAAGAGGTCCGAGACTGGCATCGTCTCGGTACCCCAGCCTGATGCGATCATACAGATCCGTCGTGCCCGACTAATATGAGCAAGCTCGTAGTCGGGTCGGCGCGACAGCGCGTCGGTAAGCACGTTCAACTTGCCCGGCTTGTACTCGACACGGAAGTTGTATTCTGCGAAGAATGACAGCCAACGCGCCATCCGCTGTGAGAGATGCGGCGTGTTGACGGCAGTCCGCAAGGACGCGTGGTCTGTATAAACGACAAAGGGCGTCGAGCTCAGGAGGTGCACTCGGAACTTGACAAGAGCGTACTTCATGGCAAGTAGCTCCTTGTCGTGGACTGGATAGTTCCGTTCGGCTGCCTTGAGCTGCCTGGACTGGAACGAGATGACCCGTTCGCGGCCTTCATCGTCGGCCTGCAATAGCGCACAGCCAATTGCGTAGTCAGACGCATCACAGACTACGCTGAAAGGCTTCGTCTTGTCCGGCAATGCCAGGACTGGCGCGCACTGTAAGCTCGCTTTGATGTCGTTAAAAGCATCTTGATGGCGACGCTCCCAGCGCCAGTCGACATCCTTCTTCAGGAGATCCGACAAGGGCCGTGCCAGCTCGGCGTAGCCTGCACTATACTTGTGCAGGTAGTTGGCGAGGCCCAACCACTGTCGTAGGTCCTTCTGCGACCGAGGTGGCGGCCAAGCCGCGATGGTTTTCACCTTCTCTGGGTCCACCCGGACCCCGGCGCTGCTGACGAAGCAGCCCAGGACCTTGATCTCTTCAGCTGCGAACACACACTTGTCGATGTTGGCGTACAGCTTGTTCGCCCGCATGACTTCGAACACACGTCGAAGGTGCTGGAGATGCACCTCCATGGCCGTCTGGCCTGCCTCGGCACGGCTGTGGACGTAGATGTCGTCAAAGTACGTCTGTGTGAACGCACGCAAAGGTCGGAACAGTTGTGTGACCAAGCGATTGAACGTTGCCGGGGCGTTAGAAAGCCCCTGAGGCATGACCAGCCACTCCCAGAGCATACCGCTCGGCGTGCTCACAGCCGTGAGTGGGATGTCGCTCTCGCGCATCAGGATCTGGTAGTATCCGTCCACCAGGTCCAGCGCGCTATACAGCGTGCAGCCAGCCATGTTGTTGAGCAACACGTCCTTGCGCGGGATCAGTGTCTGCGCAGGCACTGTCGCGCTGTTCAGCTTGTTATAACCACGAACCAGACGCCACTTTCCGTTCGGTTTGCGAACACAGAAGGTAGGCGTCGAGTGCGGGGACTTCGACTCCCGCACCATGCCTGCCTTCGCCTTGGCGGCAAAGAAGGCATCAATGACTTCACACTGCTCCCGGGGAAGAGGCCATTGCCTCGTGACACAGTACTTCGTGCCCGGCACGAGATCGATCTCGTGCCTGATTCCCCTGTCAGGAGGGAGATTGGACGGTGGATCCTTGGACACCACGTCCTCGAACTCCTTCACCAAGGGGTACACCGGATTCCGGGGGTTCTTAAGAATCTCAGAGCCCATGCGCGACGCGCGCTGTCTCTGGAACTCCTCCAGGACTGCCTCCATGACCGAGGACGAGTTCAACTCGGCCGACGTGGACTCCGGTCGGAGGAGAACCAACTCTGCGATCTCCCCGGCCTTTAGCTCGGCCAAGAAGTCCTCCATGGCGAGCTCCTCAAGGTTCAGCAACTCTGAAACCTCGGGCAGAGCTGTAAGCTCGACAGCTCCTGTCTTGACCCGACGACCGGTCACGCCGTCGAAGATGTGATAACACTCTTCGGCGGCTGGAGCCTTGGCTGGAGGCTCGGAGTCGCTGGCGACTGGCGTCGTCGGCCACACGACTAGGCCCGGCTTACGACGTGACCCTCGGGTGTCTTCGTCTCGTGGTGCCGCCTTGACGGCACCACCGATCTTCTCGATCTCGTGCGGAACTACGTCACCCGCCTTGTCCTTGAGCGGAACTTGGTTACCCGCCTTGCTGGGTGGAACTATGTTACACCTCGCCGTGTGGAACTTGGTTACCCACACCAGGAGCGCTTCCAGCGACTCCCGCATCAGTTATGGTCTGAGTGACCTCCTGTGGAACTATGTTACCCACATCGGAAGCGTCTGCAGTGCCTTCCTCATCAGTTACGGTCTGAGTGACCTCGCGTGGAACTTGGTTACCCACGCCAACGCCAGCGGCGCCTTCTCCAGCAGCCCTTGCTGCCTGCGGTACTTCGTTACCCGCGTGTGGACCTACGTTACCCACCTGGTAGGTGCTGTCCGGCACCTCCACTCTCAGGCCTTGTCCGGCCCGGTCGGAGTCGTCGTCAGTCTCGACGGACCCCAAGAACTCATTAGACGCTGCTGCGCCCTGGCGGCCCTCGCGGGCGCCCCAGCTGCTGCCAGAGGTGGGAACATGACTCACCAAAGCTCTGTCAGAGCGTGGGGGACGGCTGGACCCGATGGCCTTGCCGCGCCAGTCGATCCAAGGCTCGTGTTTCTCCAGCCACGGCATGCCAAGGATCAAGTCGTACTTGTCCATGTCTAGGACCAAGAACGGCTCCGTGCTGTCGAAGTCCTCGAACTTGACATTGAGGTCCATGTGGACCCCAGGTACTTCTACCACCGTACCGTCGGCCAGTCTTACCGAGACCAGCCCGTTGCCTTTGCTGCCTCGTAGCGCATCGGCGTACTTGTCGCGATTGCGTGCGACAGTCTGGCGGCGCGCAAAGTTCTTGGACGCCCCAGAGTCGATCAAGATTCTCAAGGGATGATCGTATCCCGGTACACTCGCGTGCACCACAAGCAGCCCACCGCTGCCCTTCTCCGCTTCGAGAGTACAGAGACTCTCAGGGTCTAAGTCCCTATGGCGTGCGCCACCCGCACGCCCCTCATGAAGACTTAGTGTTTCCCCAGTAGGGCGCCCCGCCCCTGCTGGTGTCCGGCGTTCCCCTGGTTCCTGGGGCGCGGCTTCTGCCAGCGACCCCTAGAGCCAAAGGGCTTCGAAGAGAACTTCTTCTTCAGCCCTCCCGCGGGACAAGCACGTTTCATGTGCCCAAGCTTGCCACAGCCGTAGCAGCGAATGTCGCTCTGCTCGGCCATGCCCAGATCCTTGGGAACCGGCCCGTTGATCGCTCCATTGCCGGAGTTACCATTAGGCGCACCACCAGAGGCAGGGTTGCTCTGCCATACCGTGGCGGGGGTACGAGCCTGCTTGTGGCTGTACTCCTCCTGGAGGGCGATCTGAATCGCCTCCTCCATAGTGTTTGCTTGCACACGGAACAGTTGCGTGCGGGCAGGACCGACACGCAGACCGTCCATGAACACGGTCACCCTGATGTGTTCAGGCAGGGGGTTCCCCACCAAAGAGGCAGTGAGCACTCGCATCTCCTGGATGTACTCATGCAGCTCGCGCCTTCCTTGTTTGCAGGCGAGGAAGCGCGAACGCTGGCGGTACTCGTTGTTCGCCGGAAGAAACGCGGCCCGCAGCTGCTCGCACAGCTGGGACCATGATGCGAAGCATCCAGGCGTCGTCGCTTCGCGCGTATACGCCCAACTCTTAGCGCGACCACTAAGGTTGGAGAGCGCAAAGGCGACACGGAGTCGCTCGTCCGAGACGAGAGCTGCGTCCATCGCGAGCTCAACCTCTCGAACCCAGAAGTGAAGGTTTTCTCCTTCCTTCCCTTCGAAGGGGTGAACCTTCAGCCGCAGGGGCTTCGGTTGCACCGGCTTCGGCGCGGCCGCAGTGGCCTGCAGCCCTTGAACGTGGGCGATGAGCCCTCGCTCGTAGGTGTCGAACGCGTTGATACGCTCAACCTGCTCAGCCGGCGTCGCCGCCGCTAAGCTACGCAGGGCATCTGTCCCAAAGATGCCTGCCATCTTACGAAGGGACTCGTACTGCGAGTCGTTCATATGGGGAAACTCCGTACGATCAATCTTGGCTCACTCGATGAGACCACAGAGGATTCAGGTAGTCCAATCTACCCGCGTAGGCGTAGGATTGACTACAAGTGCTACCAAGTGTAACGGGGCACACAGCACTTCTTAATAGAGGAAGCAGGAGTATACAAACTCCAAGTGAACAGCCGTTCACGTGTCCCTGGTCTGAAGGGGACGACTTGACTTGAAAAGCGGTAGATCTAAGACTGAATGTATTTATAGGTTGGTACAGATTTGGCCTGCATACAAATCCTAAGTTCCCTATAGTTTGTGTCGTACAAAATGTATCTGTTGGCTCTGAGGCCACTTGGGTCACTATCCAGGGGAGTGACCGATGTAGCCATCCTTGAATAGTGACAGGGTCACTATTCATGTAACCCCGTTACACCAGTGCTACGAAGGACAGAGTCGACACCCTGGCCATCGAACAAGTCGCGCTTCCTGCACGTCGCATATGGGAAGCTGTGCGGAGCGAGTTTTACGGAGCTGACAACGAACATGTAGTCCGCGGGCTATCTGAGCCTCAAGTGCTTCGCCGTGTGTACCAAGCAAGGAGCCAGCACTTTAGCGGAGACGTGCACGGGGCCATTGAAATTCCGCCACTTTCAGCGGCGCTGAACGAAGCTGTCTCCTTCTTACAGTTTCATTACGTCACGGTGAACCGCGAGAACCTCAGCAAGCCTACCCGACTCATTGGCTGGGCACACCCCTCCCTCATCAACCTACTTCGCTACAACGGGACTACCATTTTTGTCGATGGTACATTTCGCTGTGTACCCCCTGGGTACAAGCAGTGTGTCATCTTTATGGTGCACGACCGAGCGTCCGGACTATATGTGCCAGTCTACTATGTATTGAGCACTTCTCGCAGGGGCGATTCTTTCTGGGACATGGTGCATTTCGTCGTGCAAAGCACTGACCAACAGCTTGAGCCGGCGGAAGTCGTGTGCGACTTCGAGAGCGCTTAATTGATGCCGTGCAGACTCAGTTCCCCAACGCAATCGTTATTGGGTGTCTGTTTCACCTGAAGCAGGCGCTCAGGCGTGCGATGAAGCGGTTCCTGATCCCGGAGGAAGAATGCGGCATTGCGATGACCCATGGGGTCCTCGACATGCTAACGGTGGTTGACCACAGCTTGATTGAGCGATGCATCAAGTGGGTTAAGCGCGAGATCCGACAGTGCTTCGACGTCGCTGGAATTGCGTACTCTAAAGCTAAATGGCGAGGATTTTGGGGTTATTTTCAACGGACGTGGCTGGAGCAGTACGACGTGAGCGTGTGGAACGTGGCCGGTCTGAACAACGAGCACAAACAACCCTCTAGAGAGGTTTAACCGTGAGCTCAACGACCGTTGTCCGAAGCCTCGCCCTAGTATGGCGACTTTCGTGGGTGTAATCAAGACACTTTCAGCTGAATACATTCAGCGTCTGGCTGACGTTCCACGCGGGCGCGCGCGCCGTACTACACGCGAACGTTTTCAGCTGCCCGTACCCGTTGATCTACCGGACGACATCCCCGATGACTCGGACGGCGACACGCCTGCGGTTACCGAGCTGCCGTCGGACAGCTCGTCGGATGAGGACGACGGAGAAGCTGTGCAAGAGCTTTAAAAGAGAAGCCTTGGCCGGGTAAAGTGTTCACGAAGAAACTGGTAGCTTAGTGATAACAAGATCTTACCGGGAGAGATTAATACACGTCGGCTTACCTTCTACTGCATCATGCTGGTTTGACCTACTGATCACTGTCAGAGTAAGTTAGTCTGATCCAATATCAGATCTGTACCGTATATGATCCCAACGAGGTTTACCATGCTAGTCATAAGCTGACCCTTGGCCGCTTAGTGACAATCACGACCTACAAAGACGCTTACTGCAGGAGAATAGCTTCTGAAGTGACGGTGGATCGATCGACGATACTCTCTGGTGGGTGCGCAGTAGACGACTCGAAGGTGTTCGTTTTCAACTCAGTTCCGACATTTAGCGCCCTTGCCTTTTATGAGGACAGTACGTGTTCAGGAACTCCATGTCAGCTCGCATTTGTACCATCTGTTGGATGGCATGACCCACCGGCGACCTCGTGCGAACGTATCGACGACGTTTTGTTTGTGGTGTCAAGCTCTACGCTCGATTGCAAGGCTTTTGCCGCATCGGTGATTGGTGTAGGTGATCCTTATGTAATCGAGGAATTTTACTCGGATGCGGATTGTAGCGACATTGGGGTCGTGACGATGTACTTCCCGAACGGCGTTTGCCACATCCAGCCGCTTACACGTAACTCTATCAGCTACAGAGCTACTATGGATACGGAGGGTGCGCTTTCTCTTTCAACGTTCAAAGAACCGGGTTGTGATATGTCTGGCGAGAATAGGCTCGCACTGTCAAAAGATGAACTCCTGCCGCCAGTATGCAGACTTGAATCTTACTCGTACTATTACAGCGAGTATTTGTGTCCAATGGGGTACTGCAGTTGGTGGAGGGAGTGGAGTAGAAGACTGTCGATCGGGGGCTTGGGCGATGGGGCTAACGCCGTCAAGTCTGCCGTTGTGGTGTTTAACGAGGGCAGCATTAGGAGGCCTTCCAGTTACGGATGCCTTCCCCTCTGACGGTGTAGTCGAACTGCAGTTCATGCGTCAACGACCCCGTCCAAATCATCGCCAAAAGTCAACTCGTCAGATGATTCAACGTGTACCGAGATTCCAACGGCATCGAACGGGATTTTCCAAGTTCGCGCGTGCATTGAGAATTTAACTGCGTTTGCCGAGTCCAAATTCGCTGCTTCGCCTATCTCATCATCATAAAGAAGTTTACAGATGGATCGTACTGCGGCAAGGAGAAGGAGACGGTTGTGTACAAGGCCGACGGCTCGTGCTACTAAAGTTATGCTGAGTGGTACGAGCTTACAGGTCGTGCCAGCCCGAAAATACAATATATACTGATTTTTGCTGTAGAGCTGAAATACGTAATTTTTGAAATGTGTCAACACCAAAAAATAAACTAGCGGAGCATCACGGTCGCTGCGCTCATGTTGCTTTAGGGGTCGACCCCCAAAACAATGCTGACCACAGAGTTTTGGACGACGTCCCCACTTGTGGAATTTGAGTATAAAGCCGCTTGCAAATTCTAGCGCTTTATTTCCCCTTTCACGCTCCCCGATTTGCTGGCTATTTTGCAAGCAACATACGTACCATTCATACGTTGTTATTAACGGTAGACTGATACACCTGACCTATGGTTCGAATGCCAGAACACTTGTATTTTACTTACTTAGGTAAGTGTAATAGCAGAATGTGCACACTGGCACAACGAAAAGTGAATAAGGGGTTAACTTTCGATGTTTCAATTTCGTGGTGTGTTCATTTTCAGAGTGAAAATACGAGCGAATTATTCCAGTAACCTTTCGCGATCCATGTTGAAATTTTTCCACCAGATGTCATCTGTACCCAGCCGCAATCGCCAATGTTGCTGCCGCGACTATGACATGCATGGCTGTTCAAAACTGTTAGTCTGCACGCGTAGGTAGATAACCTCATGCACGTTAAGCGCAATAAGGAAACATATATGAAACAACGGCAACAAAAATGTTACTTATCCACCATTTAGAGTTATCGAGATAATCGCCTTAAAAGAGGCCAGGTTCAAAATCGTAACTAAACGAAGTCGTGAGAAAACGAGGAGTTTTGATTTTCAAAAATTTGAAGGGGGTGTATCGGCACGGATACCATTTCGAAAAGCCACTCGGACCACTACCTACAGCCATGCAGACACCACCCACGACGCCGACAGCACCGACCTCGCGCGCTGCAGCGCCAACTGCGCAGCCTGCGCAACCTCCAGCGCTGCCTCTCTCAGCCTCGCCCCCGGCCACCTCGGCGCCAAGCCCGCCAGCCACGGCTCCGAGTCCGCCAGCCGCGACGTCGGGTCCGCCAGCCACGACATCGCCCTCCACGGTGCTGACTCTGTCGGCCACGGCACCCCTTGCTGCTCGGCGTCGCGAAGCAGACGAAGAGCCTGATTCTGCCGACGATTCTGTCTGTGGTGTCGATCCCACTGCTACCAGTGAGAGTGAGGTGAACGAGGACAGCAGCGACGACGACTTTACGCCTGATTCGGAGGCGTCGCCCAGCGACGACGAGGAACCGCTCACAGCAGAGAGCGCGAGCAGCGAAGCCGAAGATGAAGACGATATTAGTATCTTTTTGAATGGCGCGAGTCCTCGAGCCCGTGTGACTGAGGTGATTCATGCGGACGCGTGTGAGAGCGAGTGCGTCAAGGGCAAGGCTCGTGAGTTGGAGTTCTTGCTGTGCTCGCTGGACCCGATGACGAAGCAAGAGCGCACCACGAGCTTGAACACGCTCCGGGCTGTGTTGATGCAGACCCCCACCGTTGAGCGTAAGAGAGGACGGGGTGACCGTGAGAAGTTTCCGTACATCCTCCCCTACGTAGGTCATGTGTGCCGACCCACTTTCGCGCTCTGCTATGGAGTAGTCCCCATTACTTTGCAGCGCTACAAGATGCGCATCCGAGACGGTAACATGTCGATCAAGGCGCATGGTAACCGGCTCAACACGCATGCAGCTCGTAGAGGCTGTTAGTTCGGCGTTCAAGAGCTCAATCACGGTGCATCTGCCTCGCGGAAGCTCAGCGTTCAAGTCCTACAAACCTATTCTCACCGAATTGTACAAACGACTTGACGGCATCCAGAAGTTCCAGATTTTCGCGATGGACGCATCGCAGCCGGGCGTCGTTGTCTGCAAGAAAGGCCCCGAGAGCGAACCTGTAGAGATTAGTTGGAGCCGTCAAATTGACGGGATCTTCACCGGTGCAGCGGATGATGACGGACCATATCGAGACGCTGTCCCCTCCTGTCCGCAACACCGAGAAAATTGCGCAGATGTACCACAACATCAGGCCCTACGTTCCTGCTGAATTTCAGAGCGATCCCCTCTACGCCAAGCCTAGCGAGCAGGAAGGAGAAGATGCCAAGTCACGAAAACAAGCACGACGTGAGCATCGCGCGGCAATGGCCGTGGCGGCTAAGGCTAACCAAGACCAGCGTGGTATCACGGAGGCTGTTGCGACGAAAAAGAACCCAGCAAAGAAGAGGGCTACTGCAGCAAAGAAGACGCAAAAGAACAAGAAGCACAAAGCTACTGCTGATCTGCCTGCTGAGCAAGAATAGGCAGCCCAAGGTTGTAGTCGATCATTATGATACTTATGTGCACAGTTCATTCAAAATGTTATATACATCCAGATATCAAATTTTCTAAAAAAAATTCAAAAATATACCCCTGGTGATTTGAAGTGACGGCTCACAAGTGAGATTTTAACACTGTTAGGCTTCGAATTAGCTAAAACGGACAACATTGTCGGATTCGCTGACTACTTTTACACCAGTTCATCAAAAAAAATTCCCTTTCGGGGTTGAAGTCGGACATATATTTTTTGACGGTCTCGTTCTCGGTCGTTTCTTCATACCAGAAGCTCGGGAGGGGCTCAAACGAAAGAAGAGACATTCCTCTTTCCAATTATGCGCCTAAATCGCGATTCGTACTTAGGTTGATAAGTAACATTTTGTTTGCCGTCGTCTCATATAATGAACGATAACTAGCTCAAAATAATGTAGTTGAGCCCGATATCGTACCATCACACATGCATGTAGGGTATCAAAGCAGAGCTGTGACGCCCGAGATCGACCCAACAGAACTATAATAGAGTGGGCTAATGCATTTGCTGAGTCGAACATCTTTTCATGAGCAACGCAATGAATGAATGAATTAACGCAGACTAGAAAAGGAGCAAATAATCGGCGCCTTTAGCGTGCAGGAAGGACTTGGAGCTGTCTGAATTTTTTAAAGCGAAGTAGCAGGCGAGCTCGAACGGGCCAAAAGAAAGCCATTGTTGCTACCAAGAAGCACCGACACGGACTCCGGCTCGTACACCCCAGCTCATCGTCCAGCTCGGCATCCGCGCATAGCCTTCAATGTAATTTAGAGAAGTTGCTGTTCGACAGTACCCGGTCCTCAGCATGCAAAGCTGCTTGCTACTTGGCGTAGCGTTGGCGCTTCCTTGAGGCTCTGCTTGTTGATGCTTGGACTCTCTGTAGTGCGCTGGTCAAGCGATCTTGAAGGGCCGCAGACTTCTTACCAACGGCCGCAGAGCGACCCTTCTTACGACAGCATAAGGTTTGAAAGGCAAATAGGCTTAATAAAGGGTCCTACGCGGGTCCAAATAAGGGTAAAATGTCACGTTTAAGTCTATTTCTGATGTCCTCCATACTAACGGTCGAATTTGCTGTTTCATAACTTCGACCCTCTGGTTTTATGGCATCTAAATATAGTGACGTCGGCTCAGCTCAAAAAATCCGTGCCGATACCACCTTCCTATAAGCATCCAAATGTTGTTTAACCGAGGTATTTTTTCCTTTTTTGGTCCCTGTGTGAGCGATTCTAAACTGTGACCCTAACCCATTCGCAGAATTAATGTAAAAAGTAAAGCGGAGTGTATATAAGAGACGTAAAAACTCCATAAAACGGAGTCTCATGATTATAGGGGGGACTTCGTCCCCAATTATTTTACTTGGGGAGTTGCATACTTTAAGCAAGTGTTTAGACACCAAGCAAAAAATAAATATTGGTGTTTCTTTCGGATGTTCGGGAAATAAATTATTGACACCAAAAATATAAATATATTGAATTGAATATTTATTTTTCGGGATCCCTGGCCCAGGCTTCGGCGATTCCGTCTCTATTATCAAGTACTTTACTAAGTCTTGCATGGACTTGGACGCCGAAATCGTATCTGTCGGCAGCAAGTATATCAACACTGGCCTTTGCTACGCTGGAACTATGAAGTTGTACGGGAATTTGACAGCTCGGTCGATGTCGACACCGCCTTCGATGGACATGGACCAGAAGACGCGCGGGTTGCCTTTATTTTGGTTCTTATGCAGATCAGGTCTAGGATTTGAACATGCTGATTATGAGACCGAATCGGAAGACCTGAACGAAACAGCCACAGCAGTGGAACATGGCACGACAATTCTTCTCCATGTTCCTTTCAACTACCTAGGTATCTTTCCTACTAAGCATTGGCCGGGTTTGTTGTAGATAGAGGTGATCCATGTGACTGGCTACTCCGAATGAGCAGACATTTTGCAGTGGCATTTCCCGACGTCGCACTATCACTACAAGTCACTTTTAAAACTGTAAGTTACCATGTATCTGTGTCCATAGTTGCAATGTTATTTTGCCCCCCCCCCCCCCCTCCCCGAGTTTCGAGCCACAGCAAAACGCATTGGCAGTAATCTCACATGCTGGACATTCTTCTACTTTGGTATGGTGTACTAGAATGTAAAAAAAAATTGTGGGAAACAACACAAAGCCCACAAATACGTGTCAACTAAGTAACTGGGAGTTGCGTTCCTGGGGCGTGGTAAAGTACAACCTCGTACCCGAAGTGCGCAACGCTGCTGAAGAAGCTGTGCCAGAAATGTCAAGGACGCATAAATTTGGATAACCTCGGAGCAATACAGTGTTTGAAGCTATTGTATTCGATTCGATATGAAAACTACGTAGTATGCAGACTTGATTCCGTTTCTACTTGATTAGACTGGAAAAAATTGAGCTTGGAGGTGCGCGAAACTTGATCTTGACCATAATGTCGCTCCGTTTACCCTCGCCCATTATAAACAGCTCGAACGTCTGTTAGAGCTATGGCGAGCTGCGCCTTACCCACCAACGCGTCGATGTCCGTATCCTCATCGTAGAGCTTGGACAGCACAGTATGTCGAGTAGCACGAAGTGTGGAGCGGGCTTGAGTCTTCTGCCGTCGTCAAGTTCTCGAGATCGATTCTGAGGCAGGTGCGGACGTGGGAGTGCAGACCTCCATCTTGACTTGGTTTCCTATCTTCTCGTCTCTTGTCGCTGGACTCGAGCTTCAAGCGAAGCAGCTGGACCCCATGTCTCCGTTCGAGGAGCTCGTGGGCGTCGAAGCAGCAGGTCACCTCCCGGTCGGCCGTCGGAGGGAGACGCTGAACTAGAGTGCAGCGCTCTCCAACAAGTCGCCCATACAGCGAAACTAGGTTTGATGCCATTTGCCTCCTGCGCCTAAGATCCTCCTTCCGCAGCATGCACCCCATCACGACGCTGGCGGCGCCCACGGGCTCGAGTGGCATCAACAGGCTCGAGATGGGCTCCGCCGTGCGTAGGAGCTCTTGATCACAGCATGCGCGGCGATATGCACGGCGGGCGCGCCCACGTCCTCCTCCTCCTTGAAACGCAGACGCTGTCTCGTGCCCAGCGGAGACTTCCCCGATGAAGATCCGGCGGAGGCCGTGCGCGCTTCCGTAGGCGCGCCGTGGGATGCCGCTACTACGTCTGCGTCTCCCAGCTCACGGAACTCGCTGTGGTTGCCGGTAGGTAGAGAGGGGGCTCTTACTCCATGACGCGCTGGACGGTTAGGGCTGGAAGGCTCGACATCACCGAGGCGCTGGCACTTCGAGGATGCTTGCCAGCGCCATGGCAGCCACTGTGGTGAATGTGAGCCAATCACGAGATCATAGAAAAAGTACCCTCTGATCAAATCTAAGACCTGTTCTGCATAAGACCCATTTAAAAATCTTCCGACGCGCGAGGGGCTGTGGGAGCCAACCCCGCGTCGGATCTTTGAAGACCCGTAGGGGATATGACGCGATTCATGTCAGGATTGCACTCGGCGCAGTCACACGTGTAGCGAAGTGTGTTCAGGTATTAGGTTGAGCGGAATGGTTGATCAGTTGTCGCGAAATGCCATGTTGTACATTCGCGCATCGTGCTTCACCCACTCTTCCTGTAAGCGTCGCCACGGCTGCATGCGGCATGTGCGCTAGCCTCGCCCATCAGCAGTCACGCGCTAAGTTACACGAAAACACGGGTCCAACCACCGACAGCCCTGCTCGAAAACTCACAGAACCATGAAGAGTCTCCAGTAGGACCTTTCACAGGAGGATCCCAAATCAGTGGAGGACGGAGAATGGCACGGGGAGATGAAGTTCTTGGGAGTTGGCGCTGGGTGCGGCTGTTGCTGCGTGGTTGTTCACGCCTGGGGATGGAGCCATGCAGACTACTCTGGCTCTGTACGACGACAGCTCCTGCAGCGCTCCTCCTTATACCATGACAGTCACGAGAGACCTCAGCTGTACGCCTCAAGAGAATCACTGGGACCCGGTATGTGAAACCTCGGGGGCGGCGCACTACGTGAAGGACTGCTCGCGCTACTACAGTGGTGGGTCGGATGACTACGGACTGATCTCGGACGCTTTCGGGTGGAATGTGCCGTACCTGCTCGTGGAAGAGTACGATAGGGAGTTGGGTGCATGACCAACGCTCTGATCAATGCAACCGCATACGCACTCGACGAGAGGTGCAACACGAATGCAGCGGGTACGATGAGCACGAAACTCAGCATCGGCCACTCCGTGATCATCACCACTTATGAAGTCCCGGACTGTGTGACAGCAGTAAACGCGACCGAGGTGACGCAGAGCGCGGTGGTGTATCAACAATGCGTCGATGGAGCGAATCGTTTCTATCTTGGTGGGCCGGGTTTCAGTATGACCGCTGTCGCGGTCTTCGAGGACCGTTCGTGCTCAGAGACGCCGGTGGGGATCAAATTTACACGGGACTTCGTGTGCGGAGCCAGTCGGGACTCCGCTAAGACGGTGTGTGGGCCTGATGGCGCGGCGCTCTACTCGATCTCGAGCTGCACCAGCGACTATTCGGGGCTTTCTTCGACGATGTTTGGCTCGGACACCCCATACGTCGTTGTGGAAGAGTATTCGGACTCACGGTGTTCTCAGGTAGAATCGGTTACTGTCTACATCGCGGACGGGGACTGTCACTCCAACACGAACTATGCTACAAGTTTCAAAGTCACGCTCACGGCAGAAGCCGCGGCAACAATCACCACGTACACGGACACGTACTGCAATGCTGTCCAGGACGAGATCGTCGTGGACAAACAGAGCCTCATGTCATACGCGTGTGTTCGCGAGGAATACTGCAGCTCTAGCAGCGGCCATGGCTGTGCGAAGAGGATTGCCGTCGGTGGCTTGGGCAGTGCTGTGAATGCCTCGCCGAAGAAAGCTACTTTGGTTTACGACGTGAAAGATTGCAAGTCTGCGCCAGTTGAATTTACAGTTCAACCTGTTGGACGCTGTTCGGCGTCAACAATAGCTGCATGCCAGAAGATCGACTTCTGGTCCTCCGCGTTATACCAAGCATCTGACTGTGTTGAGGATGTGGCTGAGTTTGCTGCCTCGAAGTTTGGTAATGTTCCGTACCTGATCGTGGAGAATTATGCCGCCGACACTAATTGCCAAACTCTAAAAACCGCTGTGGTGTACAAAGCTGACGGCAAATGCTACCCGCGAGTCAGTGATGGCACCTACTTCAAGATAACGCCAACCTTCGGAACTTCCCTAACGATTGCAACGTACCCGGATTCATCCTGCAGCGACTTTGACGCTGAATACGTCACAATTGGGACCAAGTTCATCAGCACGGGAAGGTGCTTCAACGGGGTCCAGCGATTCTACGCCAACCTGAGCGTCCTATTCGCCGCGAGTCCGCCACCGATGGTGGATGTCGAGTCCCTGACCCGCGAGCAGATCATGTTCCCTGAGTGGCTGTGGGGCCAACACCTCGTCGAGTGTTCCAGAGCGACTAGCAGGTTGCACCGCATTCTCCTTCGTTGCATATTGATACCTGTAATGACGCTTGTTTGCATATTGATTAGGTCAGATCTGAGTATCGTCTTCCACATAGCAAATGTGTCAAGGAAAGTGGTCTGTGTTTTCGGTAAATTTAACGTCCATTTTAAGTTTTTCCGAACGTGCGGCGGAGGGTCCTCCGCACCACTTCCTGCAAGAAGATCGCGGAGATCCAAGAGCTCATTCATTCTCGAGTCGACCGGATCCTGCAGAGCGAAGCAAGTTTTGGTGGGATGCGGTTCTTGTGGCTCGGCGTCGGTGCCGCAGTCGTCCTGTGGGGCTTTGTCGGTGGATCGAGCTATCGGACGAGTATCGTTGTCTATGACAATAGTTCATGGTCCCCTCCAGCGAGCGTCGTGGCGTTTTTGAATCCCGGATACTGCTGGCAACCACAGGAAGATCACTACGCCCACGTGTGCCAAGACAACAGCGTGAGCTACTCCGTGTCCGACTGCACCTGGTACAGCATTGGGGGAGATGATACCTACGGACTCCTGCAGGAAGCGTTCGGAGACTCAGTGCCGTATCTGCTTGTGGAGGAGTATTTCCCAGTGTATTGGTGGTGGACAGCGTGTGAAGTGGGGTGGTGGGGCGGCGACTACGGCTTAGGGGACGTCACGGCCTATCGCTTCGATGAAGACTGCCACTCCGATCGCGACGGCACGGGAGCCACAAGACTTTTGCTGGGTGACAAGCTGACGATCACCAAGTACAACGATGCAAGCTGCAGCTCGGTGCAATCGCAGAAGACGGTAATGTGGCAGATGGCTACGCAAGGTCAGTGCGTTGACAGCACCAGGTTCTACCTGCGAGGGGTACAACCAGCGATGGCTGCAGTCGCCGTGTTCGACGACATGGCGTGCTCGACTCCGACCAAGATCACTTTTACTCAGCATTTCGGCTGCAGTGTGTCTCAAGATCGTTTCTCGTCCGTGTGCTTTCCCAGTGGAGCAACTCAGTACTCGATTACCACTTGTACGAGCGACTATTCTTCGTTCATTGAGTCCACGCTTGGCGCTTCCACACGCTATCTAGCCGTGGAAAAGCACTCGAATTCGTGGTGCGGGGCACTGCAAAGTGTGACTGTGTACGTGGCAGATGGGTCGTGCCACACCAATGTTGACGATGGAACCAGCTTCATCGCTAATCTAAACGCGGATGGCTCGGGGGCGATCAAATTGTACACGGATCCCTACTGCAGTGAGCTCAATGACAACATTGAAGTGACCAAGCAAATGGTCACGCACTATACCTGCAGCCAAGACTATAGAGGATGCGATGGTGACTACTGCTCCAAACGTTATTTCGTCGGGGGCTTTGGTGGACCACCAGCGAAGGGATCGATGACGGCTGTGTCAGTATACGACAGCACTTCGTGGTCACAGCCCGCGGCAACAATAAAGCTGACGAGAGAACTGTCTTGCACGCCCCAACTAAGACCCCTGGAGCCGGAGTGTGAGAATGTTAATGGAGTGTATTCGATCTCGGATTGTGAGATTTACGAGGCTGGAGGCTGGGATAGCAGCGGACTTATTGGGCAAGCATTCGGTGATCATACGCGCTTGACTGTGGAGGAGTACGACACCTCGTTTGGCGAGTGCGCCGGTACGGACGCTCTTATCCAAGCCACCGTGTATTCGCTGGACGAAGAATGCCACCCGAATCGTGACAGCACTGCAAGTACCAAACTCAAGTTCGGTCGGTCACTCACCATTTCCACGTACGAAGACCCATTCTGCACAATCCCGCTATCAGAGACGCATTTGACATGGGGGTCAGTTGTTTACGCGAGTTGTGTTGAAGGCAGCACGAGAGCGTTCGTCAATTCATGGCCGGACCTCACAGCTGTAGCCATCTTCGACGGTGATGACTGCTCTGAAAGACCGGTTAAGCTGCAATTCACACAGCTATTTGGGTGTAATGTGGCCCAAGACCCTATTAGGAGCGTCTGTGGTCCGGATGGTTCATCTCATAGCTCCATTTCGAGTTGCACTCGAGATTACAACGGCCTCGCCGCTGCTACATTCGGCAGTGACAAACCGTATTTGATGGTGGAGGAATTTGCCGATTATTCGTGCTGGCAACCGCAAAATGTGAATGTGTACATTGCCGATGGCCTTTGCCATACCAACACCGACGATACTACAAGCTTCATGGCCACAATTTCACTGGACGGATCGGCAACAATCACCACGTACTCCGACTCGAGCTGCACTCGTGTAGATGATACTACCAGTGTCAGCAAACGCAAGCTGATCGACTCTTCCACCTGTTACCCTAGCAATGACTGCAGCGTGGATGGTGGTTCGTGCAGCACGCGAATTTCGTATGGAGGACTGGGAGAACCTCCATCCAAGGGTCAACTCACGGCTGTTACCGTGTATGGAGCTGATTCTTCGTGCTCCCAGCCTGCCGAAATGGTGAAGTATACCCGTGAACTTGTTTGCACGCCCCAAGAATATTATTGGAGCCCAAAGTGCAAAAAGAGTGGAGAGCTATACTATACTTCGGATTGTACGAGCTATTGGAGTGGGGGCTCAGACTATTACGGCTTGCTTGATAGAGCCTTCGGCTCGAATGCCTATCTTCTCATCGAGGAATACGATCTGTCATTCGGAGAGTGTGGATACTACTACGCCGTAGATACCGTTACAGCTTATCTACTGGATGAGAAATGCCATGAAAGTCACGATGGGGCAACAAGCTATCAGCTTACGCTTGGTCACACCGTGGTCCTGACGAAGTTCGATGACCCCGTTTGCGCTGCAGTATCAGCACAGACGGAAGTATCGTGGCGGACTGCATATCGAAGCTCTTGCGTTAATGGAAGTCCAGGTCGAGCAACCAAGTATTATTTTCGTGGCCCTCATCCCCCACTTACAGCACTTGCTGTTTACGACGATAATGAGTGCTCCGGCAAACCTGTCGAGCTTCGATTTAGTCAAGATTTCGTATGTGGCGCAACGCTCCACCCGGAGAAGTCCGTCTGCGATGCGGGAGGAACGATATTATACTCCGTTTCGAGCTGCACAGACGACTACTCCGGGGTCACAGATACCGTTTTCGGCACTGATGTACCGTATATTATGGTGGAGGAGTTTGACGATTATTATTGTGGTCTAATGCAGGCAGTCAATGTGTACACAGCTGATGGTGTCTGCCACTCCAGTGCTGATGGAACTACCAGCTTCATGGCAACTATAACTCCTGACGGCTCGGCTACAATCACTACGTATAGTGACGCAATGTGCTCTGTGATCGACAAAACTTCGACGATGACCATGCGAGAACTTACTGCATACTCCTGTCTCCAGGATCGCAATGAGTGTAGCGATGAGAACGGATTGAGCTGCAGCAAACGCATTTCAGTCGGGGGACTTGGTGGTTTTCGGTCAAAGGGTCGGATGATATCTGTCGCGTCGTATAACAGCACTGGTTGCCCACCGCCTGCATTGACCGTGGCATTTTCGAGAGGCCTTGTTTGTCTACAGCAGAGCAACGGGAGAAGTCCTGCGTGTGGGGACAATGGAACAGTGAGCTTTGCTACGGAGTGCATCGGCTATGATGTGGGAGGAGGTTGGGACGCGCAAGGGTTAATTGGTCGGGCTTTTGGCTGGTCGCAGGCTTACATCCTCGTGGAAGAGTACGACGAGTCCGCCATTTCCACCGCCACTCTGTCTAAGAGCACGGCTTACCCGTACGATAGCGCGTGCCATGCGAATCAGGAAGGAACTACAAGTACAAGGCTCACTCTTGGTCGATCCATAACAATTGCCGAGTACGAGGATCCGTACTGTGGCATCGTGTCAAGGGAGACAGAAATTACATTCGCGGAGGCGTACAACAACTACTTTATCGATGGCAAACTACGCGCTTATTTGCCGGAGGAGCCCCCGATCTGACGGCAGTGGCTGTCTATGGCGACAGTTCCTGTTCCGAGCTGCCTGTCAAACTTTCGCTGAGCCAGTACTTCGACTGCAAGGGAGAACGAGATATCGCGAGGTCCGTCTGTGAGCAATCCACCGCCAGTCTTTACTCCACCTCGAGCTGTACGCGTGACTATTTGGGACTTGCGAGTTCTGTGTTTGGGAGCGATCATCCGTACGTGTTGGTGGAAGAGTTTTCGGATGGCTGGTGTGGGTTGATACACGATGTGACGGTGTACGCAGCGGATGGAGCCTGCCACGTTAACAGTGATGGTATCACAAGCTTCAGAGCCACGCTCACATCGGGAAGTTCGGCAACGATTACAAGGTACGCTGATGCGAGATGTAAGACCGTTGCGGACAGCGATTCTCGATTTTCGGAGATTCTCTACTACTCGTGTATCTGGACCAGCGACTGCATTGACGGAGATCGTTATGGCTGCAGCAAACGGTACTCTATTGGAGGACTTGGTGGGTCACCTTCGCTCGGTCGGATGACTGGAATTGCAATGTACGGTGATAGTTCGTGCTTGCAACCGGCGGAGACCGTTACCATGACACGACACGAGACCTGGTTTGCAACCCCAAAACGGACGACAATGGGGCTGAATGCAAAGCTACCGATAGTGGCGATCTCTACTCTACATCACAGTGCGTTAGTGTGGATGACTCATCAGACAAGTATCGAGTTCTCGACGAAGCATTTGGTTGGCGCTCTCATCTGGTCGTGGAGGAGTACGACACGTCGATAGGCAGTTGCTGGAGTTGACGAGTGTCACTGGGTATCTGCTGGACGAAAAATGCCACGCCAACTCTTTCGGGACAAGCTCCAAGCTCACTTTTGGTCGGTCTCTAACGCTCACCAAATACGACGACGCTTATTGCTCATCCGTATCGTCGGAGACGGAGGTGACGTGGGATATGATCATGTACGGCTGTGCTGGTGACAACACGATGTATTACCTTCGGGGGCCTGCTCCAGATTTGACAGCGGTTGCTGTCTACAACGACAGATCGTGTGCTGGAACCCCGACAAAACTCGAATTGACTCGACGCCTAGGCTGTAGCGCAGACCAAGACCCCTTGCAGTATTCTTGCACTGAAGACGGGTGGACGTCATACTCGATTTCAAGTTGCGTCAGTAACTATACAGAGTTTATCTCAACCACATTTGGTGATGACACGCCGTACCTGATCGAAGAGAAGTTCAGGGACAGGTGGTGCGGTCAGCTTGAATCCGTGACGGTGTACACTGCCGACGGCTTCTGCCAGGCGAATACCGACGGCGCGACAAGTTTCATGGCTTCGATTTCAGTTGCCAACCAGGCAACTATTGTGACGTATTCGGATGCTTATTGCGGTGCAGTCAACACTACAACTATTGTCGACAACGTACGCAACGATACGTTTGGTGCAAGTTGCGATTGGGGCAGTGCGTGCACGGAGGCCGACGGATCAAATTGCAGCAAGAGATTCTCTGTCGGGGGCGTGGGAGGGTCTCGATCGATGGCGTCCAAGGCGGTGATGATCTACGAAGACGGCTATTGCGACGGACCGCCCGTGCAACTCGTAGTTACGAACCAATGGGCCTGCTCGGCGCCGCCAAAATGCGGTTGTAGCGCAACGTCGAACGGGTCTACCACGGTATACCAAGACTACACTTGCATCGACGATGTGGCTGCGTTCACGGCTTCTCAGTTCGGGAGTGCGCCGTATTTGGTGGTGGAACACTACGTCGAAGGAACGAGGTGCAGCACGCAACAAGGCGCGGTGGTTTTCAGAGCCGATGGGGAGTGCTACTACAATGCTGCTGGTGGCACAAGCTTCAGAATCTTGCCGAATGTTGGAGGCTCCGTGACTATCGCAACGTACCCGAATTCAAACTGCAACGACTATGAAGCGGTCTACGTCACCATTGGAGCCAAGTATATCGGTACTGGCGAGTGTTTAGAAGGGCAGCTCAGACTGTACGCGAATATGACTGGGCTTCTGACACCTGCAAAGCAAAGCCATTCCTCGGACATCGACTTCAAGGCCCGCGAAGAAATTATGTTCCCAGAGTGGCTGTGGGATCCAGCCCCACGCAGGATTTTCGAGAGCTCGTAAGGCCTTTTAGGTTTGTGCATTTGGAGCGACAATTTCAATCTGTAGTTTGCGCGTTGTACTGCTTTGCTCTCAATATATTCTTTTCGTGTTGACACTTTCCCAAATTGTACCACCCGAACTGTTGCGTCGCCGCCGAGTGAGGCGTTTCCTTGATCTTCTTTGGGGAAGTACTCCCCAAAATGAAGATTGTGCGCTTAAGCTTCGTCTTGGTTGGTGCTGCACAGGTTCTCACGCGTGGAGATGGTGGCATGCAGATTACCGTCGCTGTGTACGACGATAGCTCGTGTCGCGCACCTCCCCACACCATGACGATCACAAGACGACCCGGTTGCACGCCCCAATCAGACCAAAGCAAACCGGTCTGTGCGAGCTCTGGGATGGTGAACTTCGTGGAAGACTGCGTGCACTACTACGCTGGGTCCTGGGACGACTACGCAGTGATCTACAACGCATTCGGTAGGGGAAATGTGTCGTTCCTTATCGAGGAGGATTTCAATACTGAAAGCGTGGGGTGGTGCGGAGACAACAACGCCTTCACCAACGCGACCGTGTATCTGCTGAATGAGAATTGCCACACAAATCTCGGGGGTACAAGCACGAAATTCACCATCGGCCACTCCCTGATCCTCACAAAATACGCCGACCCGACCTGTACGGCCGCGGTGAACGTGACAGAGATAACGCAGGCGATGCTATCTCACCGATCGTGTCTCGACAACAGGCGACGCTACTATCTAGGCGGACCAAGGCCCAGTTTGGCCGCCGTCGCAGTCTTCGAAGATAGCTCCTGTTCCGAAAAGCCGGTGGAAATTAAGTTTACTCGAGGGTTCAAATGCAGAGCAAGTAGAGACTCTGCTAAGACGGAGTGTAAATCCGACGGTGTAGCGTACTATTCAATCTCGAGCTGCTTCAACGACTACTTTGAGCTCGCATCGAGTGTTTTCGGCAGCAACAGTCCGTACATTGTGGTGGAGGAGTTTTCCGAGTCATATTGTAGTCAAGCGCAAAGCGTTACTGTGTACATAGCGGACGGGGCCTGCCACTCCAATACTGACGATGTCACGAGTTTCAAGGCCACGCTCGCACCGCAAGGCTCAGCGACTATCACTACATACAGTGACACGTATTGCAACACTGTACAGGAGATAATCGACGTGAGCAGGCAAATATTGGCGGTGTATATGTGTGTTAGCGGGCAGGGCTGTGAGTCGGAGGATGATCAAGGTTGTGGCCGACAATTTTCCGTTGGTGGATTGGGAGGACCTGCAGCATTGGGTCGAATGACGAGCTATGAGCTTTACGGAAGTGATGATTGCTCTCAGCCGGCACAAACAGTGACGATAACCAGAGAACTAAGCTGTACACCCCAACTAAACCACTGGCAACCAGTATGCGAGGACTCGGAGGCGATGTACTTTGTGAGAGACTGCATCGACTACTTCCCGGGTGGATCAGATCCCTACGGAGTGATCTACAACGCGTTTGGACCTAATGCGCCTTACTTGCTTGTGGAGGAATACGACTCTGACCTCGGGCGGTGCGGAGACTACAGCGCCTTGATAAACGCGACTGCGTATTTACTGGATGAAACCTGCCACACGAACCTCGCACGAACGACAAGTATCAAGCTCACCATCGACCGCTCCCTCATCCTCACCAAGTACGACGACCCGGACTGTATAACCGCAGTACATACAACTGAGGTGACGCAAGCGATGATAAACCATGGAACTTGTGTCGACAACTCGAGTCGCTACTATCTTGGTGGGCCCAGACCAAGCATAACTGCCGTTGCTGTCTTCGAAGACAGCAATTGCTTGGAATCGCCAATAATGGTGAAGTTCACTCGAGGATTCCTGTGTGAAGGCCCAAAAACTGTTTGTGAACCCTACGGTGCGACGCACCACTCGATTTCAAGCTGCTCTGACGACTACTTCAGTCTTGCATCGACTCGCTTCGGCGATAAAGCCCCGTACATCGTCGTGGAGGAATTTTTGGAGTCATCGTGCAGCAAAGCAGCACCAAGTGTGATTGTCTACAAAGCGGATGGAGGTTGCCACCTCAACCTGGACGATGCGACGAGTTTCAAGGCCATGCTGGCACAGAATGGTGCAGCAACGCTTGTCACGTACAGGGATCCAAACTGCAGTGCTATACAGGAATGGTTTGTCATGAGTGAGCAAATATCCACGCCGTCTGTGTGTATCAGCGACCAGGGGTGTACCGCGGATAGCGACTTTGGTTGTGGAAGGAGGTTTACCGTCGGTGGATTTGAGAGACCCAAGACCTGCAAGAAGATCGAATTTCCAGACTGGCTGTGGAACGAGGAGGCTAGCGGCTAGCGGCTAGCAAAACAGTATAGCTACTGTTAGCACACCAAAAAGCAGCTTTCATAACTTGATACGAAATATGATTTTTTTCCCTCATTTATTATCCATGAGATGCGCGATAGCAACCAGTTTAATCAGCAGCATTATTCTGCCGCTCCGCGGATGTTCGCTGAACCAGTTGCTTGTCGCTGGCTGGCGACCCTGCTTTCGTACCATCTCGCTGGGGCGAATGCTTCTTCTCGTGCAGAAGAACGTCGTGTTGAATGAGACCGGCGTGCTCTCCTTCATCGCCTCCACCGCGCAGACTCGATACGCCTTCTTCGTCCGCCTCCAAGTCTTCACCGCTGTCTGATTTGCTGATAGCATCGATGTCGTCGTCGCCACCATGCGCGATCCAGCGCGAGGCTATACCACCGGAAACCATGACGGTTGTTGTGACCAACAGCAGAGCCACGAGATGCGGCGGTGGGCCCATGAGGAAACCGTTCACGAACTGTGCTGTGATGGCAGCTACGCGATTCGAGCAATTTACCACCGAGATGCCCGTCGTACGGAGCTCCTGCGGGAAGTTTTCAGCCGAAAGAACTCCAAACTGAAAAGCAACATGAAAAGCAACAAGAAGAAGCATGTTAGTATATGTGATCAAAAGACGCACAAAATCAATCGATATCCAGTACGACGGCGTACTCCATTCCAAGCTGCCGTTGTACAGGCGTTAAAGAGGCAGGAGACTAGTACAATGATCGTCTTCGAGCCCTCCACGTTGAATGCAAACAACAGTGCGCAGAAACCTGACATGAAGAGTGCGCCCGACAGCAGGCGCTGATGCCCGATAATATCGATAAGGTACAAACTATGGATCCGCACAAATCGACAGTGTTAGTCGCTGGTACATTGTCACCTAAGATACTCGTGCTCGACTCACCTGACAATATTACCCGGTAGATTAGCCCCGGCAAACAGGAACGCATTCTCAAATGGGTTCGACAGCCCAGCACTCTCGAATAACTTCGTGATCCACGTTGAAAGACCGTACGAGCCGAAACTCAGAGAAAACCCACACAACATCAACAGCAGCGTGGGTCCTGCGTTAGGTGGCTTAAACAAGCGTACAACAACGCGCAAACTGTCTCGACTGCACACTGCACTATGCGAGTTCGCCTCCGCCATGTCATCCACGTTCATTCCAATCTCCATCTTCCGCACCACTTTATCCTCTCTATCACCATTCTCATTGTTTTCGCCACTGGAAAACTTGAGTTGAATGTGCCGCCCACTCTTGTGCACTTGATGAATATACTGCAGCACAGCCGACGCGCCTTGTGCATCACCCTTACTCGCCAAAAAGTGGGGGCTTTCAGGGACATACACCCAGGCCAGCATAAAGCACGTGAAGGACGGCAGCCCCACCACTCCAGCGAACCAGCGCCACGACAGCTGCAGTATCCGTTCCCCGTTACTGTACTTGCCCAGCATGATCCACGCCGTGCCCGCCGTCAGCACCGCCCCCACCATCCAGAAGGAGCACAGAATCGTGACATATCGACCTCGTGCCGACACCGGGACGTGCTCCAGGCACAAAGCAAATAGCGAGGCCACCACTCCACCCACGCCCAGACCCGCCAGAGCTCGGAAGAAAATGAGCCAGTAAATGTTCGGCGAGAAGGCCGACATGAAGGCAGCGATGGCATTAATGGCCAGTGTCATGAGCAGAACTGGCTTGCGACCGTAGAGATCTCCAGCCACGCCGCCCACCAACCCACCGCCCAGCATCCCAGCGAACACGGCAGCAGTCAGCAAACCTAGAAAAAATATACATATACAACATATTTATATTTTAGTTAGTATCATTGTCATGTTCACTCAAATACCAGAAAAACTAAAGAATATTTTTACGTACTCGACTCCCATGGCGTCATCTCGCCTTCTGTATCTTCATACACGGTCAAAATGTAGCCAATTGCCAGGATCTCCACTGCGTCGGCCACGTTCCCGAACCCTAAAATACTACGATTCTATAGGTCAGTCTATAGGATCCAACCTATAAGAAATATAGAACCCTGCAATATCTTACGTCACGACGCGATGCTGGTGGAACCCGCAGCCGATGAGCTCCATCTCGTCGTGCACGGCCTGCTTGAGCGCCTTGGTGTCCTCCACAACCACGACGTGCTCGTCGGGCGAGCCCCACGTCTTCACGGGCGCCGCCTCATGACTCATGCGACCGCCCATCTCGAAGTGAAGAGTTTTATTTCAATAAGAAACATTTCTAACCCAGTATGTGTGCACCACCTTAAGAACATTATCCACCAATCAGCGATTGGTCCGCCACTCTCTCCCTCCAACTCAATCTAGCATAAGAAATAAATAAGAGTGTCAAGAACTCAGTGCGCCGTCCGTCCTGCGCGCCGTCGTCCCGGGATCTGCGCTCTCCGTCTCCGCGCGCCGCCCGCCCCCTCTACTGCGCCGCAGTCCGCGCCCTCCGCGCCTACTCGTCTCGTGTCGTAACTCGCTCCAGCGCCCAAGAAAACCCCAGATAACCATGCACGCGTGGCGCTCGCTGTCGCGCAGCATCCTCGTGTTCACGAACGTGCTGTTCCTGCTGCTGGGCTCCGTGCTCGTGTCCATCGGAGGTTCGGCCGCCTCTGCGCGTGATTTTTCATGCAGTTCCCACCTCTCTAGGCGCCGTATTGGCCTCAGTACGACCAAATAACGCTAATGCACTGTACCATTGCTGCCTGCAGGCTACATGGCGTCGCTGCCGGCGCTCACCGAGTTCTCGGACGGCGGCGTGGCCTCGTCCGTCATCACGTGCGGCACGCTCATCATCCTGATCGCGCTGCTGGGCTGCTGCGGCGCCCAGTGGGAGAGCAAGGTGTTCCTCTTCCCGTACGCCATCCTTGTGCTGGTCTCGGTGATCGCGCAGCTGTCGCTGGCCGGCTTCCTGACCCACGTGCACAGCTCGCTCGTGGAGGTGGCCAAGCACAACTTCGACCTGTCGGTGCTGGCGCCCGCGGACCAGGACACGCTGCGCTGGATCAACAAGAGGTTCAAGTACGTGTACTACGGCTGCGGCTTCGACGTGGACATCGACCTCACGGGCACGCGCAGCCGGCCGCTCATCGCGTCGTGCTCCAACCCGGAGTTCGCGTGGTTCGCGCTTTTCGTGGAGGAGAACTGCCCCATCGGACACAAGCAGCTGCAGGCCGGCAGCAACTTCCTCAAGTGCGCGGGCCCCAGCTTCTCGCTCAGCAACGCCATGACCGAGCACACGATGCTCTGCGCGTGCGAGACGCGCATGATCTCGTGGGTCAACGACCAGTCGCTGCTCGTGGCGGTCTTCGTCTTCGTCATCGTGGCGCTCGAGATCATGCTCGTGGCGCTGTCGTGCTACATCATCCACTCGCGCCGCCACCGCCGCTACGGCTACCAGGAGATCACTATGCCCGTGCGGCAGCAGCCGTACAATCCGCACCCGCGGAACTACTTCGGCCAGCAGGCCAGTCAGCGCCAGCCCCTCAACTCGCAGCCGGCGTACACGTCGTACGGACCGCCAGGGGGAGAGAACCCCTACGCGGCAGCGGCCACAGGCGGCAAAGCCAAGAAGACTGCCGGCTACTAGCTGTCGGTCGCCTTGGCTTGGGTTTTGAGGTGCCATGTTTGAAATAGGTCAATGCGCGCACGGACTGATTCACATGTCTGCCAGTCCGCGTTGGAGAACAAGGATTCAAAAGTTTTACAAGAATTAACCACTGTGCATATCGAAGGGGCCTTCAGTGAGAGCGTCAATAGGAATCCAGTTTATCAAACTCACTAATGGTCAGGGACTGACTAACCTGACTTTCACGGTCCAAAGACTTCCATCACTGAGTTAAACACCCCAGCTTCCTGTCACTCTCGAATTCGCAGGCGACGCGAGATGGCAACGAAGAAAGTGTGGTTCAAGCTGCTGTACAAGGACGGAGAAGAGGTCGTGCCTAACGTAACTTCCGTGGGCGTGCCTCGCGACGCCTGTGTTGATCATTTCCGAAAAGTTGCATACAAGAAAGTCAAGACAGCTCTTCCAGCGCGCGTCAGTGTCCACCGTCTGAAAGCCTTCGCTAGCCGAGACGCGCACCAGCAGCAGTCCGCTTTGAAAATGTCCGCCGAGTTGGGTGACTTCGGCCAAGACGCGGACGACCCAGTCGTCGTGCAAGTGCCTGAAGTGTGGGTCCGGTTGGTTGACGCTGAATCTGGAGCTCCGTTCGCGGACACCGACCCTGCTTCGATCCCTCTAACTGAGGGAGACCGTGTGGAAAGTCTACGGGAGATTGTCGTTGACGCATACCGAGTCATTCTAGGCGATGTTTCGCCATACAGCCTCAAGTTCTACGCGAATATCAAGATGCAAAAGCCGTTGCATCCAGAGGCGCAGATCGGTTTACTCGGTGGAACGCTGGAAACTGCAGTCATTATCAAAGTACCCAGTGTCGCTGGATCACCGAAGAGGAAACGACCATCAGATGATGTTGATCCCAAGGCGGCAAAACACACCAAAGCTGACGTGCCGATCTCGACAGTGAAGGAAAACAAGTTTCGACAATTATTTTCAAATAACCAGTGCATCGGTGGCAGCTTCGAAACCCAACGAACACTCACGGTAGAGAAGTTTTACCGACTGTTGTTTCCCGACGACGGGAGCTTGGGTCTTCCGGTCATCTCTGTTCGAGCGCCACCAATGTCTGGGAAGACAGATATGTGCTGTCTTCTCAATAACTACATCGTCGCCAACAACCCGCAAGTACTCGTCACACACATCGCCGCGAGTTATATGCTAGACTCGGACACGGACAAGTTCATGGCCTGCTTCGAGCGCCAATTCGGTGGCACGTTCACACAATTTAGCTCGCTTTCCCGCGAAAAGGTGGTGCTAATTGACGAGGCCGAGATGGCGTACAGGGATGCTCAGCTTTGGGCTGGAATAGCGAAGAGTGTGATCAACGGGAGCATTCCGCGCATGCGGATTGTCCTGTTCTCCTCGTATGGCAGCTTCAACAACTTCATTTGCGAAAATCGGACTCGATCTGGAGTTGATATCCGCCCTGAGTACAGGTTCGGGCTGCGAGGAACAGCAGTAAAGCCTGGCTTGGAGCTTACGCGTAAAGGAACTAAAGGAAATGGTAGGTGGTGGCATGAAGGCAGAAGCGGTTGACGTCATCTGGAGCATGTGCGGCGGCCACATCGGACTTGCGCATGCGACGCTCAGATTCCTGCGCCTCCGGCTGGGCCATGCATTGCATACCATCGACGCCAGCAGTCTAAGCGTTGAACTTCATTCAAGAGACTTGCTGGTCCATCTAGGATCCTTGAAGCGTGGAATGCCGACACCTGAAGCTGTTACTTCCATGGCAAAATTTACGGGGTTATCAGAGGCGAAGGTGGCGGGTATTTTGAATGAAGTGGCGCTCGGCCACACTGTTCTCGCCAATGACATGAATATGGAGAAGGGCCACTTGACTCGATCCGGCTTCCTTTATGAGGATGAGAATAGGCATATCCAGTTTGCGTCGGATGTGCATAAGACACTGTGGTTGAATTCTAGCCAAAAGCACTAACTTGGTCATAGTGAAAGACCAAGTCCAGTTTTATGACAGCACCAGCGATGGCTTATAATGGCAGTCAGTACATTCAAAGCGAAATAATAGGGTAAAAAAGAAATTGAATTACGAGTGAAGAACCAGCACGAAAAAAAAACTAAAAAATTAAAGCTCACTACGGTTTTGGCCACTCTGGATAATCTTTTCGCGGCTCTTCTGGTCAAAAATACTCGTACCAGGCTTTGGTGGCGAGACCGGAGAATCCGCGTAGGACGCCGTAAAAGCTGTCATATTCGCACGTAGCTTCATGTTCCCCTTGAAACATGCATCCGTATTGACGTATTTTGCTCCCATTGGGATGTAGTCTGCGTCCGAGTCACTGCACAATGCGTTCGGGTAGGTCGCCACGGTGATCGAACCTCCAATGCTTGGCCTAACAAGCACCGCGACGCTGGTTTGTCCGAGCCCCACACCGTTAAAGTACACGCGCAGGTCGCCTATACACTCTTGCTAAGTCCATTCCGTCGCCTCTTTCGGTATGGTGGTGACGGACGCCACGTTGGTGCAGCTCGCATCGGTGTAGATCGTGAGTGTAGCCGACTCATGGAGCGTAAGTCGGTGGCTCGCCGTGCCCGCTGCATTGGGATTGCAGTTCTCGTCCAGCCGATGGATCGAAGCGTTAAGGAGGCTTTCTGCGCTCATGCATTCGCCTGGTTTGTACGTCTCCACAGCCAGATACGGCTGTCGAAACATTTTACGTGTAGTAAAGTCTTCGTCACCGCCCAGGCTGTAGTATTTGCAATCCGAAACGAAGCTCGCTGCTTCTCCGCCCTCGCAAATGGGTTCTAACGGGTCGGCTTTGGGCGTACACGTTAGACCTACGAGATTGAAGTCGGAAGCGAAGAGCAGGAGCGGTCTTCATACACGGTCACAACTTGATGAGTGCCATACCCAGACACCGGCAGAGCTACGAGCACTGCTAGTACTCCCGGCAATACTCCTAGCGTTAAGTGCTAGAAGAAGAATGGGTTAAGATAGGTAACGTGAAAAGATCGCGATCTTTCGCAAAAGCCGTGTACTAACGTTAGGTTCTGTGTTTAGAGCAATAGTAAAATAGGAATCCTATTTTCTACATTCATAATTTTTAGCTACTTCTAGAAAAGTAGAAAATAGGATTGCTCTAGTAAGCAACGATTTACGAGCTACCCTTTTCGCGAGAAAGCGACCACAGGATACCGGTACGAGCAGCTCGGTGAACGTGCTTTGGCCATCATATTTGCCACGAGACGAAAGCCTGTTCTGTTGTGCCGATACGGGCAACCCGCCGCCAAGTGAGACTGTGGCAGTGTTGCACTGTGCGATGGCGTCATGTCAGCCACGCCACTGCCGATGTCGTATGTGCGCACACCGCAATGGTCCTTCTGTACAGGATTCCTGCCATCAGGCTCGCTCTTTGCCGATCCTTGTGTCGAAAGCGGCGAAGTCAGGCTGCTGGCGTTGCTGATCGAGTCCATCCGCCCGGCGGACCGCCGGTGGTCGTGCGTCTGCAGAGAGCAGAACGCTTCAACATTCGATAACGACGGGTCTGAGCAAGCCTTACCGAGGACACCACCCTCTGCCAAGCACCGTCTTCTTGTCGGCTGGCGACGGTCTCACTTGGACACGGCTGCTTTTTTTCGGAAGTCGTTTAGAAACTGCACCTTTACGGACGCTGGTTTGGTCAGCTTGCTGTCATTCGCCTGGTGGAGCCTTCTCATCTTAAAGTTAGATAGGCGAGAGAATACAGGTAACACGGCGATCAGGGCTCCCGATTATGGTATTTTTATTTATGGATGATCCATCTGGCTCATAAATAATGGCATCAACCCTAGGGTTGCCCTACAAATCAGATGCATAAATAATGTAATGTCGGCAATGATCATAAACAATTATTTCTCGAATTTTAGACTGAACTCAACTCGCTTTTTGTATTGAAGACTCTACATTTAGAGAAATATTTTCAAGGAACGAGCCCAACCGTCTGCCAATAATCAATAACAAAATATTGACATTATTGTTTTTACCATGCCATAATCGGGAGCCTGACGGCGATTGACTTAACGCTGCGTAAGTAGCATCAGCGAGGCCGGGTGGCATTGTAAGGTTAGCACAAGATGAAATGTGAGATATCGTGCCGACTTGCGATTCCTCGCTGTAATAACGCGAGCTGCATGCAGCGATACACATACTCGACATGCAACACCCATTCCATCGTGCATCTCGTATTTGCGAACTTCCAGCAGCAAAAAGCTTCAACCTCCGTTTAGAAACTTTGCTACCAGCTGTGTTCCATGTGCCCTCGAGAAAGCGCGCTGATCGATAGGACTTGCAATCTGCGAGCGCCGGTCCGCTTCAACTGCGTTGTACATATCCTGTCAGCAATGCTTAGATGAGGGCCGGTCGCGAGCGAACGAGTCAGCACTCAGCACGTGGAGTTCCGCGTAATCGGCGTCAATCTTTTTGCGGACTCGGTCTCTTCAGCCATCGTGGCGATCGGCGGTACCGGTGTCAAAGGAGGTGGACTGCATGCGCGCATGCCGCCGATGACGGGGCTCACCACGCTTAGCTAAACGCGCTCAACACAGTTGGTGCAGGCCAAAAAGCAGGCGATCGCTCCTCGCCGCGCTTTTCTAGCCTGCCATACGGAGTCATCACTCTGCTCTTGTGCCTTTTGGTCCAGCTTCGAAGGACTCGTCGGGCGATGGCCTCGGTCGATTGTCTGCCAATTTAAATGATAAAATGCACAACAAGCAATCACCAAAGTATCGAAAACCAACTGAACGTCGCGTGGACTCAACACAATCATCCTTCAGGAAGGATTCGGAAACTCATCGGCTTACAACATTTCACCTTGAAGCTCGAGCGCTCTCTCTCTCTCTCTCTCGTGGTAATTCACGCACGCGATTTGCTACCGTTAAAATACACGCATTCTGTGTACAGACTGGAGCGTGAGAACGAGACGGGTAACAACTAATACCCGTTTTTACCGATGAGATCAGGTATTAGAATCAATGTAAAATACATAAAGTGGTGGCTGCCACATATGATTCCCTTTTAAATCCGGATATATCAGGCATCTCGTTCTCACGCTCTAGTCTGTATTTTTTCCACCAAACGACGGTCTCACATACTTGGCGAATGTATGGTAGTCAGCCCGTAGTGGAGTAATCAACGTTTTGCACGCTTTGGTGAGCCAGCCCTACACGCGCGCATAAGACATCAGCAGTTGGCGGCGGAGAGAGGCGAGAAGGCGACACTTCTGATTTCGCGCGTCAAGCGGCAGGCAGGCGCGTCCTCGCTCACCCCTTGGGGCCATGAAAATCGCCGAGCTGCTCAATGGGCCCGCGCCGCGGCGCCACGCCGACAAGCGGATGGACATGGCGTCGCTCGACCTCTTCACCCAAAAGTCCGTACCAACCATCAACTCCGTAGTTATAGCTGAGTACACAGAGTAAATCGTTACTAAAACTTCCCTCTAAAATGCAGACGCAAGCACCGAGCGGAGCTCTCCATGAGTCGGATCATCCAGGAACTGGCAGTAAAAGAAGGGTTAACTCGTCTCGAGTCCCCGCCAACCTCGGTCTCCGATAAACTACCGCGTCACGGCGAGACAAGAAGAACGAGTCTAAAGGTCGAGTCGGAGCCCGTAGCGGCTGAAGTGGCGGCGACTAATTCCAAGCTAACGACAGTCAAAGCTAAAGCTAAAAGGAAGGTGAAAGCCAAGAAATCGGAGGAGAATGACGCCAGCCCCAGTGCTTCAGAGGAGAGCAAGCCTGCGAGACGGAGAAGGGCTCGCAACGGCTTCGCGCCGCTCACCGAGTCGGAGAAGCGCGTCAAGCAGCGGATGCTGGTCAAGCGCTCGTACTACCGCAAGATCGACACTCTGGTGGAGCTTCGCAACGAGATGGAGGAGCTGGAGACCAAGTGCAAAGAGGTCATCATCTCTCGGCAGCAGATCCAGTCGCCCACGTCTCCAGACGCGCAGCTTGACAAAGAGGAGCGACGCTATGAAGAGCTTAGGGAGAGGTACACGCAGCTGGCCATCACGCAGGACGACCTGCGCCACGAGAACGAGAAGCTGCGCGCCGAGGCCATGGAGCAGTCGAAGGCGCGCACGCGCATCGGAATCTTGCTCAACGAGGAGCTGCTCGACCAGAAAGACGCGCGCGCGAAGGGCGAGGTGCTCGGCTTGTCCCCTTGGTCTTCGGGCGAGAATAAGGCGATGAATCGGGCGGATAGCGAGGCGAACGCTGGTCAGGACGTCAAGCCCAAGGCTGTGCTGGACTTTGTGCCCATTACAGAGGACGAGTGCATCACCATTGTGCGCGAGGCGTACACCGACGTGAGGGCGTTCGCCGACAGTCAGCACTACGAGAGCACAGGCGCCAGTGTGTTTGGCTGGCGGGACAGGAGGCAAGTGGACGGCGACACGATGCGCTTCTTCCTGGAGAAGACGTTCGAGAACTACACGGCGGCGGAGATCTCGAGCCGCATGTGGGACCTGGTGTCCTCCGAGCAGGGCGTGAACCGCATCTACGCGTCCGACGTGGCCATCAACTTCCACCTCGTGCAGCGTGTGAACGCCGAGAACGTGCTGTTCTACCGCACCATCGAGCCGCAGGGCGTCAACATGGTGCTCAAGACGCTCATCCTCGCGTCTCGCGTCCAGATCGACGACAACGGCAGCTTCATGGTGCTCTTTCGCTCGGTGGACCCCGAGGCGCGCGGAATCGTCAAGAAGGACGCGACGAGCTCATCTGGATTTTCGATAGAGAAGAAGGAGGTTTGGAGCGACGCCTTCAGTTGGGGACTCTACGAGGCCGCGGGAGATAGAGGCCAGCACTGCCGCAACTACTTCGGCGGCTTCGTGTCTAGCCTCGTGACCGAACGCAGTCTCGAGTTCTGGCTCATGCACATCCTTCTCATTGCTGTGCGCTGTGAGAACGAGGTCATCGGCCCGCTCTTTATCATGCAGTAAAAGTGAACACTAGTAATAAACTACCAACCGAAAGACGGTCACCACTACATCAATGGTGGGGGCCCTCTTCTTGGTTCGTGTTTATCTGATAGACGTGTATATTATCGTAGATTCATGGTGTATCGTAGAGTAGCGTGAGTAGAATAGAGTCCGTGAAGGTTGTTACTCTACGCGTGAGATTTCTCGCTCCTTCGCTTCGAGGACGCAGTTTCCGGGCGCTTGGACGAGCTCTTGGACGATGACTTCTTCGCGGTCTTTGGCCGACTGCTGCTGCTCGACGTGGACTGCTTCTTACGAGACGCTGCAGGCGCGTATCCGTCCCCTTCGTTATCGGACACGTACATGAAGAACGGGTTGCGCGCAAGCTCGAGCTCCTCGGCGCGTGCGATTTCGTCGTCCTCGTCGTCGTTCTGGGGTGCCATCACGTACTTCTTGGCGCGACTCTTGTCCGACGACGAAGTCTCCGGTCTGCGGACGCTGCTAGCCGACGGTGGACGCTGTCGTGGACGCAACGTGTTGCCTGCCAGCTCGAGTCTGTCCAGCGTGAAGTCGTCCTCTTCATCGTTCCAGCGCGCACGAGATTCAAGCAAGACAACCGCCTCTGGAGGCATGAAGTAGTCGAGCACCAGCGACTTCAACTTCAACTGAGCCGTGAGCTGTCGGATCGTGTCCAGTAGATCTTCACGCTCGCGACTGTGAGCCTTCTCCATGGCCTTGATGTCCCCCAGCACCTCCTTCACCTTCGTGTAGACCTTCTTGAGCTTGCGCGCCTTAGCTTCCGCCTCTTCCTGCAACGACTGGTACTTTTCCTCGCGCATGAGGTTGCTCTCTTCCTGCTCCGCCAACTCGCGCGCCAATTGGAGCTCCTGCCGCTTGCGCTCCTCCAACTCCAGCTTTGTGCGTCGTAACTCGTCCTCCTGCTGAGCCGCTTTAGTCATCATCTCACCTCCGATAAGCACCTTGGCCTGAGTAGCTGCCAGTCGATCCAGCAACACTTTCTGCTGAGCCGCGAGCTCTTCGGCTTGCTGGCGTTCACGCTCTAACTTCAATTCAAGCTCACGCTTGTTGAGCTCAGCTTGAGCCTTGTCCTTCGCTACCAGTGCAAGATCGTCGCGAGTCTTCTGCAGCATCTCTTCCTTCTCACGTTGAGCCTTCTCGGCGATAGCCTGAGCTTCTTCGATGCTGATGCCCTTCTCGATCACGATCTTCTCCACAATCTTCTCCACTTCCACGATCTCCACGGGTGGAGCATTAGCAGCAGACCCCTCCGCTCCGCCTGCACCACCATCAATAGAGCTCACACCTTCGCTCGCCTGCTTCTCAATAGCCAGCAATTTGGCTTTCAGCGCCTCGATCTCCTCTTGGAACTCGCGGATCATGGCGTCCTTGGGGTCTTCGTTGATCTTGGGCTTGTTCTTGATGTTCTTGGCGCGGCTGGCGTACCGCAGCGTGGTGAGCGTTTCCTCGTAGTTGTAGTCGGCCGGGCCGCAGTTCGCGATCATCACCGTCTTGGTGTTGCCACCCAGCGAGTCTTGGAGCAGTCTCGTGAGCTTCGAGTCGCGGTACGGAATGTGCTTGGACTTGCCGTCCACCAGCGCCGAGATGACGTTACCCAGCGCCGAAAGCGACAGATTGATCTTGTTGGCCTCCTGCAGTCGGTCTCCGGTCGCTCCGGTCTTGGACTGACGCTCGCTACCGGCCAAGTCGACCAGGTTGAGCTTGCCCACACACACGTGGTCCTTGCCATCGCCACCGGCAGAGCCTTCACTCAGACACTCGACCACAATGGTGAAGATGGAGTGCGAGCGAGACGACGTCTGGTTCATGAGCGTGGCGCCGACACTGCGGTTCTTCTTGCCCGTCTGCATGACGTGGTCGATCTCAGCAGCGTCTTTCACCACTTGAGCCGTCAACCCTTTGACGTACACGCCCGAGTCCGCGTTCTCCTTGAGATCCAGGGCGTTCTTCGGGTCCTTGGACAACAAGTCGCGGATCTCCTCGTTGTAGATCTCCAGATACGACGCGCGCACCAGGATCCGCTTGTTCTTGGAGATAGCCACCTAAAACACAGCACAGCACAGACATACACAAGTTAGAGAAGCCTACGCGCGTGACACGGGCTCTAAGCTGTGTGGATGGATGGAAACCTTGTCGAAGACGTGCTTGAACGAGTTGGGGATGATGCCCGGCTGGTCTCCGTAGCCCTCCATGGTGTGCGACTTGCCTGCCCCCGTCTGGCCGTAGGCGAAGATGGTGCCGTTGTAGCCCTCCATGACGGCCTCGACGATCTCCGTGGCCGCCGTGTCGTACACCTGCTGCTGTGTGGACTGCGCCCCGAAAGCCGCGTCGAACGTGAAGGACTTTGGCGGCTCGGAAGACGCCGCCACGGGGTTGATGATGGACACCTCGGCGCGGTCGAAGTTGGCCGTCGTGACCTCCTGCCGCCCGTCCTGCACCTCCTTGCCGCTCATGGGCCGGATGCGGACCATCACGCGCACGCACTCATCGTTCTTGGAAGACTTGGTCGCCATGGCCCACGACGCTACTTGGGGACAAGGCGGAGCTCACTGGAATTGGCCCCCGACGACCGGTGGGGCCTCAAAACCGCCGCCGGTTCCTGAGAGCCTCCTCGAAACGGAGTCATATCGGTCTCACGTCCGATCGCCACGAACGCGAGGGCTCCGATGGTTGATTGATGTCATCGAAGCTGCAGCGCAGCGCGACCCGCTCGCAATCCAAGCAGCGGGCGAGCGCCAGGCCGAGCACTGCAACTGCAACGTGCAAGCCTCGGCTTGCTTCGTCTCCTGTACGTAAACTGCAGCGTGGACGTTAGGTACCCAGCTCGTGTGTCGCCGCCTTGTGCAGGTCTTGTGGTTTGCGGCTGAGGAGGGGAGGGATAGCCCCGCGTCGGTCTCAGCATCCCGATGACGCTGTGGCCTTGACGGAAGCGAGCAAACTCGAAACTCGCTCGTTGCGGGCCAAGACCATCTCCATCTTGGAGACTCGGAGGCGCTCGATCCCTCCCACGCGCTGTTTGACAGAATTGTCCGCGCCTTGAGCAGCGCTCGGATGCGACGCAGGATTTGCTCGGAGGCAGAATCGAAATCTTCAGATGCACGACGACCCCTTCTGCTGCAGCGGAACTTGGCCGGCGTCCGACTGCGCGATGGCGGCTGGCGCTACACATCGACAGCTTGAGGCGGGGATGGCGCCAAGCGATTCCTCGGACGCGGATGTAGCTCAGCTTGACGCGTTTCGCGTCCAGCCTGAAGGCATCACTTTCGCCAGAAGGTGACGACTCTGGCATTGCCCCGAGACACCGAGGCCCAGCTGGGCTGTCATCTTACATACACCCGCGTCCGACGTCAGCTTTTCGCTGAAGCGAGCGAGCTTGATGATGTTCAAAATGGCCATCTATAGCGAGCACACCTCGGCGCGATTTAGACACGCCTAAAGCCATACCAAGAGTATTGTAGGCAAGTCGCAGTCCTGCGTGGCGTTGTCCTCTTCCTCTTCTTGGTCATCTCAGCGGGTGGCCGGCAAGCAGTTCTACAGCTGCAGTTCCTCTACATAGGCTTCATCTTATCGAAGCTCTCTTGTGCTCGGAGCTCCAGAGACTGGTGTCGGCCATTGGGGTACAAATTTCCAGCATGTCTTTGCATGGCACACTCGGAACGAACCTACACTTGTACTTGGCGAATGTATCGCTTTGAGCGCTTTGCCGAGCCTCCATGAAAATGGAAATTTGACCGGGACTTCACCAGCCTCGAGCCAGGATCCCCATTAGCGTTTCTTCTGCTAGCAATCGCCCCGTTCGTAGTCCTCCCGCAGTGTAGACTCATGCGCCTCGACACTTGATCTACAGAACTCGGCACGGTTCATACCGCGACTGAATGGTTGGGACGAACTGGTCTCCCGGAGTGAGACTGTGAGCCTGGCGTGGCGTAACTCGGGGCTTTTCATGATGATGGAGCTTAGGCCCAGTCTTGTATCTCCCCGACGAGATTGGGACGAGTTCGGTTATTGCCAAGACCTCCGGCACCCTGGCAGTGTGTTAGAGATGCAGTCCGATACATTTGCCTTTCAATTTTATGTATCCCGCGGCACAACATCCCAGCTGGACAAGAGGGGATGTCGTCCCTAAAGCGTCCCGCTTCGACCCGCAACAAAGAGCTCTGATTGGTCCCATCCCGCATCCCGCGAGATACAAGACTGGGCCTTACCGTACAACTTGCGGCAGGAGTTTCTGCCTGCCTGCCTGCCTCGGCCGGACCAGCTGCAAGCCCGGGCTCTTCTCTTGAGCGCTACGACTGCACACGTCGGCGGGGTAGAAATCTGCGAACGCCATTCCCAGTCCGCTCCCCAAGCCCGCGTTCCCCCCTGCTGCGTGCGGGCGCGGCGGCAGCGTCAGCCACATTCCAATCGCGTGTCGGTCGCTCTCGACCATTGTTGCGGAGCATGACCAAGCAGTTGCCGCTGCCGCCGCGCTTCTTCAAGTGCCCGGAGCTCTCGGAGCGCGAGGAGCACTACCTCGTGGGCAAGGCCAAGGATTCGGCCAAAGCCTTAGTGGACGCCACGCGCAACAATGAAGGGCCCGTGCGCTGGGAGGAGGCCGGCATGCACCGCGGCGTGCAGATGTACAAGGGCGAGGCCCGCTACCCGGAGAGCGTCGTGGGCGAGGCCATCACGTACGGCTGCGGGGCCACCACGATCCAGTCCACGCTGGACGAGGTGGCCGACTTCTTCGACCTGTCGACGGACGCCAAGGTCAAGCAGTTCGTCGAGTTCAACGACGACATGCTGGACGCGCAGCTGCTGTACGTGATCCGGGACCCGGCCGTGCTGAACGACCCCAAGTACCACTCGCGCAACACCCGCAGCGGCTCGAGCAAGATGCTCAACGCCAACCAGGTCACGGTCAAGTGGTTCGCGTCCGAGCTGCCGTCCAAGCTGCTCAAGAACCGCGACTTCCTCACGGTCGAGTGCCAGAGCACCTTCATGGACGTCAGCGGCCGGCGCGGCTGGGTGCGGTCCTACCACTCCATCAAGCTGCCGTGCTGCCCCGAGCTCAGCGACTACAGCCTGGTGCGCGGCAGCGTGTACCACACGGGCCACGTCTTCGTCGAGAGCGAGCGGCCCGGCTTCCTCGACGTCATTTACAGCGCACAGGTCAACATGAAGGGCAAGGTGCCGACGCCGCTGTTCATGACTATCCAGAAGAAGCGGTTGTCCAACATCGCCGACCTGCAGCGCATGATCACGCGCCGACGACTCGGAGCCCAGCGCTTCCTCGGCGACCTGGAGCTCGTGCCCAAGAGCCAACGCACGCGCTGCAACTTGTGCTCGCATAAGTTCGGCCTGATCACGCGCAAGGCGCGCTGCCGCAAGTGCGGCGAAGTGGTCTGCTCGTCCGCGTGTAGTACGGAGTGGGAGGTGTCGATCCCCGGCCAGGGCGTTAGGAAGGTGCGCGTGTGCTCCAAGTGCGCGCAGCACACAGACCCGTCGGTCTTCGAGGACATCCCGCCCAGCCAGCAGTACTCCGACAGCAACAGCGCCCACGACGATGAGCCGCCTCTGATGAGCGTGCGCGCCCCAGGCTACCAGTATGAGTGCTACAACAGAAGCGACACGGGCTCGCCTACTACGCGCAGCGCGCGCCGTCCGCCCAGCTACGGCCAGCCCAGTCTCGACAGCGAAGAGTACGAGAACGGCTACCGTCGACAGAACTCTGGCCGACGAGGGCCACACAATGACAGCTACGAAGAGAGGTACAGCCAGAACGACAGCTACGAGGACCCGGACCCGGAGTACCCGCGCACAGTCGAGATGCCCAGCGCTGAATACGGCGGACTCAGCCTCGACTCGGATCGCTACACGAACGACTCGGCCGAGTACGACGACTACCCTCCGTCCAACAGGAGGCACCGCGAGGACAGCAGGAAGTACGACCCGCGCAACCCGGACATGTACGACCACGAGACGTACGGTATGTCTCCCCCACAGCACCGCGACCAGGAGCAGAGGCGAGCACTGCAGCGCCAGCAGCGTGCGTTGCAACAGCGTCAGGACAAGCAGCGTCTGTTGAAGCGCCAGCAACAGCAGCAGGAAGCGCTCATGCGCCGTCGCCAGCAGCAGCAGACGGAGGAGTACGACAACTACCGAGAGGAGCTCGAGGTGTCGTTCAACAGCAGCGAGTTTAGCCAGTCGAACCACAGCGGGGCCAGTTCGGAAGCGCCGTCCTTCCTCACCTCCAGTCTGCTGGCCCAGCACACGGAGCAAATGGGCAAGCCTGGACCCGTCACGAAGAACGAGAGGGTTGCTGCCCGCCGTGCAGTGCAGCAGGAGCGCACAGAAAAACCGACCGAACGAGGCACGAGGCGTAAGAAGGAACCGGAGCACCGCCTTCCTCCGCCCGTGCTCCCTACCGATCGGCCACTGACGCGGCTGGAGCAGATGCAGGTGGCGCAATGGGAGCAGCAGGAGGCCATGTTCAAGAACCATGCCAACGTCTTCGACGCGGAGTTTGAGGCCGTGGAGATCCTGCCGTCGTACGTCTGTCGCCGACGAGGAAGCTCGGAAGGCTCCGGCCGACGCCGCGGCCCGGAGCTGCCGTCCTTCTTCCGCAGTCCGCACAGCAGCGCGCACTCGCAGGGCCAAGCAGCTCCACCGTTGGGCGACTCGAACCCGGCCAAGCTCTCGGGGAACAAGGTGCAGGCTGCCGACAAGTCAGGACAACGCACGGTGAGCGTAGCGGACGACGAAGACCGGCTAAACAACTCGGCAGGGCGTGACGACTCCATCAACGGGCTGGCCATCAACTTCGGCTCGCTGCTGCGTCCCGAGGACCTGCGTCCTACCGAGGAGAGCATGTGTTTGTCGCTGGACTCGAGCGATCTGGACCAGAGTGTCATGGATGACCTTAGTGCGGCCAACCCCGGTAAGGCCGGCGCTACGGACGCCAAGAACCGCGCGGACCTGTCCAAGGCCACCGTCGTGCGGCTGTACCAGCAGATCCTGGAGCTGACCAACAAGAAGCACGAGTTAGAAGCGCAGCCCGAGTCGGACCCGACCGAGAGGAAGGAGATAGCTCGGAAGCTGGACGAGCTCTACGAGAAGCTCAACGCGCAGGCGGAAATGTAAGTACTGTAGTAAGTGTCTATCTGTTCTGTCCGTCGTCGGAAGCGGAGTAGAAGGTAGTGTGGGCGACGTTCATCGATCGCCTTTTTAGTAAGCAAGCGTGGATCGGGCAAGACCAAAACTTGAATTCCGGGAGCTCGTTAATAAGCAAAAGCATTAGACAACAACATTCCTCTCTTCTCCTGGCCATGGCCCCTCATGGGTTGTCGTGAGCTTCGGCCTCAGCTTTGGCCTTGGCCTTGGTCTTGAGGCCCAAGCTCGACAGTAGGTCGTCCAGCGGCGCGTGGATCTCGTCGTGGTGCGGCACCTTCTTCATGCGCTGCATCCAGGCCGAGAACTTGGGGAACTTGGAGAAATCGTAGACGCCCATGAGCTCGATCTGCACGAACTCGCAGTAGGCAGCGAAGTCGGCCAGCGTGGGCTCGTCCGACTGGGCGATGTAGTCCTTGACCAGGAACTTCTCCGTCAGGTTGATCAGCTTGGCCATGAGGGCGGCGGCCTGCTTGGCCAGCACAGCGTCGCCTTCGAGGTGTTTGTCCAGCTTGATCCGCTTCAACGGGAGCAGCACCTTCATGGTGATCAGACGCGCGTTCGTGTGGTGCCAGTGCAGATACTCGTTCACCTTGGCGTGGGCCTGAACGTCCTTCGGGTACAGGTCTGTCCAGCCGAACTTCTCTGCTAGATACACCATGATGGCGTTGCCTTCGAACAGCGCGAAGTCGCCGTCTTGCAGCACCGGGATCAATCCGTTCGGGTTCAACGCCAGGAACTCGGTCGACGTGAACGTGTGGCTGCCGAACTCCGTCAGCGCCAGCTCATGCTCGAGATTCTTCACGCGCATGACCCATTCCACCGCGCGGCTTGGCTGGCTGATCAGATTCGCGTACAGCTTCATCGTCATCTTTACAGCCTCCAGGCGAACGTTCTCTTCTGAGAGTGAAGACCAAAGCCACCGTTAGCGAAAAGACCCGAAGAACTGGGACCCGGACCAAACATCAACTGCTTCAATGTATTAGAGGGTTACAGCAGACTTCAAGCTGCTACAAGGACAATTGATCTGGGCTGTGAGTGCTTACGGGTTGGCCTTGGTCTTGAGACCGAGGCTGGAGAGGAACTGGTCGAGCGGCTCGTGGATCTCGTCGTGGAGCGGCACGGCCTTCATGCGCTGCAGCCAGGCCGAGACCTTGGGGTACTTGGAGAAGTCGAAGATGCCCATGAGCTCGATCTGCACGAACTCGCAGTACGCGGCGATGTCAGCCACCGTGGCGTGGTCCGTCTCGGCCACGAAGTCCTTGACCAGGAACTTCTCGAGCAGCTCCGCGAGCTTGGTGAGCAGCGCGGGCGTGTCCTTGACCAGCACGGCCTCCTCGGGCGTGGCCGCGTTCTGCTTGGTGTGCATGAGCGGCACCAGCACCTTGGGCGTGATGAGGCGCGCGTTCGTGTGGTGCCAGTGCAGGTACTGGTTCACCTTGGCGTGGGCCCGCGCGTCTGCCGGGTACAGGTCGGTCCAGCCGAGCTTCTCGGCCAGGTACACGAGGATGGCGTTGCCCTCGAAGAGCGAGAAGTCGCCGTCCTGCAGCACGGGGATGAAGCCGTTCGGGTTGAGCGCCAGGAACTCGGGCGACGAGAAGGCCGCGCTGCCGAAGTCCATGGCCACGAACTCGTGCTCCTGCTTCTTGAGGCGCAGCGCCCACTCGGCGGCGCGGCTCGGCTGGCTGATGAGGTTGGCGTACAGCTTGAGCGACGACATGGTGGGGCTGTTGGTCTGGGGTGTGTGTGCGAGATAGGGGACTTGTGCGCTTGGAGGCGGATTGAGGAATGACGTTGGGGGACTGCCGCCGCTGGGCGGAGACTTCGATCCTTCGACGGATTGGCCTCAATTGGGACGGTTAAACCGGGTCACTCATACGCGTTGAAGCGGAGTCAGGCGTGGCGCATAAACCGAAGGCGCCCACCATCTCCGACCCCAAGCAGCATGGAGCGCGGCCGTGCCCGGTGTTGTGCAGCCTTCAGCTGGTGCTCGAGTCCAAAGTATGAACTGCTTGGCCCGGCTTGGCCTGGTCGCGTGTTTCGACTGAGCAGCAGCCAGGATGCACCAATGCGCGTGGCAGCGAAGAGAGAAGCAAGTCAGATTGGATGCAGGCCTGGTGCCGACCTCCAGTCCAACTTCAACATGAGCAATACCCGTTTGAGTGACGGACCACCTCGATTCAGTGACTTCATTTAGCGGAATGCGGCCGTACCGAGAAGTGCTGGACGCGATCAAGGGCCGCTGCGCCGTGGCCTCCACGAGCCTACGGGCGGGCGACCGCGTGCTCATTACGTCTGCCGTATGCGCCGCGTCCTCCCCGTCCTCCTGCGGCTGGTGCTTCGCGCCCGGCGACGTCTTCTCGCGGTGTTCCGCCTGTCGTAAAGCTCGCTACTGCTCCCGCGCGTGTCAGCAGCGCGACTGGCCGCAGCATCGCCACGAGTGCGCGGCCTGGCGCTCCATTCCAGAGAGAAACCCTTCGCCCACAGTGCTGCTGGTCGCTCGCCTTGCCGCCAAGCTTTTTCTGGGCTCCCAGGTCGACCAGGAAGAGAAGAACGGCGTGCTGAAGCTTCGGGACCATTTGGCCGATCACACGGAGCTTAAGCGCCACCAGTTCGATGAAATGACGCAGTTGGTGCTGCTCCTTTTGTCACGATATAAAGCAGAGAAGAGGGAGAAGAATGCGACTCTCGACGAGCTCCACAGAGACCTGGAGCTCGAGATACTCAAGCTTTTCGGTCGCGTCAATTGCAACGCCTTCTCGGTGGCGAATGAGTTCACGAATGAGGCTGTGGGCATCGGGCTGTACCCTGAAGGGGCTCTGTTCAATCACGACTGCGACCCCAATTGTGTCGTGAGTTTTAAAGGACGAGAGATGCAGGTTCGTGTGGTGAGAGACATCGAGGTGGACGAAGAACTCACGGTCTCGTACGTGGAGCTGTTGCAGTCGACGAAGGCGAGGAGGAGAGAGCTGAAGGAGTCCTACTTCTTTGACTGCGAGTGCAAGCGCTGCAAAGCTGCGACGAATGGGCAGAGTAATGAGGACTGGTACCTGGATGGATTGAGATGCAGCAACAAGAAGTGTGCGTCTTCGGGTGGAGTCGTGGTGGTGGAAACCTCGTTAGATGGAGATATGGTTGCGACGTGCAAGATGTGCAACAGTGCGCGAAATCCGGAGGAGATCACTGCCTTTGAGAGAGAACTGGAGTCACTGGCAACGCTAAAGGCAGAGTCGAATGCGAGCAGGTGGGAGAAGTACCGGCGCGAGTGGGAAATTCTGACGAATAGACTGCAACTTCATCCGAGAAACTCACGAGTGGCAACAATGGCCCGCGAGATCGGCAACTTTTTACTGGTGGCGATCTCTCCAGAGCTGCGCTCACAAGCTCTGCGATTCCTCCTGGCGGAGTTGCAGGCCGTAGAGTGGTTGCTTCCGAAGACGAAGCTTCCATCACGGGGACTGCTGCATTTTCAAATGGGCAAGGTGGTGTTTGAAGAGGTGAACGCTCCGTTGAATGCCATGCCGCAGGTGAAAAAAGTTGATACAATTCAACAAGCTGCCAAACATCTTCAAGAAGCTCTCACTGTGTAAGTGCTGTCTGTCTTGGATTCTGCAAAACCAAATAATTTATTGATGCTATGTGTGTGCTGTATGCAGACTGGACTGCGCGTATGGAAATGCCAGTGCTGCGGTGCAGTCTGCGCAGTTAACGCTGGACGAAGTGCAACGCACAGCCCGTGAACTCCAATGCTAGTAGCTACAGGTTGAAGTACGGGTCGATCTTTGACTTGTATGCAGCTCGCACGTACGCGGACGGCAGAAGTTTGCTAAGGATGGCCTGGCCAAGGAGTTGAAGTCGAGGGTTGGATGGAAACTCGTACATGATCTGGTGCACGGTACGCACGAGCATGAGGTCGCTGTCAAGCGTGACAGTGTCGACGACGATGCCGTAACCCCTGCGGTTGTCCTCCTGGTTGTTGCTGGAGTTCTGCTGTTCTGCTTCGAGCATCGCCCGAAGCTTCTCGTTGGTTGCATGCAGTGATCGCTGAATTGCCGCCTCGTCCAGTGGATTGCGCTCGACAAGCTGAAGGATCTTGGCGAAGCTCCAGTTTGGCGTCGGGTTATAGTGCTGCTTGCGGAGTTTTGCTTTGGCCATCGCAAGGAAGTACGCCTCTTCGTCCTCAAGATCCTCGAATTTGTCATGACAAAGCTTGGCAACGTCTTGGTTCGTGATCTCTGGAGTGCAGCGTCGTAGTGATAGTGCGTACAGCGGTGTAACACGTTGACTTTGGGGCTTCTTTTTGCTAGTGGCGGCTGTCAGCTTGCGGCTTGGCGCGACGTCTAACAGTGCCAACAGGACTCGGTAATCAGGTGCCTTCGTGTTCGCAGCCATCAAAAGAGCACGCAAGCCTCGGCGCTCTTCGGTATCCGCCAGTATCATCTCTTGGCAATGTTTCAACAGCGCCAGTGCCTTGTCAAGCCTTCCAGGGTCATTTATTAGCGCCATGTGCAGTGGTAAACACCGCTTTCCATTGTACGTCCGACAGCCTTCGTTATACACTTCAAGCAGCCTATGCAGCACCTCCAGACTGAGTCCTCTTCCTGCTGCAGCTGTGTGGATAGGGAGGTCGCCTGTCGAGAGAGAACTCGTTGCACAGCATTTCGGCATGCGATCAATCAATAGCAAGAGCAAGTCGGTCGCGCGCGGTTGGTGAAGGATCGCGTACTGCAGCAACGTCGTTCGAGTCCCGGCAATCGTTGTAGCTATCATCAGGGGCCCTTCGGCATTATCTTTGCCCTTGTTGGAGTTCTGCAAGGCTTCAGCGGTCAGAGTGAAAATCTCGACCGTCAAATTCTCTGGGAATCCGTACTTGATCGCGAGGTGCACCGGCAAGAGCCCGTTGCTACGCTTAGGTGTCAAGACGGCTACAGGGTAATGCGTTAGGAGCAAATCCACAAGCCAAAACCAGCCTGCCCCGATGTCGGCAGGGATACTTCCGTCGCCACTCTCGAGTGTCAGCGGCGAGGTTTCTGTCAGTCGCTGCTTCAGCTCCTCGAATGCATCCATAGCGAGGTGCAGCGGCAGATCACCTTGCTTGGTTGGCGTTGAGCACAGTACAACCTTGTCAAAGTGCTTGAAGAACAGCATGACCGCAGTTCGTGCTCGAGACGACGAGAAGTCGCAGCCTTCTAGCAGCTCGGATGTTTGCCGCTGCTGTTGTTGAGTAATGCACGAGTGGAAAGCAGACTCGCCACGCTCGTTGTACAATTTCGGCAGCGATGACTTCAACTCGTCCGCTGCTGCCCGCAAAGCCCACTGCAGTACACCAACAGAGGCGCGATGAAGGATAGCAGCATGCAGCGGCGTGTCCCCACAGACCGTTTGCCGCCCCCATACAGCAGTATTCAAGCGGTCTGCTGGCTTGCGCGGCTTGTTTCCAAGCGAGTGCTTCGACTTGACTGGGTGGTTCAAGCGTGGCGGTCTTCGTGCGAGCAGCTCCAGCAGCTTGATATCCGAACGTCGCTCGCGGAACGCAATGTGCAACGGCGTCATGCCGAAGGCATCGCACTCCCCAAGTGCTTCAGGATAACCATGGACGATAGCGCGCACAACAGCCACGGTGAACTGCGCATGCCGCACTGCGTAATGAAGCGGTAAGTTTTCTGCCGCATCGCGGCCACGCTGCATCAACTGGCGACGACGACGTCGAGCAATAAGCTCTACCAGCACCAAGTCAGGCTGTGGCGAGCGCAGATGCGTCCAAATATTCCCCATCAGGCGTTGCTGGACGAATGTGGCCACGTCGAGCATGTAAAATGCGCTGGATGCCAGCATCGGACGGTGCTTATAAGCAGTTTTGCTCTTGTGAGACCGCGTTACATCGCCAGGGTTGCTTCCGCGTGTGGATGAGAGCGCCGGCAAGCACACCTGATCGTAGAAGCGCTTCTTCGCTCGGAGCTCGGCCAACCGCTTGTCAAATTGGTACCTTTCCGCCTTGGTGGTGCAGTCATCACGCTCCAAAGGAGCAATAGACGACGTGCTCGTCGTGTAAAGCGGGCGGGTGAGGAGGACTTGGCCTGTGAGGTTGTCAGTGAAGTAGAATAGCCGGGTCTGCGGATCGATATGCTGCTCGAATCGAGTACGGACGAGCTGATGCACGCGCTTTCGAGCCAAGTGGCCCCTGACCAGTGCCTGGATCCGCTGCGCTGCATCAGGCTTCAAAGGTGGGTCAAAGCGCAGCCCTACATCGGCGATTATGGCTGCGACACAGTCCACCACCTCCGGCTCAATCCAGGTCACGTCTAGGCGCTTGGGCCCATACACACGCTTTCTTGTCGGTACGAACGCGTGCAGCTCGCGCCACTTCTGAAGTGCCTCGGCCTCGTCCAGCGCTGCCTGTTGCTCGATGCGTTTCTCCACCAAGTCATCTCTCCAGTCGGTCAGGAAGCCCTTCAGATCAGCGAGCGTTAGCTTGAGTGCTCTGTCCTTGACCATCTCCAGACTCACAGCTAAGGAGGCCACGGCATCTTTCGTAGTCAGGTGCTGCGGCGGCGGCACTGCTTCTCCCGCTGCTGCTGGCTCGGACACAGCATCGCGACGAGTTTGGTTCAGTATCGCAGCGTCTACCGCTGCAGGGCGTCGATGCTCGAACGCCTTCCAGAAGGCCAAGAACTCTTCCAGATTGATGCGGCCGTCTCCACTGGAGTCCATGACCTTCATCATGCGGCTCACCTGTGCTGCATCCATCTCGTGGCCTAGCGCTTTCGTAAGCTGCAACAACTCGCTCTCATCCAGAAGACCGGAACCATCAGTGTCGAAAGTCTTGAAGAGAACAGCGATCTTCTTCTCACGTTGCTGTTGGGCCTCGTGCTCTGTCATCGCCGCTGCATGCTCGTTCATAACATTCAGCGTGCGCATCTGTTTGCGACGACGGCGCTGCTTCTCTCGAGCCGCAGCTTGTGCCTCTTGCTGAGCGCGAAGCTCAGCCTGCGCCCGCTGTTTGGCTCGCTGAAGCTCCACCTTCTCGCGCTCAGCAGTTTCGAAGCGATCGTACCAGACGAGAAAGCGCTCGAGCGAGACTAGCTGCTCCATGGGGTTTGTCACGAGTTCATTCAGTGCTCGACGGTACGCAAGGCCGCGCAATGGGAAGTCGCCCAGAAGTGCCACGAGCCGAGGCAGCACGTTGGACTCGAAGCACTCTTCCGACTCTTGAGGACGTGGGGGGTCTGCGGCGTCGTCTTTCCTCTTGTTGGTTGACGACGAGAGCACGATTGCGTCTGCATTACCAAGAAACTCGAGGCAAATCTCGCGGCGGCGCTGCTCGCGTGTGATGGTCTCGACCTCGTTTGCCTCTTTGACTTCGAGCTGGAGCTTCGTCTTCCACCAGAACTGGAACTCCTCGAGCGTGACAGCGCCATCCCCACTAGCATCCAGCACGTTAAACACCTGTCGAATCTGCGCATCACTCACGGCCCCACCTGAAGCACCACCGCGCCCCAATAGAGCTCGATAGAAGTGCTGGAACTCGTCCAGTGTCATCCCACCACTCTCGTCGGCATCGTACTGACGGAAAACACGCGCTATCTGCTCATCGGCTGGCAGGTTCGACTGGCCACCTCCAAGCTTGCTAAGCATATTAGCCATCTGCGTCTGAAGCTGAGGAGGATCCCATTGTGTCGTCCCGTCCACCTCGTGATAGTAGTAAGTCTGCCCTTCGGCATCGAAAGCCTCCTCCCACCCGTTCATCTCAATCTTCTTCGTGCAGTACAGCAGCCACGCGCGCATGGCTGCTTCATCCAACACAATTGCGTCTTCACCCTCATCAGCTATCGTGGATCCGCCAAACCGCGTCTGGAGTTGCTGCATAACGTGCTGCACATGCTGCCGTCGAGTCATAGGATGGTTAAGCTGTGTAAGTACCCGCCAACAAGCCTCCAAGCTCCACTGACGCTTCTCAGCGCGTTCACTAGCTACGACTCCTTGCTGCTGCTGTTGCCATTGAACATCGATGAAAAGGTCAACCTTTTGTGCCCAATCCAGCTTGCTGCTGGGGAAGAGATGATTCAGCCGATCCGCTACTCGTTGCTCCATGGCTGGATGACCCCATCGCTCCTGCAGTGTTGTCGTGTGACGGAATAAAACAGGAGTGGCGCGCTTATGGAGCACATCAACGCGTTCCCAAGATGAGAACCGAGCTTCGCCGAGTCTGGTTCGCCGCTGGAACGGTGCATTTATTACCCAGTAGTGCCGTAGCGCGTCCCACGATACAACAGGGTGTTGCTCCAACAGATCCGGCGAAACAATGGGCACGCTGTAGGGATCCACCTCCTGCATGAGCGCAAACAATCCTTCATGCCCGTTGACCGTCTGCCCCACACGAACGCACAGGTCCTCAAACTCGGCGGCGTCCAAGTACCCAGACTTATCGTCATCGTACTTGACGAATAGCTCACGCAGCTGCTGCACCATTTCACAGGAGTCCTCGCTGCTCTTGTCATCACTGCGGCGAGAGCGAACAAACCCGGGAACACCGTCTTGAGACACCCGCGCTTCTTGCTGGGCGGCTTCCTGAGCCTCCAGGTGACTCCACAGGCAGCGTATGAGACTTGGAAGGTCCCAAATACTCTCACCCGAGAGCGTATTACAATAATACACGGTGGGCTTGCTGCCAAGCATCAGGTCGACCTCCGGAACCTCTTGAACCACTTCTTCCCATGCTGGGGTTGCCACCGGGACTTGACGAGGCTCCGCTTCAGCGCGAGACCGCTCTTGCGAGTGGATCTCGCTCAGCAACCAGCTCACGAAGTCGTGCCGCATGATTATCATGGCGTTCGTCGTATCCAGCTCCTGCATGAGGCGAAACTGCTCATGTTCGCCTTGCAGCGGACGCCCCACCCGACGACACAGCTCAGGCAGCTCACTGAGGTCCACACTCTCGCCTTGAGCGCCGGGTGCAAGCTCCAAGAAGATCGGATACACGTCTGCATCCACTCGCCAGTACTCGTTTGGGTCGTATCCTGCGTCGACGAAACCTCCTTGGCCTTCTTGTCCGTAGTAGTTTCCAGATGCAGCGGCGTCAGCGCTTCCATCAGCGCCGTAGGAGTCGGCGCCCCAGTAATTGCTGTAGTCTCCCCCTCCCCAGCCTTGATCTGCCATGCTTCCTCCCTGTGAAGACACCGAGTTAGTCAAGCGTCGCGTATCCCGGCGGACGAGCTTTGAATAGTCCTGGGGCTAACGAAGGCGGACGGTCTATCCGGAAGGCGCCGCGTTGAAGTGCAGTGGAGTGGAGTGGAGCGATCGATATATTTCCAGGGTCCTTGCTTGCTGCCCGAGCGACATCTAGAGTCGTGGTGAGCTCTGTCCGACGAGATGCTAGCAGTCCACAGACGCATATGAACATGCAGTTGCATACCTGGAGTCATAGCCTAAAGGAAAAACAAAATGGGGGAGCATATGTACAAGTGGGATCCAGCCAAGGAAGACCTCACACGGTGTAGAGTATCCCCGCGTTCTTGAAGTCCGTCTTGCTCAGCGACTGCTTGACGAAGGGCAGCACCTTGAGGATGGAGCTGAAGTCCGGGCGCCGCGTCGGGTCCTGATTCCAGCAGTGCTCGATCAGCTCGGCGATCTTGGGCGGCGTCTGACGAGGCAACGCCGGCCGCATCCGCTGCTCCGCCACCGCCATCGCAGCTACAGTAAAAGCATGATAAATCTTCAGTAAATAGATAAAAAGAATCACAAGTATTCGGCTGCCAGCAACACTCACTCTGCATGGGCGTCTGGCCCTTGAACGGCACGTCCTTGGCCAGCAGCTCCCAGAGCACGACGGCGAAGCTGTACACGTCGGCCTTGCTGGAGTACGGCTCGTGACGGATGACTTCGGGCGCCATCCAGCCGTAGGTGCCCGTCTCGGCCGTGAGGTCGGCCGAGCGGCCCAGCTCCATGACGCAGCTGAGCCCGAAGTCGGAGATCTTGGCCGTGCCCTGCGCGTCCAGCAGCACGTTGCTGCTCTTGAGGTCGCGGTGCATGACCGAGTGCTCGTGCAGGTAGCTCATGCCCTGCGCCATGTCGCTGGCCAGCCGGAAGAAGTCGAGCGGCGCCTTCCTGTTGCGGCGCAGCACCTCGGCCAGCGTGCCGCCCTCCATGAACTCGAACACGAGGCAGTAGCGCGGCGGCGCGCTGGCCGAGCCCAGGAACTGCACGATGTTGGGGTGGCGCAGCGCGCTGGCCACCTCCTCCTCGCGGCGGAACTCGCGCAGCAGCTCCTTGGCCAGCGCGTCGCCGCCGCTCTTGCTCTTGGCGGCGGCCGACAGGTCCACGACCTTGGCCGCCACGACGCGGCCGTTCCAGTGCGCGCTGAAGGTGGAGCCCGAGCGGCCGGCGCCCACGGCTTTGCCCATCCTCAACTCGGAGAAGTCCAGGGTGCCCGAGGAGGAGGACGAGGAGGAAGACCTGCTCTTCTTCTTGCCGAACAGCGGCATGGCTTGGCGGCTTATTGGCTTATTGGCTCAGTGGAGCGACTAAACAAATGCGGGACGGAAAGCGGTGCAGGCTTTTGAACGGCTGCTGAGAGAAATGATATACCTATGGGAACTGATGTCTGCATTTACGAATATTGACTGCGATAAACCGGCTGTGTTAGATGATCTTGCGGAATTCGTTTGGCCAATGAGAGGCGTCGTGCGCTCCACGCACGACGCGGCGACGTTGAACTTGGTTGACTCCAAGCACACCAATGCGGGACGCGCACCATGCCATTTTGCCCATGAGTCATCCGGATGTAAATGGAGCTCGATGCCCACTGCGGGCACGTTTAAGTCTGCAGTGCAGACCTCAGCGAGAGAGATCGATATGGCAACGTCCTCATCAACCGATGCGTGCAGTTCTTGCGGTCGCCCCGACTTGAAGTCGGCGACTCCCTCCGGCCATCAGCTCGAACATTGCTTGCTCGGAGCAGCCCAGCCCAGTGGCAGCATTGTCTTGGGCTGAGTCGCATCCTCAGCCTTCGTCGCAGCTTGTGCAGCACCCACCACTCCACGTCGTTGCGTCCTGCGTCGGAGCTCAGTTTTGTTTCAGACGGATCGGAGGCCAAGCAGAGCACGAACCAGTCGACTAAGACAAAGGTGGCAAGCTTCGTGTTGCTCGGCACAGCGCTGTGGAGATCGATATCAAGCTGAGCGCGGCCGGTACTTGCCGCTGAACGGATCCGCCGGTGAAGACAAGGCCCCATTTCGCCCAGACCAAGCCAATCGCCGAGATCATGTCCCAGTCAGCTTTGGGTTCGCCTGCATCCAATGTGACTTGCTTCCCTCTTCGCTGCCATGCGCGTTGGTGCACAAGTCCAACAGAAAGCGCATGCTGGGCATTTGACGCCCTGCACCGCTCCGAAGTCCTCGAGTTGACGTCACTTCACAGCTCCGTGGCAGCTCTCGCGCCCCTGGCTGCGTCACGGCAGTGGATATCCATCCCAGTTGCGGCGGTACAGCAGCTATGGCCGAGCTGATGTGTCACCGCCCAGTAAGTCAACATCCTGGCTGCTGCTCAGTCGAAACACGCGACCAGGCCAAGCCGGGCCAAGCAGTTCATACTTTGGACTCGAGCACCAGCTGAAGGCTGCACAACACCGGGCACGGCCGCGCTCCATGCTGCTTGGGGTCGGAGATGGTGGGCGCCTTCGGTTTATGCGCCACGCCTGACTCCGCTTCAACGCGTATGAGTGACCCGGTTTAACCGTCCCAATTGAGGCCAATCCGTCGAAGGATCGAAGTCTCCGCCCAGCGGCGGCAGTCCCCCAACGTCATTCCTCAATCCGCCTCCAAGCGCACAAGTCCCCTATCTCGCACACACACCCCAGACCAACAGCCCCACCATGTCGTCGCTCAAGCTGTACGCCAACCTCATCAGCCAGCCGAGCCGCGCCGCCGAGTGGGCGCTGCGCCTCAAGAAGCAGGAGCACGAGTTCGTGGCCATGGACTTCGGCAGCGCGGCCTTCTCGTCGCCCGAGTTCCTGGCGCTCAACCCGAACGGCTTCATCCCCGTGCTGCAGGACGGCGACTTCTCGCTCTTCGAGGGCAACGCCATCCTCGTGTACCTGGCCGAGAAGCTCGGCTGGACCGACCTGTACCCGGCAGACGCGCGGGCCCACGCCAAGGTGAACCAGTACCTGCACTGGCACCACACGAACGCGCGCCTCATCACGCCCAAGGTGCTGGTGCCGCTCATGCACACCAAGCAGAACGCGGCCACGCCCGAGGAGGCCGTGCTGGTCAAGGACACGCCCGCGCTGCTCACCAAGCTCGCGGAGCTGCTCGAGAAGTTCCTGGTCAAGGACTTCGTGGCCGAGACGGACCACGCCACGGTGGCTGACATCGCCGCGTACTGCGAGTTCGTGCAGATCGAGCTCATGGGCATCTTCGACTTCTCCAAGTACCCCAAGGTCTCGGCCTGGCTGCAGCGCATGAAGGCCGTGCCGCTCCACGACGAGATCCACGAGCCGCTCGACCAGTTCCTCTCCAGCCTCGGTCTCAAGACCAAGGCCAACCCGTAAGCACTCACAGCCCAGATCAATTGTCCTTGTAGCAGCTTGAAGCATTTGACTCGCTGCAGCGGGAGTGCTGTTAACTCTTCAATACATTCAAACATTTGATAGTGGTTCTTATGCATACGATGGATACCGGTGTTTGGAGAAGCTAAAGTGACGTCGTATCAGCGTTGAAGTTGGGTCCGACAAGCGGCGGACCGGGTTGAGGGGTGATGATGTCGTCCAAGGACGTCGAGCGCTTGGGCTCGAGCAAACCGTGGTAAAAGTTGCCACGCACAGCCGTGTCGAACTGGAAGGCGCTCGCTTCCTGGCTGGTGAGCACTCGCTTGGTCGGTCCGCGGTGCGGCAGCTTCTCCAGCCGCTGCAGGAACGCTACGATGCGGTCGACCGTGCGCTGCGACGTTGATGTGCCCGTGGTGAGCTCAACCGGAGACATCAGCACGCATGGGTAGAAGAAGCGCATGCCCAAGAAGCGGTCCGGGTGCTGCAGGTGCATCCTAGACGTGGCAAAAGACAACAGTCAAATGTCATCAAGCAGCAGCAACCAACAGAGATGCATAGTAAGTAGCACGTACTGAATCGAGTCGATGGGGAGCTCGATCGTGTTGGTGGCCAGGATGGTCGAGGCTGAGCAGTGCTGCTCGAGCGTCTTGAAGAGCTTCACCTTGGCCTCCAAGTTCTCTGGAATCTGTAGGGCAACCAAAACTTCATCAGCCTTGTAACTGCCACAGGAGGACACTTTCGTCCTCCTCAAGTGGCACTCCCTTCTCACCGCTTCGATAACAATGACAGCATCGGCACACTGAGCCACGTCCGAGACGACCGTGATGTTGCCGCATGCCTGCGTCAGCATGCTCTTGGTCACGTAGCCCAGGTACAGCAGCGGGTGCAGCAGCTCGTACGCGTAGGAGGACAACTGCAACATCATAACATAACAACACATAACGTGCCACCGCCTTCAGTTAAGAACTTCACCTAGCTGATATTGAGATCGAAACTAACCGCGTCGCCGGTCTGCGGGTTCGTATCGCACACGAGCACTTGCACGCCCAGCAGTGACAGGTCGATGGCGATGCACTTGCCCAGGAAGCCGGCGCCCACCACCGCCACCTTGGAGCCGCCGGCTGCGCTCTGGGCACTCGAGTTCGTGTACGCGCAGGTGCCGCTTTCGGCGGCCTGCTCGCCGCCGGCCTGCGCTGCTGCTGCTGTCTCCCCGTGCGGCATCCTGCCTGATACTTTTCGTCTGATTCCCTTTCACGATTTTTTTACTTTTAAGTACAAAATTCAGGTTAAAATTGGCTTCTGTAATATTCGTAGCGTAATCTGAGTTTTGGAAACGGGATCCTGATCGAAGGCACGCACCTTCAATTTCTTGGGCACATATGGAGCGCAAAGATGCTGGGAACTGACGCTGGATCGCGTCTGGGCGATGGCTGCAGGCACCCGTAAATTATAATACTGTACGGTGCCCTACGGTCCGTAATCTCAATTCGAGAGATCGCTGGCCCCAACGACCAGGATGCGGATCGCGGAATAGCAAAGCCAGCACCACTGTGAGAAGCAGCACCACTGTGAGTGGTGCTGCTTCTCGCGTCGTGCATACATGGGTAGTGCACACTGTATTGGCTGATGTCAACGCGGACGTGGCTGATGTTCTTGAGTACGTTGGGGGGGTGGGGTTGCTTGACGACTTCCTCCTTTGCCTCTGGTCTCGTTGTTGATTCCTGGACGCAACTGCTACGAACTTCCCGTCACGATTTGGTGTTGTTTCGCCATCGTCGCTGTGAGGCCTGTCTCCGATGAAATCGAGGAACGTTCGGAGCCTAACGAGCACTTTGGATGCCTCTGCCATGACATGACACGATGGCTCCAGTCACGCAGAACTCAATTCACCGATCTTCACTCGAGTGGCGTCAGGGACGATGACTTGGACGCCGTCGTCCCCGAGTAGTATCACCAGCGACTACGTTCAACTAGCCCCTACACCGAAGACTGCGTCCAGGGTGCCGGATCCCCATGCTCCGATTCGACCACGTTGGGTGCTCTACGCCAACGTGTTGGTGGCACTACTGCAGCCTCTGCAGTACGGATGGTCGACCTCGCAATTGAACCTCACGACGTTCAACGCCGAAGACGAATGCAACGCAAGACCTGTCGCCCCCGCTACATGCCTCATGTTCCCAGGACACACGAAGGCACAGTGGACCATCGCCGTCAGTGCCTGGATCCTCGGTGGAATGACCGGCGCTCTCGCTTGCGGGCGGATTTCCAACAGATTTGGCCGCAGGTGCATCATGATGTCCAACTGCGTCTTCATGATTGCAGGGGCAGTGGTGCAAGCGAGTGCCTCGAGTGTGTGGATGTTCATTGGTGGGCGTGTCGTCTCGGGCATCGCTTCAGGTGGAGCCACGGCCGTCATCCCCGGATTCATCAGCGAGATTTCGCCTCCCAACCTCCGCAACAGTCTCGGCGTGGGCTTTCAGATCGCTATCACCATCGGCAACCTGCTTGTAGCCATCGCCTTCTTCTTCGCCGACACGAGCAGTGGCTGGCGTTATATCGCGGGGTTCCCCGTTGTGCTGGCGATGTTGTTCTTGACATTGGCGCCTTTCGTGATCGTCGAAAGCCCCGCGTGGCTGCTGACGACAGGCAAGACTCAACTTGCGGAACGTGAGCTTGGACGACTCTATGGCGAAGATAATGTGCATATAGCGAAGACGTGGATCAAGTACCAACAAAAAGCTCCACGTGACACCTCCTGCAACGACTCCGACTTGCACCAGAGCTCCACAGCCTCTACGGACACCCCGAAGTCGTGCAATTTGGTCGAGCTGTTCTCACCGAGGCTCATTCGACAACTACTGACTGCTATAGGCATGGCAGGGGCTCAACAACTCACAGGGATCAACGCCGTCTTCTTCTACTCGTCCACGCTCTTTGAGCAGGCTGGCATCTCGGACGACCGTATTGGTATCGTGGCTGTCAACTTCGTCAATGTGTTGCCGACCATGTTCTGCGGGGTTCTAGCGGCGCGCCTCGGTAATCGCAAGCTCATTCTCTGTGGATTGACGGGGATGTTCATCAGCGCAGTGGGCATCACGATATCGCTCGTCGCTAGCCTACCAGCCCTCGCCATCGTGTTCACAGCGACGTACGTGACTTCATTCGGCTCAAGTCTCGGTTCGCTTGCGTGGGTGGTCATGGCCGACTTGTTCCCGGATGACGCTCGAGCTATGGGGACTTCGGTCTGCGTGGGGTGTAGCTGGCTGTCTAACCTCACGGTGGGGCTCAGCTACCCGTACATCGCTGCGGTTTTAGTCAACTTCAGCTTCACGCCGTTCATGTGTACCGTTGCACTCTCCTTCCTCTTTGTGCACATGTTCGTGCCGGACACGTCCGGGAAGACGATACAGGAGATTCAGAACGAGTTCAACGCAAAAACCAGGGATTAAGATGTAGAGTAGCATAGTGTCGAAGTGTAGAGTAAGCGAGTCTCGCAACAAATATCGCGTTATTGTCGGTGGAGCCCAGATACTACATTGATACCGCCTCAACGTAGACGCACGTTACAAGTGTATAGATGCTTCATTGTCCTGTCGAGAAGAGCTCCACCAGGCTATTCAGAAGCTTTTCTACAGAGTGGTGGTCATAATCATGGAGACCGCCGCTGGATACGTCTCTCCTGCACTGCTCGGTGTGAATCACAACTGCTCCTGTGAAGCAAAATGGCTCAATTGCTCCACCAAAAAATCGAGATACGGAGGCGTCGCTCGTCGCTATTCAAGATGCGTGCCGCCAACCAACACGAGCCTGGCGTTCCGATACGGAAGTCCCATCCTAGTTATCTGCGTGTCGTAGTACGCAAACCCCACTCGCTTATACATGTGCCTCAGCGCCCTTGGCGTCCATGAATGGATAGTAGACATTGGCCACAGCTGCGTCTAGCTCACTTCCATATTTCTGCCTGTGTGTTGGTAATAAATTAGTTTTTGAAGTGATTGACGGAGGACTGTCTAAAGGCACAAAAAGAGGTTGGTAATGTTCACAAAGTGTCAAAGCGCTGTAAGACAGTCAGAGGCTCGAAAAAGCAGGCCATGCGCTTTAGCGACGTCGGAGGGAGCTCACTTCTACAATTGCAACAGCCGGAGGCACTCCCAACAGCCGAAGGCCAAAGCTACAGTACCGGTACACTTCATCCACCCTGAAACTACGCCACAAGTCAATTTCCCAACTACAGTAGCCACACACGCAGAGCGCCATGGACTTCTCGGCGTCCATGATCAGCACGACCCGGAGTGGGTACGTCTGGGTCGCCCCGACGCCCATGGTCATGATGCCCGCTCCACAAGTCGAGGAAGAGACCGTTCTGCAGCCAACCTGGAGATTGTACGCCAACATCCTGGTAGCGGTCCTACAGGCGCTGCAGTTCGGTTGGTCTACCTCCCAAATGAACAACTCGATCTTCAACAACGAAGCGGACTGCAACGCAAGACCCATCGCACCCGGAACTTGCCTCATGTTCCCTGGCCACACCAAGACGCAGTGGACCATCGCCGTCAGTTCCTGGATCGTCGGCGGTATGCTCGGCAGTCTCGTTACGGGCCGTATCTCCAACAAGTTCGGTCGCAAGCCGACCATGATGGCCAACTGCCTCTTCATGATCGCAGGTGCGGCCGTGCAGGCCACAGCCGGCAACATTTCCATCTTCACGGTTGGCCGCGTGTTCGCAGGTATCGCGGCTGGAGGCTCCACGGCCGTGATCCCCGGATTCATCGGTGAGATCTGTCCGCCACACCTTCGTAGTCGCCTGGGCGTGTGTTTCCAGATCTCCATTACGCTGGGCCACCTGTTCGTTGCGATCACCTTCTTCTTCGCTAGCACGAGTACTGGATGGAGGTACATTGCGGGATTTCCGATCGTGTTGGCGACGCTGTTTCTGGTGTTGGCCCCGGTCGTACTCGTGGAGAGTCCGGCGTGGCTGCTGATGGTGGGGCAGCCGGAGCGCGCAGAGCAGGAGTTGACGCGCTTGTTCGGCGCGGAAAACGTGTACGCTGCGAAGAAGTGGATCAAGCAGGACGACGTCGAGTCCAAGCGCGAGCGCGAAGGCAGCGTGAGACTTCAGGACTTGGGCATGTCCATCATCTCCCCGGAAGCCCCTCAAGCGAGCGGCGGCAGTCTGAGAAAGCTGTTCTCGGCGGCGCTAATTCGACAGCTACTGACGGCTATCGGTGTCGCTGGAGCGCAGCAACTCACGGGTGTCAACGCCGTCTTCTTCTACTCGTCCAGCATCTTCAAGCAAGCTGGAGTCACGGACGGCCGCATTGGCGTCTTGCTGGTCAACTTCGTCAACGTGCTGCCGACCTTGGTGTGCGGCATGCTCGCGGCCCGTGTAGGTAACCGCAAACTCATCCTCTATGGCTTTTTCGGCATGCTGCTGAGTGCTGTAGGTATCACAGTGACGCTGGTGATGAGCATGTCTGCTCCATCCATTGTGTTCGTGGCACTGTACGTGACCACCTTCGGTGCGAGTCTCGGGCCGCTGGCCTGGGGCGTTATGGCTGACATGTTCCCGGACGACGTTCGAGCCGTGGGCTGCTCGATTTGCGTGGGTGTCAGTTGGCTCTGCAGCCTCACGATCGGACTGGTGTACCCGTACCTGGCCGCGGCGCTGGGCAACTTCAGCTTCGTGCCCTTCATGTACACCATCACGCTGTCGTTCCTCTTCTTCTTCTCCATCGTGCCCGACACGTACGGCAAGACGATCCAAGAGATCCAGGACGAATTCAGCGCCAAGTGGTCGAAGAAGAAGAAGAAGCCTCAGCCTCAGTGGCGCATGTCGGGCGGCAGCCAGATCCCTGTGCTAGGGTAGAACCGTTTGCATGTTGAGTTAGATGTGGTCAAGTGGTTAAAAATATGTAAGATAATAATTGTCGCTGCAGTGCAGCTTGAAGTCGCGAAGGTGTTTCGGTTGTATACATACCAACCAGTTGAACATGCATCTCGACTCGAGAGAATGCGAGGCTCGAGATTCTCGAGCCTCGCATTCACCGATCTGAGGATTTTGGAGCCGAAAAACTTGCGGAAATGATCACCTCGTTGGCGAATACGACTCGGCGTGCAGTGAATTTGTGCATCTGTCTGCTGTCTTGGTCTGAGCGGGTCAGAGCAACCTGCAAGGCACTTGACGGCCAAGTTGAGCCGAGAACGAGGCTCCGTACGATTCGGACAGGCGTTGCACCTGTCGACGCATCGGGTGGCGCGCAGACTGCAACTTGAAGTTGCCTTTTTTGAATGCGAGCCATGCCGGTGACGTGTACCATGTAGACGAAGCTCGCACTGGCAAAATGCTCCTCCCCACGGCCTCGGTGGACGTCACCTCATCTCAACAACACGGCCAATGTGCCTGCGTGATCTCCTTATCGCCGCGCTGCTCGCCACAGTAAGGCTGCGAGTGCGTGCGCGACTAGCAGCCCCCGTCCCTGCGCGGCGATCCGACAAAAAAGGCGTGACCGCATGTCTGTGTGGCCCGTGGCGCGGGTGGTCGAGCTGCAACTTGCAGCAGAGCGTGCCGGTGCAATGACCTCGTTCACTTTAGAACTTCCCATCACCACACCAGATCGACTCAATGGCCGTCGACGCGCTCCCTGAGCCCAGCGCCCAAGACTCGCCGTACGTCGAGGTGCGCACGCCCAAGGCAAGTGATGGCCCCACGGACAAGTCGGTGCCGCTGTCGTCGACCTTCTGGAGCAGTCTCTGGGTGCTGCTACTGCTCCCGTTCCAGTTCGGCTGGTCCGTCGGCCAGCTCAATCTCACGGCCTTCAACAACGAGGACGACTGCAACGCGCGGCCCGTAGCGGACGGCACGTGCCTCATGTTCCCGGGCCACTCCAAGACCGAGTGGACCCTCGTGGTCAACGCGTGGATCGTCGGCGGCATGATCGGCAGTCTCGCGTGCGGAGCCATCTCGGAGCGCTACGGCCGCAAGAAGGTCCTGCTGGCCAACGCGCTCATCATGCTGGCCGGCGCAGTGATCCAGGCCAGCACGTCGAGCATCTCCGCCTTCATGGTGGGCCGCATCGTGGCCGGCGTGGCCTCGGGCTGCGCCACGGGCATGGTGGGCGGCTACATCAGCGAGATTTCGCCTCCGAGCCGCCGCAACTCGTACGGCACCTTCATGCAGGTATCGCTCACAGGCGGCATCTTGGTGGTGACCGTCTTCTTCTTCTTCCTGGACACGAGCAGCGGCTGGAGGTACATCGCCGCCTCCCCCGTACTGAACGCGGGCTTCTTCTTGGCGCTCGCGCCGTTTGCACTGGTGGAGAGTCCCGCGTGGCTGCTGGAGAAGGGCGACCGTGAGCGCGCGGAGCAGGAGATCGCCAGACTCTACGGCCACGAATACGTGCAGCTGGCGCTTTCGTGGATGGAGCCAAGCGCCACTACCGACCTTGAGTCCGAGCCCCAGTCCGAGGACCAGCAGCGTGGTGGCAGCGTGCTCTCACAGCTCGTGTCCCCGCTCTTTATCCGTCAGCTCCTTGTGGCGCTGGGAGTATCGGCCGCGCAGCAGCTTACGGGTGTGAACGCAGTGTGCTACTACTCGTCCGACATCTTCACAGATGCAGGGATCTCCGACGGCCGCGTGGGCGGTGTCATCGTCTACGTGCTGATGCTCATTCCCACGATGATGGTGGCGCGGTTGTCCGAGCGCTTTGGCAACCGAAAGCTGCTGCTCTGTGGGCTGGCGGGCATGTTTATCAGTGCCACGAGCATTACCATCTCGCTGGCGTTGTCGGCGCAAGCTCTCTCCATCGTCTTCACGGGCACATTCGTGGCCTCGTTCTCCGCGAGTGTCGGCCCGCTCATCTGGCCCATCACAGCGGCGCTGTTCACGGACTCGGTGCGCGCGACCGCCGTCTCCATGTGCATCTTCATCAACTGGGTCTGCAACTTGCTCATCGGCGTCTTCTTCCCGTACATTTCGGACGCGCTGGACTCGTACAAGTTCGTGCCGTTCATGGCGACCACGGCCGCGTTCTTCCTGTTCACGCACTTCTGGATCCCAGAGACCGCTGGCAAGACGACGGAGGAGATTCAGGCCACGTTTCATTCGCGTGGCTATCAGAAGAAGCCCGACATCTCCAGCTAAAGTGTCCGTCCACTGCAGCAAAGACCAACGGGGGTCAGCCTCTGTAGATACCATGTAAATCAAAACAATTGGAACTTCAAAGATACGCTTGGAGTCCTCACACACAACCGATGCAACAAACAAACAAAAAGTATCTACTAGGTAGAGCTTAGCTTCAGTGTTTAAATACCGCAGAATAGTTATTTATCTTACTCTAGTCTAGTTCATATTACCCGAGTACTGCAATTTGACTGTTGCGCGACAGCCGCCAGTCCTTATCGGCGGTCTTCTTGAGTCGCCGCACTTCGAACTCGTCCTGGATCTCCTGGATGGTCTTGCCATACGTCTCCGGCACGAACGAGTGCACGAAGAGGAAGGCCAACGTGACTGTGCACATGAAGGGCACGAAGCTGTAGTTGTTGAAGGCAGCAGCGATGTACGGGTAGCCCAGACCAATCGACAGACTGCACAGCCAACTGGCACCCACGCAAATCGAGCAGCCCATGGCTCGAACGTCGTCCGGGAACAAGTCGGCCATGATTCCCCACGCGAGCGGCCCGAGACTGGATCCAAACGTGGTCACGTACAGTGCTGTGAACACAATGGCCAGCGCCGGCAAACTGGCAGTAAGCGACACCGTGATGCCCACCGCGCTGAGGAACATGCCGGCAAAGCCGATCAAGACGAGTTTGCGGTTGCCCAGCTTGGCCGATAACATGCCGCAGAACAGAGTCGGCAGCACGTTGACGAAGTTGACCATCAAGACACCGATGCGGCCGTCCGTGAGTCCGGCTTGCTTGAAGAGGCTGGACGAGTAGAAGAAGACGGCGTTGACACCCGTGAGTTGCTGGGCTCCAGCCACACCGATGGCCGTCAGTAGCTGCCGGATGAGCATTGAGGAGAAGAGCTGGGCGAAACCCCGAGGCTCAGGCTGGGCGAAGCTGCGGGCCTTGGGCGGATCGGGCGCCATCAGAGCCATGGACATTCTCATGTCCTGCGCGACGTACTCACTCCCGGGGCCCGTTCGTGGAGCCGGCTCCTCCTGGGTTTTAATCCACGTCTTGGCAAGGAAGACATTCTCGGTGCCGTACAAGCGCGCCAGCTCGCGCTCGGCCATGAGTTGCTGGTTCATCGTTATCAGCCACGAGGGGCTTTCCACGAGCACGAAAGGGGCAAGCACCAGAAACAGGAACGCCAAGACGGTGGGGAACGCCGCAATAAATCTCCACCCAGTGCTTGTGCTGGCAAAGAAAAACGTGATCGCAACGAACAGGTGACCGAGAGTGATGGAGATCTGGAAACACACTCCTAATTTGCTGCGGAGGTGCGGCGGAGAGATCTCACCAATGAATCCGGGGATCACGGCGGTCGAGGCTCCGGCAGCAATACCTGCGAACACGCGGCCAACAATGAAGATCCAAATGTCGTCTGCGCTGGCCTGGATGAGAGCTCCTGCCATCATGAAGAGGCAGTTGGCCATCATGGTGGGTTTTCGACCGAACTTGTTGGAGATACGGCCCGTAACGAGACTGCCGAGCATACCGCCGACGATCCAGGAACTGACGGCGATTGTCCACTGCGTCTTGGTGTGGCCGGGGAACATGAGGCAGGTTCCGGGCGCGATGGGTCTTGCGTTGCAGTCCGCTTCGTTGTTGAAGATCGAGTTGTTCATCTGTGAAGTGGACCAACCATACTGGAAGGGCTGCAGTGTCGCCACCAGCACGTTGGCGTACAGCCTCCAGGTCGGTTTGATCGTCGAGTTGCTTGGGACTGGCTGGACTGGCGGGGCTGCCCTCTCGGAGACGACAGGCGTCGGCACCACCCAGACATGGCTGGCACTGCTCGTCGACGGCGTGAACTCCATGTTATCGCAACGTGGCCCCACTATTCGTAGCTGTGCGCAACCGCGGCTGAGTTCTACGTGGCACAGTTGGGGTTGTTGCGCTCTCAACGCGATTGAAAAGTGAACGACCGACTGGACTACACAACAGTTGTGCAGTCAACCGGTTGCCCTATCACAAGTTCATGCCTCAGGGTTGTGTGATGTTCTACCGGTAATCCACGACTCGATGCTGTGTTTTCTGAGCTGAGCTGTTGTCAAGCGCTCGCACCTCGGATGTACGTACAGAAACTGTAACTGATTTTGCGAAACAACTGCTGGAAGGAAACAACGAGTGCTTGGATGACGGATCTTTGGAGGATCGCCGGATCGATCAACCGAGCCACGCACCAAAAACTGGACATGAAAGGAAGCGCTTCATAATGAAGTTCATTCGCAGCGTTGTGACCTGGTGCACTTTAACCGGGCGGCTCTGAGTAACTGCAGGCATCGATCCGCCACCTCCGCTGCTCTGAAAAGTGAGCGACTGAGCAGTAGACAGCTGTACTGTACACTATGATTCGTCTAATACAGTTCATGTATAGACGTCCAATACAGCAGCTCTCCGGGCACCACCGACTGGTGCATGGAGGGACTTCTAATACATGAATTTTCAAGAAACTTCGCGTTGTACAGACGCAAACCGTCACGCAAATACGCGGTATGCCGACAAATCTTTGTTCGTCGCCACATTCATGGACAATGCAACCAGGTTTCCGTGCAGCAATATGCCGGGCAAACAGATGCAGACAAGTGCAAATTGTTGCAGACAGCAGAAGTTTTATCCGCAAACATATTCGACAGCTTGTTATGCAAAAAAGTCCATTCATCCTGTTGGGCTGTGGTTCTCAGTGCATCGCACCGTACGAAATTCCAGAAAATCGACCCACGCCATCCATACGTGCTCAGCGAATTCAAGGATTTTACAACAATAACATCCAAACGACGACGATCAACAATATCTGTGCCAGCTCCTTATGAAGGAGTGAGCGCACAAGTCCTACCTCCCTGAGCGACATCAGCGCAACCGTGGTTACCTCATTACCATATTGTACCGCGTTGCGCTGAACTCCGCTGGGCGCCAAACGTGCCTGCACACCAAAAAGAACGAAAGTACAACAGGAGAGGATACATGGCATGAACTCCAGAAGCTCGGTCCCACCACACTAGGATAGCCTTCAGGTTGTGCAACACAGTCCGGGTGTGAGTGCATTGACTGTAAGCGATACGACTGGAGCCAGCTTAAAGTTCTATCATAGTCGGCCGCACTGGAACGATGCTGATGGGACCGTAAAGGTAGGGAAACTTGCATTGCTATCGTGACATGCCGCTAGCATCCCACCAAGCGTGGTTGGTTGCCTTTATTTTGGTTCTTATGCAGATCAGGTCTAGGATTTGAACATGCTGATTATGAGACCGAATCGGAAGACCTGAACGAAACAGCCACAGCAGTGGAACATGGCACGACAATTCTTCTCCATGCTCCGTTCATCTATCTGTCCTACTAAGCATTGGCCAGGTTTGTTGTAGATAAGGTGTTCCATGTGAGTGGCTACTCTGAATGAGCAGACGTTATGCAGTGGCAATCCCCGATGTCTCACTATCGCTGCTAGCCACTTCTAACTGTAAGTTTGTCCATGTAATACCTGCGTCCTTAGTTACAATGTTATGCCGCTCTTTTGAGATTCTAGCCACAGCAAAATGCATTGGCGGTAACTTCACATGCTGGACATTCTCTACGTTGGTATGGTGTACTAGAATGTAAAAGAATCTTGGGAAACAACACCAAGTCTACAGTACAGGGTACCAATACGTGTAAGCCCAGTAACTAGGATATCCAATTGCTTTACTGAGGCACAGTAAAGTACAACCTGGTACCCGAAGTGCACAACGCTGCTGAAGAAGCTGTCAAAGACGCATAAATTTGCATAACTTCGGAGCAATACATAGCGTTCGAACTTCGAACTTCAAAGCAATTGTATTCGTGTCGATACGAAAACTACGTAGTATGCAAACTTTATTATCCTTCTACTTGGATCAGGGTGCGGCGAAACTTGATCTTTACTACAATGTCGCTCTCTTTGCCATCGCTCATTATAAACAGCTCGAACGTCTGTGTGAGCTACGGGGAGCGGAGCCTTGCCCACCAACGCGTCGCTATCCGTATCCTCGCCGAAGAACTTGTACACACGACGAGCAGCACGAAGCGTGGAGCGGACTTGAGTCTGCTGTCATCGTTAAGTTCTCGAAATCGATTCTGCAGACGCGGGAGCGCAGGCCTCCATCTTGACTTGGTTCCCTCATTCTTCTCGTCTTTAGTCACTGTAGACAACGGCGTAGCGCATGGCGGGACTGGATTCGAGCTTCAAGCGAAGCAGTTGGACCCCCATGTTTCCTTCCGAGGTGGGTGGCGAAGCAGTAGGCCACCTCCCGGTCGGCCGTCGAAGGGGGACGCAGATCTAGAGCGCAGCACTCGCCGATGAAGTCGCTCATGCAGCGAAACTCGGTTGGGCGCCATTTGCCTCCTGCGCCTGGGATCCCCCTACCACAGCATGCACACCATCACAGCGCTGGCGGTGCCCACTGGCTCGGGTGGCATCAACAGCCTCGAGATGGGCTCCGCCGCGCGCAGGAACTTTTGATCACAGGGTGCGTGGTCAGTCGGGCGCGATGCACGGTGGGCGTGCCTGCGCCCTCCTCCTCCTTGAAATGCATCCGCCGTCTCGTGTCCAACGGCGACTTTTCCGGTGACGAGCCCGCGGAGGCCGCGCGCGCTTTCCGTAGGTGCGCCACCGGCTGCTATTGCTGCTGCTGCAGCTGCACCTGCATCTCCCAGCTCACAGAACTCGCTGTGGTTGCCGGTAGCTGGAGAGGGGGCTCACTCCATGACGTGCTGGACGGTTAGGGCTGGAAGGCTCGACATCGCCGAGGAGCTGGCATGTCGAGGATGCTTGCCGGTGCCGTGGCAGCCACTGCGCGGAGGCTCGGCAACTGTCGTAGTGTCGGCTCTTGCGATCAAAACATGGTGAATGTGAGCCAATCACGAGATCATAGAAAAAGTACCCTCTGATCAAATCTAAGACCTGTTCTGCATAAGACCCATTTAAAAATCTTCCGCGTGGTTGGCAAGTTGATACCCATGCGTGGACGCTTGATAGATGATAGCCCTGATTCTTGTGAGTTCGTTGCGATCTTGCCGTGCCGACACAGCTGTGAACTCAGATCAAAGCCGTCGCGGACGTGGTCACTGACGAAACCTTTTTCAGGATGCCATGGTTTCAGCGCCCCGCTGGGCTTGACATCTGAGATTTCCCAGTAGCGGATAGCTTAGAGCCAGCGTCATTTCTTGTCAGACCATCAGTTTAATACATTCGGTACATTTTAATATGAACTAGAGTATCCAAAATCTCATGGTATTACCGGTATAAATCAGCGCAGCGATGCTTTTGACGTGGTTTTGGATTTGAAATAAAACTTAAGCAAAACAAAATGTGCGGTTTAATTCACACCCTCGATTAGATGGGCGTGATGTTTGCTGCAGCAAGAACCCAAGTAAAGCAATATGAACGCATGGCGCAGCGAAATTAGCGCCAATTTGCACCGCGTACTTTATAACTGCAGTAACGTGTAAATTGCAGATGTAGTTCGTAAAAATAGAGGTATTTTACTAGGTGCGGCTCGCGAAGAAGCCTCGTTGGATGACATTATACTGGGTTGCAACAACGCACGCACCATGGAGTACTGTAGACCTTAACAGTTTTCTTCCTGATCGTGGGGTGAGCAAAAAAAAGATAGTAACAGAAATAGCGATAACAATATCAGTTTCAAAGTCAGTAACTAATAGCGGTTGCAGTAGCGGTGGCATTGACAGTAGGGCAGTTGCAGTGGTAGCTGGCAGTGATCGTGACGCAGGCGAACAATTCCAATAGCAATATACCGAATAAAAATTATTGTGCCTTTCACTTATTCTGCCGTGATAATTCTGGCATAACTCTAATCCGTTATCGACCTTAATTATGCCCCGAGTTAGCTAATTCCCATGTTAATTCCGGGTCGTCCCTCCGTGGCCGAATTAGGAGTGGCGATGGTGAGGCCGACTCAAGGCGGAATAAGCTAATCCAGCCTTCGTTATTAATAGGCGGAAACAGAGCGATTGGCGGTTTCCTATCCGCCAATCCATGCCATTCTGTTCGTATCTCCGTCGATTAGCTCTCAAATGCTGATCGCGGATGTTAGGGACAATCGTAGGCATAATTAGCACTAAATAAGCGTTGATCACCCTTTTATGACTCTAATTCCGCCTGAATTAACAGCTCACCCGCCAAAATACGTGAAAGACACAATACGTCATATTGATATTACTTACGCAGCAATACAAGTCACACACATTATTTGGAAAAGAGGAGAGTGATTTATAAGGGTCTAGAGGACGATAAGATCATCGATAATGTTTGGATCGCGTCGTTTTCACCACGGTGGACGGCGATATTCAGATGGCATCTACTTATAAATTTAGTTTGAGCAAGCCATGAAATGCCCCGTGATATTATGCAGAGTATGGAGTAGATTTTGGCAGTCTTTCTCAGGCATGAAAAAGAAAGCAGGAGCAATATCATTACAGTGCCATTATCAATGCTGGAGATCGTAGTTGTAGCGTAAATAACAACGGTAGCGGTAGTGGCAGCAGATAATAAACAGTCGCCGTAGCGATAGCAGCAGATACGAACAAGCAATATCAATGACAACATTACTATGACATCATTAACAGTAGTGAAATAGTAGTTGTAGTAGCTATAGTACAGCTGCTCCAGCTGTAGTTGCAGTAGTGGTAAGCAGATAGTGCCTGTGGCCAGCAGTAACGCGCGCCACAGGTAGCATAACTGTAACGGGGTACAATCAAGTGTACCCATTACATGAAGAGTGACGGGTGTCACTCTCCCGAGTACATGGTACATGGTACCAGTAGCTCCGCAAGCCAACCATTT